AGACCACCCATTCTTCATGGCACTCAACCTCCCTCCATACTCTCCATTCTTAAATCCCATCGAGGAGTTGTTCTCTGCCTGGCGCTGGAAAGTGTACGACCGTCATCCTCATCAACAGGTAGCCCTTTTACAGGCAATGGAGGAGGCATGTGGAGATATTGACCAAGAATCATGTCAGGCCTGGATACGGCATTCAAGGAGATATTTTCCCCGGTGCCTTGGACTGGAGGATAGCGCATGCGATGTGGACGAAATTTTGTGGCCGGACCCAGAAAGACGACATGATGTAGGCTGATTGTTTTTTTTTTTTTTTTTGTGAATTTACTATTTTGTGTTCTGACTTTGTCTTGGTTTTGATGAGTGTGAATAAACAGCAATACTTGAAATTTGGATCCTTGTATGTTTACATGACACTATGACAAAAGTATGACCTCAAATTGACATCTGTACACAGAGAAAGAGAAAGCCAGTTGTGTTTTGTATTCATACCATCAGTGTGTAGTTGGCACATTGTGTGCTTAGTAGATGATGGCTTGTGTTTACTGTTTGATACGAAAACACCATTTTTACAAAGGTGTGAAGAGTTAATCTAGCTGTGTTCGCTTTTTCAAGAGAACTGCAATGTTTTGAGAATTGGGTGAAAGGTTTTCTTATGTAGAGTTTTGTAAAAATAGCCAATAGTTACAAAAAATGTGCTTAAGCAATCAGAAAAAACTGTAATATGTAAGTGTTGTGTTTTGTCCCGGATAAAGCGGGAGACGACGAGTACGAGTACGAGTACGAGTGTTGTGTTTTGCACCTCAGGGCCACCGTAAAGTGAGGAGGAATTGAACTTTACAAAAACAATAAGACAAAATAAAATGAATTCAGTTGTTATATTTAATATTTCCACACTGTATAAATATACATTTATGAATTTTATATCAATCTTGGTCTTATTTTATTTATTTATTCTTTTAAGTTAAAAAGTTAAAAAAAAATGAATAAATAAATAAAATGAAAAGAAAAAATAAAACATAAAAAAAAAAAAAAAATCAATCTTGGTCTTATACTCTGCCTTTTAATCCCGCCCACACAGCATTCTGTTCCATATGCTCTGACGTCATAACTCGGCCACGCCCTCCATATGCTGTGACGTCACAAAGGGCGGTACTTCCATTGCCTATCTAAGTGAAGCAAGTGCTCATTCAGACCAGCCTTGGACATTCTGAGGTCAAGTCGCAGTTTTTTTCTTCTTGGAAAATAGTAAGATATCTGTATTTAAGGATGGAGGATAAACTTTACACCGATCTGGCATGCATACGCCCTGGGAAACAAGACAAGGTAAACGCTCTGTTCTCTGTCTTGGTTTTCAGAAACATGATAAACTGCCCCAAAAGAGTTCAGAAGGAAATCCCTCAAAGCTCTTTTGAGAAAATGAGAAATCGTCTCTCCAATCTGATAATGTGTACAAAAGAGCCTTGTGTGGATATGATTCTAAAGGCTAATCTATCAGACATAGTAACTGCAGTTTCTCAGGACTTGTATAAAATATTTGGCTCAACTAAACACTTGCTTCAGGCCGCCATGGCCGGGAACAACACTTTTGATTCCTCTCTTACCAAAAGTCTGGAAAAAGACCTGGGACTCAAAAGCACAAAACAAGTGAATGTGTTCGATTTTATCAACCCGATGAAGGAGCCTCCGAACCCCAACGCTGTTTTTCTGGCTCTACTAATTAGAAATGTGATAAACAGCTCCAAGACAGCGGGCAAGTCCCTCCGATCAGGTGGTCTTCAAACCATAGTAGCACGTCTGTACCAGCTAATAACTTTCTGCCGCGATAAAACCAAATCTCACCCTCAGCCGCAGATCCAACAGCTGGAATTGGTTGTCAAAAGGATTTCCAAGGAAATCTTTAATGAATATGGGAGTATTCTAAAATTTATGAACGCAGGCCTGAATTTAAACACATCATTTGATGTTTTATTACTGGATTATCTTAAAACCAGCTTAAAAATCAAAGAACCCCAAAAAAACAGGATAGTCTTTGCCATCGACAGCGCCTTGGACAGAATCTCCAGAGATTTCCTTAACCTGAGTGCTCGGTGGCAGTGGGACGTCCTCCCAACCGTGGTTTAGAGAGAAAACACCACATTTGGGAACAACCAGGAAGTTAGTAACAAGACTTAAACTGCTCACCTTGTCTCACCTCGTCTCCCCTCTCCCCCATCCCCTCCCCTCCAATGGGTTTTCTCCAGGTACGCTGGGTTTCCTGCATAGTCAAAAACCAATTTTTCCAATATTTTCATTTTACTTCATGTGCTGAATATGTATTTCTTCTTCTCTCTCTGCTTGTTTTTTAGGGAGCCCGGGAGAGCTCACTTTAAGTGATATTTATTTTCAAGTCGTGATAATTTGTGAGCACGTTTCCTTTAATTGAGCCCTCGAATTAATAAAACATGAACAGGTTTTCCTTAAATTGAGCCCTCGAATTACAGTTTTTTTGGATTGCTTACACACTAAAGTTAAAAGTAGAACACTATTAGCAAAACGTTACACCCAAGAAGCAAAACATCAGCCCTTATTTGCACAACTATAAGCACATTGTCAACCTCACACTTGTTGCAAAACTCTACACACAGTGATTTGCAAAACACTAAACACACTTAACATACAGTACACACAAAAATCTATTATGAAGTCACTTCCTTGCAATACCAAAGCACTGACTGTCAAATTACCACACCTTCCAACCAATTGATTCAACACAGTCATCAGGTGTGCAAACACTTGTTTGCTTAATTGTAGACACACCAATCAGGTGTATAAGCACTATAAAAAGCAGCAGGTGAGTTCATCGGTCTTCAAGCACAATGGAAAGAGTCAGAGAAATAGTAAGACGAGGTGGAGGACGAGGTGGAGGAGAAGGACAAGGAGGAAGAGAAGGAAGGGGAGGAAGAGGAATCAACAGAGGAGGAATCAACGGAAGAGGAAGAGATGGAGGCCATGCTGGAGGTACAGGTAGAGGAAGACAAGAACGTGCTCAAAGAGGACCGAATCTGACAAATGAGATCCGTGCAACACTGGTTTACCACGTTGTCAACCACGGCCTGACGCTGAGGGAGGCTGGACTGCGAGTACAGCCAAATCTAAGCCGATACACAGTGACAAGTGTGATAAGAACATTTCGACTGGAAAATAGGTATTGTAAAAATATCATCATATCAAAAACATCTGCACGGTTTCAGCAACTGCTTACAGTACTGTATTCTATGCACTATCAGCACTTCTGTTACATTTTCCTGTGAAATTACTGTACTATTGTTTACTGTTTTTTTTTTTTTCTACATAGGATTGAGGGTCAGGAACAATGAGGGGGAAGGCCTCCTATGTTCACAGAACATCAAGAGGGGGAGATAGTAAACATGGTTTGGGCCAACAATGCTATAACCCTCAATCAGCTCCAAGCTAACATTTTCAATAACCATGTCGATTTCAACAATATCCTTCAGGTCTCAACATCAACACTGGCACGCATACTAACAAAAAAACATATTCAAATGAAGAAAATTTATCGAGTGCCTTTAGATCGCAATTCGAAAAGGGTGAAACGACTGCGGCATGATTATGCAGAGGTATGTATTCACCTAAGCATTGTGATCTTGCATACTTTCTAATAATCTTTTACTGTACTGTAATATGTATACTAGATCTACACTGAACACAATTTTGCCTGACACTGTTCTTCAGAGAGTTTTACAAATGCATTGAGAGGAGATCCAGCATGAGTTTATCTACGTAGATGAGGCTGGGTTCAACCTGACGAAAACACGAAGGAGGGGAAGAAACATCATTGGCCACAGAGCTATAGTCAATGTCCCAGGGCAACGTGGGGGTAATATAACACTCTGTGCAGCCATTACACAGAATGGGGTCCTCCACCGCCATGCCCATATGGGCCCTTACAACACAGCACTCATACTTACATTCTTGGACCAATTGCACAACATAACAGCAGCAAATCAAATCGATCATATGCAATACATTGTTGTCTGGGACAATGTGTCTTTCCACCGCTCTGCTCTGGTTCAGAACTGGTTTCAGCAACATCCACATTTCACCGTCCTATATCTTCCACCATACTCTCCATTTCTCAACCCTATAGAAGAGTTTTTCTCGGCATGGCGGTGGAAGGTATATGATCTCCGTCTCCAGGCTGAGGTACCCCTCATCCAAGCCATGGAGGAGGCCTGTGACCAGATGGAGGTAGCAGCAATTCAAGGATGGATTCGTCATTCAAGACGTTTCTTTCCAAGGTGTCTTGCTAATGACAACATTACCTGCGATGTTGTTGAAATTTTCTGGCCAGATCCAGCTAGGCGAAGAGACAATGTCTAGTTTTTGTTTTGTTGTTTTACAGTAAAATTACAGTACAATACGTAAAGTGACATTTTGTTACAGTATTATGAATCTCAATGTCCTGTTTTTATCTACCTGTACAGTGTCCTTGGGTGTTGTGATAAGGCGCTTTCAAATAAAATGTATTATTATTAACATTTTGGGCGTGTTGAGAAATAAATGAGTTTCTTCAGTGTGCAACATTGGTCTTGTGTAGTGTTTGGTGAATTTACATTATATTTGTACTTTGTTGATGGTAGCCAACTCTAATCATAGGGAAGTAGAAGTTCTAAAAGTGTTTTAGGTTTATCACAGCAGAGTGTAACTCGTGCAAACAGAGTATAGTAATGTGAAACCTGTGTGTTTCATATGGTAACAAAGTGTGGTTTTTAAACAGAAGTGTATAGTTTTTACAAGAGTGTTTAATTATGCAAAGGATCTGTAGTGTTTTGCTAATTGGGTGTGTGGTTGTGCTAATTGTGTGTAGTGTTTTGAAAACACAGGCCCTGTTTTGAAAATCGTGCTTAAGCAATCCAAAAAAACTGTAATAAAACGTGAGCACGTTGTAGGCCTAAATCGCGCTCACATTTAGTCATTTCCGACATGCTCTCACCGCTGCTCTCACAGCTGCTGCCTGTCGCAACTTCGTGTTACTCAAGCTGTTGAGATTCGGCTATTGTCTGTAACATTACAGTTCAACATTGGTAAGTGATACCGTGGTTAATTAAAGCCTTTTTAGTTTTCACCGGTAGGTGATGACTATAGCGAAATTCTACTCTTTGTAGCAGGGTCACCTGCGGTGTCCCGCCAGCTATGGAGCCGACTGCTGATAGCCTGAGGGACTTCTTGAAAGATAGAGGTGTCAGCGAAGAGTTTATTCAGAAACTCGAAAATGAAAAGGTAGGCTATGTGATGTGGCCTGCAAGAAACCAACTTCGAAGGCCGTGAAGGAGCTTCTCCAGTTCCCAGATGTGATGACCGCAACACAGCATGCAGTTACTCGCCATCTGAAACGTTACATTGTGGAAGCTGACCATCAAATTTTACAAAACTTCCTGAGGTTTTGCACTGGCTCAAATTTGGTTGGGCATTCCATTAAGGTTGAGTTCACTGAAACATCTGATTTTCAGCGCAGGCCTCAGGCTCACACATATGGGTGCATTCTTAAATTGCCTGTTGGTTACTACAATTACCCAGACGTCAGAAATGATTTTAATAGTGTGCTGACTAGTTCTGTCTGGGTAATGGATATAGTGTAGATTGTCTCATCAGCTACATAATGTCAGTTTGCAGTTCTCAATAGTTTGGTTAGCTTTATGAAAAACTGCCATGTCTCAAAAAAGGTGACAAGTTGGTAAGCTGTTCTGATACTAAATAACTCAGGTTATTTATTTGTTAAATAATAATAAGTAAACTGAATATGTGCAAAACATTTTATTTTTGAATGACACATTTTGTAAACATTCCTGGATAAAACAGGTGTCAACTTTCTTTTTAAGTTCTTGCACAAGTGTTTAAAACAAGCAGTTGTGAATAACACATTTACAGGTTTTAGTCTAGCAAAGAAACAACAAATCTCCATTCATCTCATCCAATCATAATGTTGAGACTGGACTTACTTGATGAGATGACTCGAGTCTAGTGTGCTATTGCTTGGTTGGAAAGAAAACCTGCAGCCACACGGCCCTTTCTGGAATCAGTTTGAGACCCCTGTACTAGACCAACCTGTTTTTAAGTGTAGTCCTGTTTCTCTGACTGTGACTAACTGTATGTTCTCTCTTCATCTTCTGATATAGAAGCTGGCTCGCAGCTCGTCTGCCTGGCTGTGTTTCCTGGATGGAGCCGCCAGTGGGGCTGGTCGACAGTAGCCTTTTGCATCTCAACTTCTTTCTGTATCTCTCCTTCTGTCTCCTTGAGCCCCAGTTGGCCTCAGCAGATGGCAGCTCACACTGAGCCTGGTTCTGCTGGAGGTTTCTTCCTGTTAAAAGGGAGTTTTACCTCTCCACCACTACAAGCATGCCAAGTGGGATTGCCTTTGAGTCAGTGAGTCAATGCAATCAGCTGGTTTTCCTTAGATAGAGAACTTGAGATTACATGTGTTCTAAATTGGCGCTATATAAATAAGCTGAATTGAATTGAATTGATGTGTTAAATTTTTTATTACATCACTGTATCTTTTAGGTGAGTTAAACTAAGTATAATTATTTATATAGTGCTAATTTAAGACACCTGTTTTCTTAAGCTACTTTCCATGTGACATTATGCACTTTTGGGACATATGTGTAGCTGCTGTATTAAACATTTTCTGAAGCTGATCATTTCTACTATCAAAGCATCTCTCTTATATCAAACCGTCTGCAACTTCTCCCATATCTATGAAGCTTCTTTCCGGTTTTTCCTCATCTGATCATCCCATCTATTTCCATTATACTCACCATCCCTCATATCAAATAGTTTTAAATAACATGCTTTAAAGTAAAATTCTAACCCCCTGTTTTCAGCCTTAGCCAATATGAATTAAAACTATAAGCAACATTTAAGACTAACATGGTTTACATTTCTTGTTAGAATAGTATATACCATGTTTACATAATCATAGTCATACGTGCAACTAGTTACTTTCCAGCCCTAGTACCATGAAACTAAATGGATGCAATTGGCCCACCCAACTAGAGGAAGAAATTTGCAAAGCATAAATCAGAGAAAATGGATACCAATCAAAAACTGAAGAAAGAGTGGTGAAAGAGGTGACATAATGGCAGGAAATAGATACGATTTAATAGGATCAAAAATACAGCAGGACAGATGATAACTAAAAGAAGGAGCAGAAAGGAGAAAATATAAAAAAAAAACTTACATTTAGAAAATTGAAAGATATAAGGCCTTATTTTATACTTTTCTAAATACAAAAGCTAAATACTGAGAACTGTGACCACGTCAGAGAATATTAAACAACAGAACTTTTTATGTACATGTTATAACATGGTAAATTACCTGTACTCGCATAGCACATTATTTTGCTTCTCTGATATTCACCCATTCATAAATACATTCACACAATGACATATGTCAAGTTGTATTTTATTTTTTATATACATAATAATTACATACATAATAGATAAATGGCAATTTACTTACACTACAATTACACATACTTAGAAACAAATTCATTCTCATAGTCTCTGGAACCCTGAGAAACAGCCTCATGTCCTGCAGCTACATCCATAAGTTGAGAGCCACATTTTGGAGGAAAGTTAACATCATCCAGGCTGCATCCAGACAGGGTGTCAGGTCCAACTATTGAACCGTGTGCTGATCAGATTGGAGCTGTTTTTCTGGACATCAACGTCTTCCTGCAGCTTTCTGTGACCCCTGCCTCCCTGAAATCCTCCATTGTTATGCCTGTGCACAAAAAATGAGGTAGTATTAATGGGGAGTGTTTGCCTAGTGGTTAGAGCAGTGCACCTGTGCTCTTAGAAGGCTGCAAGTACACAGTTTGATCCCCACAGCCTGCACTCTGGGTTCCTGAGCAAAACTTTAGGGTAACTTCTTTACCTGTCCGGCCATCCACAGCAAAAACACTAATTTTAAGTTCTCTGATGGCAGCAATGTGGTGGGTCTGATAACGAACAATGATGAGACTCTTTGCAGAACGGGGTTCACCACATATCAAAGCTGGGCTCCAGGAAAAAGGCCAAAGGGTTCATAGTAGATTAGAAGCAGTCACAGGCTCTCAGCTAAGGGACCTGGTAAAATTTCATTATAGGTCCATAATAACAATAAACATTCTGGATTCTTCTTGATTCAATAATATTTCTATTGTTAGCCTATCAGACGTGCAGAAATTCAACACACCAGGCAATACAATCAGGCAGGTCATTAGTTAGTGAGTTTGAGCTGTGTGTTTGGATGGCAGGAGAGATGGATGACGTCCTGAGGCGCTCATTCCTGCAGAGTAGGGACAGTAGCCTGTGGCTTCAGCTGCTCACTTGCCAGTCCAGGAAAATGTGAAAGGGGGGACTGTCACCGACCAGGATCCTTCATGCCTTCCTCTAGGAGCACGTTTCAGTGATGTTTCACCCCAGGTTCCTCTCCAAGACTTAACCAGCCCTGTGGATCAGCTCATTCAGATGTTTCCTGTTCTTCCCTGTCAAAAAGCTACCCAGCAGACAACAGTATACAGCTCTGCACTCTTACCCACAAAGTTATATACAAAAATAGCTTGTAGCCTATAGGTGGACTTACCATATAGGGAAAGTAGGCAACCACCTTAGGCGCTCTACTGAACTCTTCCTATAGGCCGGGATATTTGCCTCTGCAACTGTCTTGTGGTTATTGATTGACTGATTGACTTTATTGATCTCACAGTGGAGAAATGTAGTCGTTACATTAGCTTAATAGTCAAAAAGAAGAAGAAGTTGCTAAAAGGAAGAAAATGTGCATGGGGTATATACAGTATATACTTTGCATCCCCATACATACATATGAAAGCTTAAGTCTCTTATTTAGCAGGATAATTATATAGGGGTAATGCACAGGGTATTTTTATACATACATATATATATATATATATATATATATATATATATATATATATATATATATATATATATATATATATATATATATATATATATATATATATATATATATATATATATATATATATATATATATATATATACATATATATATATATATATATATATATATATATATATATATATATATATATATACATACATATATATATATATATATATATATATATACATACATATATATATATATATATATATATATATATATATATATATATATATATATATATATATATATATATATATATATATATATATATATATATATATATATATATATATATATATATATATATATATACATACATATATATATATATATCTATATATATATATATGTGTGTGTGTGTGTGTGTATATATATGTATATTAATTTCTTTTTTTATCATTATCACAGTTTTTTGTCAAAGAAACAAAAAAGAAAAAAAAAGCGAGAGAAGAAAAGAAACGTATCGTGAAGCTTTTTATATCATTTGGAGATACCAGATTTGTTTTCCCTGCAGTGGGAGCGCGCACGTCAGAGGCCACGCGTATGACGTAGCGCAGACACGCGCAATGATAGCCGGAAGCATCGATGGGAGGAAAATAAAAATCGATTAAAGCCAGTGTATATCGCCAGTGTCAGAAATCTAGTTTCTGTCCTTCCTGTTACCACAAGCTCGAGTTTCTCTGTGTTTTTATTTTGCTGAAGGGAACGTCGGACAGCCAGACGCGCCGCTCCGTTTGCTCCAAGTTGCTCAGTGGGGGTTTCTAGCTGACGTGTGGAGAAGTTGAGACTGCTGGGGCGCAGATAAACAAACATAAACAAGCAGGGGATCACCTGAGCGCCTGTTCCAACCGAACCAGGAGCTCGGAGAGATGGCAGGAGCGGCCGAATCCCAGGTTTGAGCCGCAGCAGACGGTGACTTTCACTCAGACTTGCTTTTACATGTCAACAGTCAACACAAAGAATTTAAGGAAACACGAGGAGAAAACCCACAGCTCCTCTTACTGTTGGTCACCCACAGCGATATTGTTATGTTCAGCCAATAAGTTCACCTTTCAGGTTCCAGCTGGAAACAAACCAATACATATAGCTCGAGGAGGCAGAGGTAAACTACTTTTATTTTTATTTTAACTTTTCTGTTCTAGCTTTAAGGGCCTTAAAAAGAAACCTAGCTAGGCAGGCTAAGTAGCATGTCTGTATTTTTTATTTATATAGCTATTTTTTTATATGGTAGTTTTCACAAGATGATAACAAAGACGTTTTCTGTTGTTTTTGAAACATTTAATAGAAACAGCTCATCTCATGATGTTTCTGTGCCCTCTCTAGGTTCACTGATCTGTGGCCCCTGGTCCCATAAGTAGAATGAACATGGCCCACCAGGCAACTCCTAGTTCCCAGAAAGCCCTAATGATGGAGCTGAAGTCCCTGCAGGAGCAGCCGGTGGAAGGCTTCCGCATCACCCTGGTAGAGGAGTCTGACCTCTACAACTGGGAGGTGGCCATCTTTGGGCCTCCCAATACTTTGTATGAGGGGGGTTACTTCAAGGTGGGAGAAACCTGCACAAATAATCTAACTACACCATTTATTACAGGAGCTGTTGGGATGCAAAATTCTATATTAATGCATTTGTCTGCATATGCAGGCTGTGCATACCAGTCGGATAAAAATGTATGATGCCGGTGTTCTGTCAGATAAGCATACCTGGTCAGAGCCAGCATACCCATAGTCAACACCCGTTTATCCCTTTCATTTATCCCCATTTATCGCTTTAGTTTTGTATGTAAAATAGACTTTAAACTACCTCAACGGGCGTGTATCCCCTCAGAAATGTAAAAAAAAAAAAATTTCTTACTTTTTGGTATTTTCTTTTTAAGCATATGGCCATCTCACCTTATTTTTTTTGTTTTTTTGTACAAGATTAAAGGGATAAATGCCCGTCGAGGTAGTTTAAAGTCTATTTTTCGTACAAAATGAAAGGAATAAACGCATATCTGACATCTTGCGCATGCACATTGACTATGGGTATGCTTGTCTCACGGAGTATGCTCATCTGTACGAACACCGGCACCTGAAGTAGAGTTTATCCTCCCACAGCACTCTGTGGTGTGAAGGGAACATCATAATTTCTAAAAACTTTAATCGTAGTGATGAATTTGTTTTTATAGCAACCAATATTGCCAGCATTTTGTTTTTTAAACTGTCCAACCAATATATGTGTTCGAAGTATTGCATGATCACTTAAAAAAGCGTTTAAAATTATGAAAACAGAAGGATGGATACTCTACCTTTCTAAAATGTTAAGTTCGTTTTGGGGAAACAAAGTCGGATTTTATTGCTAAATGCTGCAGTGACGAGGTTAGTCATCGCAAACAGCACATTTTCTCGCTTTTCTGTTTCTCCTCTGTCATCTTGATATCCTCAAAACTCTGTTTTTGAGTTTTATATGTATAAAAAAAAACAAAAAAACAATTTTTCTCCATGCAGAGAGAGAATTTAAAGCTTTAAAAAAAAAGAACCCTTTAACTGATTCTATGTTAATTTTGTTATGATTCTGATTCTATTGCTTGAAAGCAAACAGTCAGACCATGTTATTTATCAAAAATGTATAATTGACCATCTTTCACCTCTACTTCTTCTGACCTCTTCTGTAAGTCTGGTTCTTTTACAGTCATTAACTCTCCACCCTCACCCACCCCCCCATTACTGCATGGTGGTTGTAATACAGAAAGCTATATTTAGCATGGTGACCGCTATAAATGGCACCTCGTCGGCACAGAGAAAGTAGGAGGGAAGGGCAAAATATTACACTCATCATCTGTTATCAGATGAATGCAGTAAGAGAGACCCTGTGTGAGACAGTGGCCACAGGTTTAGTTGCCGTTTAGCATAGATGTACAGAATAAGCTGAATAGGTTTCCTTTTACATGATCTAATTTTTTTAAATTATACATTTTTTCTTATAATTGCCCTATTGGAAATTTTCCCATATCATCCTTTGTACAGGATTTAATCTTTTGCAGATAATGAAGTAATAATTTAAGGAAAAACAGGAATTTTACACCAGTTGTTTGTCTGTATTAATGACCTTCTTCCTCAGAATATAATTTTGTCTTCACCCTTGAAAAGGTGGCTAATTATTTGGACCATCTGCTCTGGTGCCGAGCCTGAAGCTGCTCGTTTTATTCTGTGGTTGTGCTTTCAGCAAGCTGACCTGTAGTTCGCAGCAGCAAGCATAAGTGCTACTATATGCGCCATACAGTCAGAAAAAACGACAGTCTCTTAGACACTCTGTATGGCATCTCAATTATAGGATCTTGGAATATTTCAGGGGTTTTACTTTAACTTTCATAAAGCAACATTTTGTATCGTTTAGCCACTAGGGGCGCTAGACCATTATTTTTTAGGTTTTAGCGGCCCATAAGGCAACTAACAGCACTAGACTGGCTTCTTTTTCCAACTTGAAAACAGACCACTTTGAAATGGCATACTGAGTCGTCTTGCCGTTAAAGACAAGGGCACATTTACCTATTTATATTAAATCTTACATCAGAGAACCAAAAATTCCTTTGATCAGATTAGCGTCATTTCTGTTTTGTTGCCTAATGACAGCTTTTAGCTAAGTTACCTTTAATGTTTAAGGGGAGCTACGCTTGCCAGAAAGCGGCACTCTGAGTCACATGACTCATTTATGGACAGATCCGACCGTTTTATGTCAAATGGGCAAATTTTTGTGTCGAATATATAAATATTATATTAATATATCTCCATTAGAGCTACTATTTGGGTCAAAAGTTACGCAGTTTGGCCTTTGTGTCCGCTGATGCAGCACTGAAGTGTAATTCTGTTATGAGGATAAAGAACAAAATTTAGTGTTTCTAATTTCCTATCTCTGCTGTTCACCCTCTTTTAAATTGAAACACGGCCAGCACGTTTCTGCAGAAGGTGTTAACAGGCTGTTGAGCTAATGTGTTGAAGCAATGTGCCTCCATGGAGACCAAGGTTACCAAACACTGACATCAGCTGCATAGTTCTACATAAAATACAGCATTTTGTTTTTAATAAAAAAAAAAACTTAATTCAACTGACATACTAGCATACAAATTATTTGTTTATACATAGATCGCTTTGATTGTGTTATGAAAATATGGTGAAGATTATTCCAGGCTCTTGCTATGCCTCTCAAATATTGTCTCTAAATGTTTGTCAAAGTACAAAACTCTAATATAAACTTAAAACGTCTTCTTTTTTGAAGTGGCAATTATATTAGTTTGTTATAAGAATATGCCATGCTCTGGATGACTCCTGCTCTTCTGTTAACACTTTTTTATTTTTCTACGACAACATGGATTTAGGGGTGTAGTTCAGTGATGAACTGTAGGCTGATGATAGTCTTATCTGACTGCCTTGCTGCTAATTTCAGACTTTTGCGTGCACACCCAGGCTTAGAGGGCTTAATTAACTTGAAAATGATAACCTGAGTAAATATTGACTGTGAATACCAAAACTGCTAAAAACCGCTTGAAGTCTTTGACATTTTACCACAATATTGCCACAGTAACTGTGATCCAAACTGTGATCCAATAACATCAGGTAGTGCGTAAATTGTTGAGTTGACAAACGGGCATTCTTTGTTTTTATTTGTTTACAAATTGACAGTGAAGTAAAGATCATAAGTACTCAATGGCAAGTCCCCTGTCATTTTTCTGTGTAAAGCTGAGATCCTCAAACAGGCTTAAAAGGACATAAACTGCATCAATCCTCTTCTTTTATTCTTTTAGGCTCACATCAAGTTCCCCATTGACTATCCATACTCTCCTCCTACGTTTCGCTTCCTCACTAAGATGTGGCACCCAAACATTTACGAGGTAAGAGCTTCCCTCCTCCTTTGACTTTGGATGTTTTCAGCATATCTTCTTGGATAACTTTACACAGCTTTCTCTGGCTGTTAGGAAAATCCTAGAATGTGTGGTCTAAATGAAAGTGCACAAGTTGAAAAAGTGTTTTCTGTTCGAAGAGGGTTTGGTGAGTCCATGTATACGTTAGGTAATAAAGGGTGTAGAGCTGAAACAATTAATTGGATTATTTGTGATTAATCTATTAAAATAATCTCCTAATTCACTATCGATGAATAGTTAATTGGAGTATAGATACTCTAAAACATGCTTTTAGCTGACAGAGCAACCCATTAAGGCAGTGACTATACTAAAATTCTGAGAAAAAACAGAAATATTTTGCATTTCAGATAAAAAAAAAGAAAAAATTTTTTTCTCCTGCCAATATTCTCTACCAAAAACTCCACAAGTTGAAAAGTTTAAGTTTGACATGGTTTAATTCGGTATAAAATCTTCTTTAAGGAACCTTTCTCTATCTGATTATTAATCAAACAACAATCAACAGATTAATCGATTATCAAAATAATCGTTAGTTGCAGCCCTAAATATTGTTTTTGTTAATAAAACAGGTTTCAAATAAATGGCACCAATCAGAGAGTCTAATCGATTTTCTTTTGTAATTGATAAAAGATGTTCAAATCTTTTACTTGTTTGATGGCTTTTGTGTAAGAATGAAGAAAATAGCCATGAATGATTCCAAAAGAATGGCAAAAACTGCAACAAAAGGTGCCGCTACAAAGTATTGTCCTCTTCCTTTTCACTCCCACTTAGAATCTCAGTGGCACCAAATCTCCCAGCCTGAATTAATATACGCAGATGCTCGTTTACCTATTAACTGAGATCAGGCCCGGTGCATGAGGACCACAACACTGGTGACATGTTGTTATCCTGCTTCGCAAAAAGTGCATCTAAGCAAAGATTGTATAGGATATGAATGTGTTTAATGTGGGTGACGGTTCAAAAGCTGTGTTGTTGTCACTGTTTTACTTCTATTGCTTAATCTTCCAGCTTCATATTCCTCCCGGAGAGGTGCAACATATAATGTTTTTATCATGGAGGTCCATCACAAACCCACGCTGGAACACTAATTTAGTGCTATGCTTTAGTAAAGTGGGGGTTTTGTGATTGGCTTCTCGAGTGTACATTAAGTGGATGACCACATCGTTTGAAAGAAAAGAACAACTCCTTTCTCCTTCACCTAAGCACACATTACTGTTGGTGAAAAAATGGCTGTATTATCCAACAGCCTCATTCACATTTATAAAGGACATGGGGAAATAAACAGTGGTGCGTTTGAAAATCCAGAAATCCTACGACTCATAAAGAGTTTTTTAGTTGAGTTTCAAATAAAAACATAGAAGAAAAAGAGAGAGTGAGTAATATTTTTCTGTAAAGCATCTGATGGTGTGTGAGGAGGAAAAAGGCAGGTAGGCTTCCTGTCTGAACAGGGCTCCAGCAAGGCCTTTCGTAATGCGCTGCTTTGGGTTGAAATTCCTTTAAAGGCCCTGCGGTGGTAGGGAGAAAAAAAAAGTTAAGTGGGGGATAAAAAGAAAAACCTATCTGTATATAAATAATTCAGTGGGTTATCTCTAAAGACAATGGCTGAACCTAAATGAAGGTCCTTACTGATGATAACTGCAGCCCAATACAATTAATACGTGCAAATGTAGAGCAATAAATGTCACTACAGCCTTGTCGCTTTAGGCAACATTTTAGTGTGATGTTTAGGCAAGCTCCGTCACAATCTGTTGGCTGCTTTTGATTCAGTGGGGCTGTGTAACGTGTGACTCTGTCTTTTTCATTTTTACTCAATCTTTTTAAAATAATTCCTAAATGCTCTTTCACTTTAAAAAAAAGTTCAGAGAACTATCAGATGAGTTTAAAGTTAAACTCATTTATGTTCAGCAATGTTCAACACTGTTTTATAGCAGTTTTTACTGACTAAAAGGGAGCAGTGATGTTGTATCTGTCATTTTGATAGATATCAGTAATCTTAGGAGAAAACTTTTTTCTCTCTTTTTTTTTTTTTTTTAAAGATATTATTAGTGTTTTGTTTTGTTCTTTTCTCTGTTTTTAGAACGGAGACGTTTGCATCTCTATCCTACACCCTCCTGTCGACGACCCACAGAGCGGGGAGCTGCCGTCTGAAAGGTGGAACCCCACCCAGAACGTCAGGTATTTTCTCAGCAACATGCCTCTCTCTCTTTATTTTCTACAACTTATAAAGAGCTTTTAAGGTGGAAAACTTTGTCATTATGTAATATAATGAGAGAGGAAGAGAAAAAGCATGAGGAATAAAAAAAAACACAATTTCTATTCTGTTTTTTTATTACCCAATGCTACAAATAAACAAGCATGAGAGAAAAAGGTCCATTAAAGGAGAAAAGATTGCTGCAAGTTTAGAAAATGCAAATCAGGATAGGAATTGCTTCAGCAGTATTTTCTCCAAAGCTTTGCTCTGTAGGAAATATATAAAGGAGATGCCTCCTTAGGGCATCTCTGTGAATAACGGCTAAATTTAGCCGGTCAGCAGGATTCACATCACTGAGGTAAACTGCTGAGTTAGTGTTTGGAAACTTGAGCGCAGTAGAGGCACAGTTCAATGGAGTTGCATGGTGCACGGAGAAGGAGCATCAGGTTTCTGACCAGGCGGGAATGAAGCTTTGAAAAATGTCAACCTTTTTCGTTTATTTTTTTTTTTTACAATAATCTGACATTTTACTGTAATTTCCTTGTTGTATATTTGTTCCTTTATCATCAGGACAATCCTGCTCAGTGTGATCTCTCTGCTTAATGAGCCCAACACCTTCTCCCCAGCCAATGTAGACGCCTCGGTCATGTTTCGCAAATGGAGGGACAGCAAAGGCAAAGATAAGGAGTACGCAGAGATAATAAGGTAATGATTGAATGCTGCAAAATGATTGTTTCATCTGCTCGAGCTGATGTGGAGGTTCCCCAAATTATCATTGCCTTTAGAAACTTCTCACTGGACCTCAAATGATTTGGATTCTGTTTCCTTTCACTCCTCATTCAGGTTCTGGAACAATGCTTTCCAAATCAAATCCACAAATTCTTTTCATCTGCAAACAGTACTTTGGAGCTCAGAAGAATACTCTAATCCTTTATTATCCCTTAGTTAGTACCTGTACCACAGTTCTAGAAAACCATCTGCTTCTGGACGTCCTTAATATAAAGAATGCTCTAAGTCCTTTTCCTTGATAAATCTGTCTGTGGTAGTTCTTGAAGCGTGGAGCAATAGGAAAAATATCAGATGTAAAGGATTTTAAAACAAATAACCATTACGGTAACATTTTGACATATTTAAAGGTATAGTGGAGGATGTTCTTTTTCTGGGTGGATCATCAAAATAATTGGTCCTCCAAATTCCCATAATTCTGGTGATATGTTTACGTAAGGCCGTCCCACGTGCTGGTCTCTATTTTCACTTACGGGTAGTGAGTCTGACATTGAGAAAAAAAATTGCAAATCTTTCAGAAAGTAAGCTTGTATGAGCGATGCAAACAGCAACTTTTGAACAGAGCGTGCACGAGGAGAAATGGGCTCGTGCATGCCTTTGATGGACGTTTCCTCTCGAGAGCGGGTACAGGTTTGTGCAGGTGGATTTTTTTCTTTAAAGTGGAGGCTGGGTCTTTTTAAAAATTTGCAGATATATCCTCTATTATATCATTAAGTAGCCTTTACTCTGAAGCAGTAAAAACAGCAAGTTTTTTGCATCCACTAAGTTTTCCATCCATGTGCTTGGATGCAGGACTGAGGAAGAAATTCCACTCTGACAAACAAAACTGTTGGGGGCTCCATTTATTTATGTTAGACAGAAGGTATTCACTCAGGGGGATTTACACCTGCAAGGTCAAAGAAAATGGCTAGGGCTAGAACTGCTTACTAGAAGACACTAAAAAAGGCATTTTCTAAGAAGTTTCTTGGAATTGCTGGTCTTATGTTTTTTGTTGTTGTTTTTTTCCCCCCTGAACTGTCTTTCCCTCTTTGAAACGGGTGTAAAGAAGGCAGCAAACAGCCTGTCTAGCTAGAACAGAGCTGATCACATGGTCTGTTCACGCTGGGATTCTTCTTATGCAGAAATAAGTATAGTTTTTTTCTGAGTTTTTTCTGCCATAATGTAAGATATCTGGCTTAAATTTATAGTTGTTGTCATAGTAAAGTGATTTGGGAAACTTATCAGCTGTTAGCATTACTCATTAAATTAAAGGTATATTTTAACTTTGACATATTTTTTCCCCAACAGGAAGCAGGTGTTGTCAACAGCAGCAGAGGCCGAACGGGACGGCGTCAAGGTGCCGACCACGCTGGCGGAGTACTGCGTTCAGACCAGGGTTCCCTCTCAGGACAGCAGCTCTGACCTTCTCTACGACGACCTGTACGACGACGACATGGAGGAGGAGGACGAAGAGGAAGACGAGAGCGAGATGGAGTCTGTAGGTGAGGCGAGGGGCACCAGCTCTCTAGAGGACGGTGGGACGTCCACCAGGCACTATGACAACCAGGACGACTCTGGCAACGAAGACTCTTGATGATCTGGATTATAAATCCTCCCCACCAATTTAGTCCCACCATCGTCTTTTCGTTCCTTTTTTTCTTTTCTTCTCCTGAGTGTGTGGATGTGTACACGTGTGTGGGTGTGTGTGTGTTTGTGCAAACAGTGGGGTCAAAAGTCTACTGCCAAAATGTTTAATCATTGATCTAGTTCATCTTTTTCACATGCTGTCAAAAAAATAACAAAACAACAACCTCATTGCAACAGATGCCTGTTGGCACTTTTTCCACATAAAGTCAGAGTTTGGTGTTCTCACTGTTTGCCTTAACAAAAACCCACAGTCTGTTGAACGCTTGGAAAAGTTGGAGTTTGTAAAAAAAAAAAAAAAAAAAAAGGAAAACGGTTCAAGAGATTCTTTAGAATATTGATAAAAATGCCCCTTTTTTGATAATCAGTAATGCTTTAATTTGTACTTCAGCATGCAGATGTCATACTAACAACTCCTGAATATTTACACCACCAACCTAGATTGTGTAAATTCCCTCCTAATATATCTTTATTCCATGTACAAATATACTTTCCAGTTGCTGTTGTTTCCCTTGGTTCCCTGAATGTCGCCGCTGGTCGTTGTGCTTCATGCGTTAATATTGAGCAGATTCCATCTCTCCACGTTTGTCCAGTCCAGGTTTGGACACAAACTGGTGCAGTATTTCATCTTGACGTTCCAGACATTGCCACTATTGTTAAAAATAGTTTAATTGTTCTTTTAGTTTGAGTGTTTCTGTCAGTAAATAAGGTCTTGATGAAAGTAGTTTGTATTTAATTTGGTCATATTTAGTTTTCTTGGAGCTGTTGTTTTTATTCCGTTTTCTCAGTTGAGACCCTCTCCTCCTCCACTTGTATTTTTTTATTTTCCCCGCTGTGTCTCAGAGGAAACAGTCGGTACTTTGGCTCATCACTTAATCAGTGAACTGGGCAGCTCGCTCCACTTTAGGACACCTCTGTCTCTAAAAGGTTAGACTTTGACACAACTGGCAAACGCATCGCTGTAGTTTATTTGGATTTAAAGGGATTGACAAACACAAAGCCATGCAGAATTACTCCACTGTAGCTATCAAGTGGAAATATGTATTTTTGTAGGCCATTCCAACACATAGATATGCTTTGATCTAAACCTTTCCCATGTAGAGGACAACACATTGCAATTTATTTTCTAAAATAGAAAATACAAAGGAAATTGGAGCAAATGGTATCTAACGTGATCTATATTAAATTTGAAGTTATAAACGCAACTCTTTTTTATTTTATCTTTTTGAGGTTGAGATGGTTTTTCCCTTTAAGGGCGCTGGGCTCAGCCATCGGGGGAGGTTTGTTTGTTTAATCAGTATTTTAAAGGAAACACAGGACAGTAGTTGGTACATAAGGTGCATAAGGTGTCTGTATACCCAAACATCAAAATAAAAGAAAGGCATTCCCACAGCATGATGCTGCCCCCATCATGTTTAGCTGTGGAGATGTGTTCCCTGGTCTTTAGGATGCTGTTTGTTCTCCACCTTAAAAAACATGGAGTTTTCAAAGAGCACTAGCTAATATATGCTGAGATAAAATTGCAGTTTTTGGACCTTCCCTACTGATCAGGTCGTGTTTGAAGGCAACTGATGCCAGAGAGTTTTCTTTTTTTTTTTTTTTTCTTACATTTGGTTTCGCTTTTTTAATTTAGTTCTGCACAGTTTTGTGTTGGTCTCTAATTTAAAGTGAATAAAATGTCTTGTGTAAAAGCCAAAAATTAAAGGGGGTCTGAATAGTTGTGCTAGCTTTCTGACCTGTTGGGTACAGCCTCGTCTCCTACGCCTCAGTCTGCTTGTCTAACCTCAGGGCCTCAGACGACTGCAGCTGAGAGACCAATCAGTCTGTGATGATCCTCAGAAACAAACAACTCCTCTTCACCTCCTTCTCTTAATTATTACCACATGCTCTGATTGTCTCCCATCCACAGGCAGACCACAGAGTGTTGCATTCGGTCTGGGCCTGCTAGATTAATCCTACTTTTCTGACTGAAGGAGCAATATGAGTTAATTTAGAATCCCTCATTGAGATGCGATGGATGAAAGGAAGTTGAATTTTTGGTCTGTGGCTCAAACTCTAACACACATTTAGTGTAGATTAAAAAAGAAAAAAATTCCTATCAAACATGTCTTGATTGCCTGTTTGTGTGCGTGTCTGAGAGTACTTTTACTTTTAGCTTTTTATTTCTTATGTTCTCTATGATGTCAAGTTTTCTATCTCCGCCCATCCATCCCTCCTCTGGAATACGGTCAGACTCCGCTCACTGGAGTGATGAAGGAACGTCAGAGCTTGTCTCTGCTCTGCTGCTCTTTGCAATTCTCCATCGGCTGGGGAATTTGAGGGATTCAGAAAAAACAGACTCCCTGAGTATTAAGCTCCTCAACATGATGAGCAGCACACAGTGACAGATGCAAATCACATTAATGACAGACCTTTTAGTTTAAGAGGCTGTTGCCCTGCAGAGTTCTCCGTCCCGACTCAGGGATGGATTTTACGCCACGGGTCATAACCCCCCCTCCCCGGTCTGAAAAGCATGCGGAGGATTTTCCTGTTTTTGACTGACTTTTGACGGATGTTAATGTGAAGCCTCTTGGCCTGGTTTTTGGACTGGAATCTACAGAGGGAGGCTCCTGAAACAGACCTACAACTGATCGGATTTCTAGAACCAACACAAATGGAAATATCCCACCCACTTCATATTATCCCAGTGAATCTTCAGTTTTTACAAAAAAAAAACAAACAAACAAAAAAACACTGTTACTGTGACTTAAAGCTTGAACTCTGGGCTGTATCTTCCCAATGTGTTCCCTTTCTAAAAATGACAAAAGATGTAACGGTACAGCTCACCCACTTCTGGTTGACTGTAAGAACCTGAATGTTCAAAATGTTAACAATCAAAACGTTTTGGCTGACCATTCAGCTATTATGATCTCAGTTCATCTCATTTTAGATGATTTTAGTTAAATTTATTGTATGATGAATTAAAAAAGGTTGAAACTTCTGTTTAGTTAACAGGACTTAAAGTATAGCCAATTTATTTTTCCATCAAATATTTAGTCATTAGTTTATAAACCTCCATTTGAATTGGGAGATTCTGAGTCATTTCTAAAGGTAAAAAGTTTAGAGTTCTTTTTTCCGTTTATAATAATGCATAAAAGACATCCAACCTAATTAAGTATCAGTTGGCTTTATGATTCAGCCACATTGTGACTTTAAAAACAATATAGTTTTTTTTCCCCCAACTACAATAAAAAAAAAAGATAAAAATGAAAATTTCTTCCCTACTTCACATTACAGCCTAAAGTATTGAAATATGAAGACTAAGGGTTAGGGTGACCACATCCTTAAAGATAATTTCCAATCCACTGTCCATAAGTAAAGCAAATTAATGATGAATAATTTACTTCTAATGTTCAGACTTAAATCTAATATTCATTGTTACTAAGAAAAGCCATGAATTTAGCTGTAAACAAACATGACACCTGTCCTGGCCCAGCAGCCATAACAGGCTCTAATGAATACTTTTAAGTAAAAAAAAAAAAAAAAAGAAATACAAACACATTTTGTGCTTTTTATCTGAGCTCAGTCTCTGTTCTGATTGGCTAGCAGAAGGCAGAACCAGGTAACTGTTTCCCTGTTTGTTTGGCGCCTCTACTAAGCTAGCTGACAGTGATAGTTGCATATTTACCACCTAAGACCAAAAGGTCGCATCTGATCCTCTACAGTGTCACTGCTGAAAGGCTGAACCGTCCACAGTCTTTTACACTTCTTTTTCTCTACTCGTTGGATTTCTTTTGCAAGAACGCAGATCTCTGAGTTTTATTTTTCTTAATAAAAAAAAAGAAAATCCCTTTATTGATGCTTTTGTTTGTAAAATGATTTTGAAGTCCATCACTTAGCGTTATCAAAAAAGAAAACCAAGAAAGTAGGGTTTTGGGACTGAAGTTGAAAAGTATGCAAAAGTAAAGGTTTTGTGTTAAAGTTGTAAAGTCAATAAAAGTTGTTTTTTTGAAACCTGTTTCTGCACATTCATCACCGATTTTATTTCTGTGTCTTTTGGCTTTTAGAGGATTATCTCTCTGTACCAGGTAAATAACATTGAATAAAGAAAAGGAGGCATTTTCTTATCAAATCTCTGTAAATCGAAATAGATTTAACTTATTTTAAACTTCTCCATAGAGCCGTCATTTCACACAAAAAATGTGTCTGTGAAATGAATAGTTTTCATCCAGTTATTACTTAAACTGATTTTACTATTCAGGACCAAGCAATCTTATTCTTGTTTATCTGAGCTTCACCTTCTGGATGATGCAACTATGTACAAAATGCAGACGCAATAAGCAAGGGAAAAAAACAGGAGCATTTCTCCATCAACTCTTTATAAATCTATTTTTTTATTCAAAAAGATATTTAGACAATTTTTAATTGTGGTCACGAAGTAGTATTTCGTGCGCACAAAATACTACTTTGTGGCCACAATTAAACATTTTTTAATGTTTAATTGGTACATTAAATTGGTAGAAAATTATCAATCTTCAGTTTATCTTAAGTGAAATTACACTTCTTGAAAACAAAGGGAACACTCGTAACACATCCTAGATCTGAATGAATGAAATATTTTCATTGAATACTTTGAGCTCTACAAAGTTGAGCGTGCCGACAAAATAAAATAAATGGGAATCAAATGTATTAACCAATGGAAGCCTGGAATTGGAGTCACAAAATTATAGTGGAAAAACACCACAGGCTTTGATTTAATGTCCTTAAAACAGGTAAAAATGGGGCCCAGTACTGTGTGGCCTCCAATGCCTGGGCATTGTCCTGGTGAGGTGGGGGATAGTTTCCTGAGGGATCTCCTCCCAGACCTGGACTGTGATGCGATGTGATGTTGGTGAATGGATTAAGACATGATGTCCCAGATGTGCTCAGATTCAGATTGAGGAACCCAGCGCCAACCTCACCAGCATATCGTCCCACAAGGGGTCTGAGAATCTCATCTCGGTACCTAATGGCAGTCATGCCACCTCTGGCGAGCACATGGAGGGCTGTGCTGCCCTCCAAAGAAATGCCACCCCACATCATTACTGACCCACTGCCAAACCTGTCGGGTTGAAGGATGTTGCAGATAGCATGTCCTTCTACATAGTCACCAGACTGTCACGTCTGTCAAATGTGCTCACTGTGAACCTGCGTTCATCTGTGAAGAGCACAGGGCTCCAATGGTGAATTTTTCAAACCTGGTGTTCTCTGGAAAATGCCAAACGTCCTGCTGTGAGCACAACCCCATCTGTGGACATCAGGCCTTCACACCATGTGCAGACACTTGCACATTGGAGGTCATTTTGCAGGGCTCTGGCAGTGCTCCTCCTGTTCCACCTTGCACAAAAGCAGAGATAGCAGTCCTGCTGCTGAGTTGTTGCCCTCCAATGGCCTCCGCCATGTCTCCTGGTAGCGCCTCCAGCCTCTGGACGCCGAAAGACACAGCAAACCTTCCTGGCACGGCTCGCATTGATGTAGCACCCTGGATAAGCTGCACGACCTGAGCCACTTGGGTAAGTTGTAAAGTCCGTCTCATGCTACTATGAGTGGGAAAGCACCAACAACATTCAAACATGAGCAAAACATCAACCAGAAAGCAAAGGTACTCATAGATCCCCACCTGCAGAACCAGTCCTTTATTAGCTTGTGTTGTTATTTGCTAATAATTTCTACCTCTTGTCTGTTCCATTTGCACAACATCATGTGAAAGTTTGATTTGATTTAAGTTATTTCATGTTGTTTCTATTTTTTGAGCAGTGTGTAATATAACAGTAAATCTTAATTAAAATTAAATTTTAGACTGGGTTTGCTATTTGAGATAACATGTCTGCTTTTTGTTTTTTTTCTTTACTAAGCTTTATCTCTTAAGCACAGGATTGTAAACCATTTGATTTTAGATTACCTGTATTTACTGATCAATTAGATTTATAAGGATAAATAAAATAGTTTTTGTTCCTTTTCTCAAGTTTAAAGATAAACTCTTGTTAATAAAAAAGGAAAAAGCCAAAAATTGAATCCAACAAATTTCTATGGAAATTTTAAGTGAAGATTTCACGTTTAAATTACAATTGTTTAATACATTTTTTTAAATTACAATAATTACAAGGAATCAGGAATGATGGATAATCTTTCTATATATATATATATAGAAAGATTATCTATATATATATATAGAAAGATTATCCAGATTTCTTCATCATTCCATCAAAGAAAAAAAGATTTCCTTTCATTGCACCTTTTCCATTATTATATGTACAAATTTTGGGCTACTTTTTCTCTAACATACATTAAGGAGATTGGTAAATGTCTGGAATATTTATTTTAATTAAATATTGAAAGGTCTGTATAGTGTCTGATACAGAAAACATACCAATATGTTAATGTTTCAACATACCCCAAGGAATTAGACAAAATTGCTAATTTTCTCTCTCTTCATATATATATATATATATATATATATGTATGGGGCTGTCCCATGAGCATGAATTTTACATGAAATTCTGACGCACTCCTTTCTTTGAAACAAAAAAAGCCTTTCTGATGTCATACAGCTTAAAAAACCCCAAAGAGTGCGACTTCCTCATGTAGAACAGGCACTTTGCTTACAAGTTATGAACATTTATAAAAAAATCATCATCTTAATTTCCTAAACAGCAACAATTTTGTGTCCAGTTGTCAACAAAGTCAAGATATTTAGCATTGAGGCATTTTTTCACCTTTGTGTTTGTCTCCCCCTTGTGGTACAATCAAGATTATACAACCAACCTCTTTTTATAATCTGTGTGTTTAATTTATTCATTAAAAATGATTTATGTCATTACTGTTAAATTGCTAAAACCATTGACAATGCCATATGCCATAAGTAATTTCCCTCTGGGATTATTAAAGTATTTCTGATTCTGATATAGCAACACATAACACGCTTTCAAAGTTACCCAGATTTGTATTGTTTTCCCATTACAGATTTCCTTTTGTCACAGTTTAATATTTCAAATCATTAAAGGATTAAAATAAGAGAAAAAAAAATCTAATGATTTAATATATTAGGAGGGGAAAAAGTTATTTAAACTAACCGGACTATCTAAAAAAAACATCATGTAGGTAGCACAGTCATTAACAAAAGTCAAAATGAAGAGAGTTATAAATGGAGCTTGAGGACTTAATTGAACCAAACAGTGAGAGGAACGACCACACATGGAGAATTCACAGACAGTGGTGGACATTCACAGAAGAAAATGACTCTAAAACGAACATCTGAAGCATTGCGACAGTGATCTGAAGCACATATGCAAATTCAGAGCCAGGTGGTTTAACAAAGGGTGGCCTAGTTACATTGTAGGATTGAACCTGATTGAGATGATGTAGTGCAACATTTACAGGCCAATCATACCCAAAAAACCCAGAATGGGGATGACTTAAAACATATCTGTAAAGAACAGCAATTATAAAGGTTACTGGTTTCAGTGCTGCTGAGCTTCCAAGTGTCTGTGAGCTGCTCTTAGCGTCTCCTGCAGATCTTTGTAGCCGCTAAGCTTACAGGCCTCCTCCAGCTGAGCCCAGCGGTAGTCCTGGTGCTCGTTGGACAGAGTCACAGCCGTCTCTGGGTTTTTTAACTCGGCCAGCCAGTACAGCACCTCTTTGGGTCTGCCACGGACCTCGTAGCGCAGCTCCTGCACAAAGCCGTCTATAATCTGCAGCTGCTCCGGCCCCAACCCTGCCTCTTCCTTGGTCTCTCTTAAAGCTGTGGTCAGGTGGTCTTCACCCGGATCAACGTGACCTGAGAGTAAACATGTGATATGATATTTAAAAATGAAAACAAAAAAGTTATATTATTTTCCCAAATGAGGCTTTGTGTTTGTTGCAAACCTTTGGGTGGGGTCCAGTGGTGCTCCCCATAGGACGTCTGCAAGAGGAGATACTCGATGTTGCCTGGTGGGGGGTTGCAGCCGACAAGGCGACGGAAAACTATAAACCCACAAGCTCGCAGCGACATCATTCCTTGTGTTCTGGAAGGTTTATTTGCGGCACCTGAGTGGAAAATCAGCACCATAAAGACTGTTTAACCCAAGAGCTCTAAGAAGTAATCATTGGGCCTCATGCAACAACATTTTTGTGAATTTATATTCCTTTTCTCCTACTGCAGGTTTTTACAAACGCAACACATGAGATTCAACAAACTTTCTATACTTCAGTAAATGATTGTAAATAATAATAATAATGACCTTTATTGATTTCACATTGGAGAAATTTACCTCTGCATTTAACCCGTCCCCTTGGGCAGCAGTGGGCTGCCATCCTAGGGCGCCCGGGAAGCAGTGTGGGATTAAGGGTCTTGCTCAGAGACCCAGAGTGGCTGTCTGTGGGAGTGGGGCTCAAACTCAGAACCTCAGGATTCCAACCGTAACCACTAGGCCACTACTTCCCTAATAAAAGAATCCTTGTAAAACCTGATACAGGTCCCCTGTGCATAATGGTGCGTTCACACCAGAGGCGCTGGCCATGGCGAGTGTGGTCGATTCACTTAGAATTCCTATACAAACCGCACGCTGAAGGGCGGTGAAGCGGCCAGCGGTCAAATCCACGAGGTGATCGCTGAAAATGAAACGAGCTGAATTTTTCTATGAAACCGCAACCCAGCAGCCAATCAGGGACTAGTTGTTAGTGAAACTTTCACACTTAAAATGGAATACAGAGAAAATAATGCTAGAAAAGGTAGAAATAAGGAAAGCTCTAAGGAGGTTTTTAGGTGGCTTTAAAAAAAGCTGCTTTAATTTAGTCCTACCCGCTGTTGCATTCAATACCAGCACAGGGAGAACATCTGATGTTATGCAATAACTTTATATCAGGAACGAGCGCAGCACTTATGTCTGCTGGGAGGCAAATGTCGATAGCTATAATTAAAAATAATTCCATCTTAGAAACCAAATCAGCTCAAACGACTTGCTGATTTCAAGTAGCACTGAAAAAGTAGGCTAGATCATTTTTATTCAATTCAGAGCCTAAGGTAGGGAGAGTAGACCCTCTTGATCACCCAAAACAATCTTTAATATCTCTGAAACGACAGCAGCACATGTAATCTTTTTTTTATTTACTTATTTTCCCCCATTTTTACAAATGAATGTACAGAAGCAATAACCATTCAGTCTATTTGCTGAGCATTTTTCACATCAGTGGGTTTCAGCTTAACGCAGCTGAAGCTCCTCCTTTTTGATGATGCGTTTCAGGGTGTAAACACTGAGGATCCGAAATGCGGAGCGGGGCTCCCAGAAATCACCGCCTCCCCTGCATTCGGTCTGAACGCATCATAAGTGAGCGCCTGTTCTCGAGATATTTAAATATGCATAATTACCACCCGGATTATTCCATATAAGGGTACGGCTTCCCACGCCCAGAAGAAAAACATTAAAAGTTCTCAGATCGAGGTCTGCTGACTGAGAGCTGAACAGCAGAATTAAGGACCTGTAAAAAAGCCAAGCAGTGGAAATAAATAAATGAAAAGAGCTTTAAATGCTGTGGTTGTGCTGCTACAGAAGTAAAAATAAGATAAAAGAATAAAGATAATTTAAGAAGAAAAAGAAAACTGTAAATAAAAACTACTGATGAAGGCAGGAGGTGCAGCATATGATGGAAATGCTAAATGTGAGTTCAATATCAACCAACACAACAATGTTCTGCTAAATCTGCTACAGTACATCTTCAGACCACGTCTGACATCTCTTCCACAGAACTCTAATTTGACGAAGTCAGACAGACCAAAAGCCAAATATTCAGCATTTAGTGTAATAACAAAGCCAAGGAGCTGCAAAGGAGTGAAATAAATAAAAGTCTCACAGTTAGAGGAGTTTTGCTGACTTTCTGTCCCAAATGTAATTCCAAAAGTGCTTTAATCTCTAACTATGTCCTTTGATGAAATAAAAACAGATTGAACCAGTGTCCCCTGGATGCCGACATACAGCAGCTGCAAGTGGACCGACACTTCTGTCATCAGGGAATGAAAATGTAATATATAATTGCAGAGTTGCATAATATATAATAATATAGCCCTAAAATTTGACAATTGCTTCTAAGTCACAACAAATGTAGTCATTTAGGGAAAAACTAGGTTTGGATAGCAGCTGACTGATTGCGCAAGACTCATATGCAAGTCTTGAGCACTCGAAAGATTTGTTAGTATGATAGAATATTAGAAATAGGGGAAAAAAGGTGAAGATATGTTCTCCGAAATCCCTTAAATGAACGATTTAAGAACAAATTTGTTTGCACTAAGGGTTCTTGCTTTCTGTTGACTTTAGCATACTGAGCTGGTTCTTAGTCCAAATTCATCAAAAAATAAAGACTTCTTTTGTTGTTTCGACAACAAATGTTTAAGTTATCGAAGTATCGGTACAATAGGTTAACGATTCTACCAAGAAGCTGAAAGCTCCAGTAGTGGAAGATCAGTCGTGTGCAGGATACTCTAAATGCATATTATGTTGCACACTAACAGACCCAGATAATCTTTAGGTGGAAGGTTAAGTATACGTGGCTTTATATTTTTCATTCTTCTTTTTACAAATATAAATCTGATGTATGTATTATTTTCATTGTAATCTATTTAGTTCATCTGAATTATAGCAGAGCAGAACAACCATAATAACTGCAATTACAGTTGTACGTCTGTAGGGGTCCCTATTTTCCTGTTTATCACATCGAGAGTAAAGTTTCTTTAAATCCTTTATAAAAATAAAAAAACAGCCAAAGTCTAACTTGGCTATTCATATAAATGTTTTGATCTAAACTATTTTACCAATGCTGGGTTTTTAGGTCTTTGTCCTGCAGCCTGGAGGCTAACCACCCGCACCAGTGTCCCCACAACATCCTCTTGATGTTGTGTTACTGTTATGCAGAGATGGCAAAAGTACTCACTTTCCGTACTTGAGTAAAAGTACAGATACTTGTGTTAAAAAATACTCTGGTAAAAGTGGAAGTACTGATTAAACTTCTTTACTCAAGTAAAAGTAACAAAGTACAGGCTTGTAAATTTAGTTAAACTATAAAAGTAAAAGTAGAAACCACTTTTTTCATGCCGTTGCCTACATTTTAAATGGATGTCTGCCAATAGGACTAGATCTTCGTTGTGTTCATTTTCAATCATCTCGTCGTCCATGCTACTATGCTAACGCCACCGCCACCAAGCTGCAATGATTTGCCGCCAATGAATACCACCGAATCTGTCGATTCCTCTTGTAGTGGTGCGTCAAATGCAACGTAGATTCCCATCCAATTAGATTGAATTTGGTATTGATGACGTGAAAAATAATAACTGTAACTCCATTGAAATGATTCAAAACTAAAGTAACGAGCCAATTTTTTAAAATGTAAGGAGTAGAAAGTACAGATATTTGTGTAAAAATGTAAGGAGTAGAAGTAAAAAGTCGCCATAAAAATAAGTAGTAAAGTAAAGTAAAAATATCAGAAAAATCTACTTGAGTACTTGTACTAGTATTTGTACTTCATTACTTCCCATCTCTGCTGTTATGTGAAGTATTTAGATTATTTTAAATAAAAAAATAAAAAAGCACCAAAACTTGAATAACAGTTCACTGTTTTATATTCTGTTTTTATTAGTTCTAGTGAGGGGGATTCTCAAAGTCATCAGTAGCATGGCGAAGACAATTAAACAAAAGGGGAGGACACAGTTAAAGGTGGTTTCTTTCAGTATAAATGGCATAAATGATTCAATTAAAGAGATGGAGAGTTTTATCTAAACTCAGGAAAGAAAGTTAAAGTAGCGATGCTAGAGGAATCACACCTAGATGATCCTGATCATGCCAAACTGAACAAATTGGGGTTTAAATCTATTTTTGTTTGCACGGCTCCGGGAAGCAAAGAGGGGTTCGAGCTCATTGTACTATGAACATGTTGCAGAACATAAAGACAGGGAGGGTGGTTATATTTTAATTATAGGAATAATAGACTGCATCCTGATAAGTTTCATTAATGCCTATGCCCCACCCGGTAGCGACTGGTCATTTTACAAGAAAGTAACCGAATTAGCAGCAACAAAAAGTCAGGAAGTAATTATCTTTGTTGCAGACTTTAATATTAGGTTAAATCCAAATCTGAACTCATCTAATGGGAAAACTAACTCAAAATATATCAGTAAAAGAATAAAAAATATGATGAACAAACTGGGATTAGTGGACCAGTCGTGACTACACACATTATTATTCTTTTTACACTATATACTCACAAACTGATTATTTCTTGATGTTTAAAAAAGATGTGCATAGATTAGAAAGTTGGGAAACTGGCTGTAGTCCAATGTCAGACCACAGCCCAATCTATATCTCCTTTCAACTGGCTGAAAGAAGCAGATCCACATTCTGGAGACTGAATACAAAGTTATTAAAGAGAAAAAAACAATGAAGAATATGAAAACTGAACTCAAACTATACTTGGATGAGAATGACAATAAAGAGGTGGGTCCAACATGCTCTAAAGGCGGTAGTCAGGGGAAAAATAATAGCCGCTTCCTCCAAAGTAAAGAACATTAGACAGCACAAACAAACTCTTTTAGAAACTTCAGAAAGACCATTCCAAAACCCTCAAGAGGGCAACAAGAACTTAAATTGAGACAGTGAAAAAAGGAACTAAATAATTTAAGCATGCAAGAAATGTAAAATAAACTTCTCTTTACTAAACAGAGATGCTATGAAGCAGGGGGGGGAGTCTCTTAAGCTCCTCCTAAATTACAGAAACCACAAGTGGATAGGACTATTCACAAAATACAGAATATACATACAAATAAGGTTGAAACAAACCTAGAAAAGATCCATAAATGCTTTGAAGATATTTTTTCAAAGCCTATATTCCCAACCCAAATGGAATAATGAACAAACAGATTCCTTTCCCAACTCTCTCTCTCTGTTCAATATTACAGGCGAGCAAAACGAACAATTAATATCAGAGACCATTGAAGCAGAACTAAGGTCAGTGATTAGAAAGTTGAAAGGTGGGAAATCTTCAGGAACGGATGGGTTTACCTCTGAGGGGTTAAGAGAAATGCAAGATCAGTTAGTCCCTGTGTTACTGAGAGTTTTCCACAATCTACTGGAAAAGAAAATAATCCCTCCCTCATGGAGAGACAGTTATTTCACTAATCTCTAAGGAGGGAGAGGATAAGTTGGAAACTACTGCCCAATACATGTGCAAAATATTGATTATAATTTATTTACTGCCACAATCGCACAGAGAGTGGAAAACATCTTGCCAGTGATAATCCATAAGGACCAAACAGGCTTCATCAGACAGAGACAGACACAGGATAACATCAGAAAAACCTTGCATATTTTAATCTAAATCATGTAGTTCAACAAAAAATAGTCTCTTGTACTGAGTCTGGATGCAGAGAAGGCTTTTGACTCAGTCAGATGGTCTTTTCTTTACAAAGTATTGTCCAGGTTCCCAGACCATAATAGATGTCATTGCAGTTCTAAACAATAAACCATCAGCTAGGATAAAAATTAACGGAGACCTATGTGATACATATGTGACCCTTGTCAACTACTGTATATCCTTCCATTAGCTCTCCACTGTGCATATATATATTGTTTTATATCTAAGGGAAACATATTCCAGGACATTACAGCTTTTTTCTTTTTTATACTTTTGTACTATATACACTCTTTTTATATTGTCTGTCATATTTTTTTTTATCTTTAATGACATCTTGCTTGAACTCTTTGTACTCTATATAAGCTACTGGAACCAGAATTTCTCTGAAGGAGTATTCCCAATGGATAAATAAAGTTGAGTCTAAGTCTAACTCTATATATGTGACAATTGGGGAACAGCCAAACCAGGACTTTTTTAATGTGTTCTTGTCTCTGTTGAAGTCAGGTTCATGCAAGAAACTAGTTTCCATAATGTACAATGGTATTCTATCCTCTAAACAAGGTGGCGCAAATTAAATAAGAAACAAGCGAGTAAAAGAAGGAAATGTATCTTACTCAACTGAAGACTGGGAACCGATAAATAAATCACACTGGATGACCAATACATGGAGACAGTTCTGTTGGAATAACACTGATATTTTCTACCTCCAGCTCAAAAAAACATTGGGCAGCGAAGACACACACAAAACTACTGTTAATGCTTCTGGCAGCCTGCAAAAAGACAATCCCTAGAAAACGGTTAAGCCTGAAGCTCCTACAGTTGAGGAGACGGTCAATATTTTACAGGACATTTACATTCTGGAGACGTTATGTTTTTCTGTTCAAGGTTGAAAGGAATTATTTTTCAGGATCTGGTCTAAATGGACAAACTATGTCAAATCAGTAATCCCTGTGGAATAAATATGTCTATCACATGTAAACACTGTTGTGCTGTGCATTGTTTCCCAGTTCAGGACGATGGCAAAATTATGTTCTTGGTTGTGCTTCTCCTCTAACATAAGAAAATTCAGACTGGACCCCCCCCCCTTCACCCTTTTGTAACGGATGTACGGTTATTATACAAACAAATTTCCATTGTTGTGGAAGATGGGTTGTACAGAGCAACTGAGACCTGCCTTTCCAAATAAAAGATAAAATAAAAAAAATAAAAAAACAAGAAACTTGTATAATATATTAATATCTCATCTTTCTCAAAACGGCCCACGTTTTACAAGGTTGCAGGTGTAAAATTAATAATAAAAAAAATAAATAAATAAAAAACACACTAGGGCATGGCGATGTGCTCTTAAAATCTTATCTTCATAAACTACAGCAGGGGTGCTCAAGTCCAGTCCTCAAGAGCTACCATCCTGTAACTTTTAGATGCATCTCTTCTCAAGCACACCTTCACCTAAAGCCCCAATTCCTCATTTAGCTCAGCAGAGGTGTGGCAACGAGCCACTCATTTGATTCAGGTGTGTTAAAAATGGATTGCATCAAATAGCTGCAGAATAGTAGCTCTGGAGGACTGGACTTGAGCACCCCTGCACTACAGGTGGAGTGGCAGCCTAGTGGTTAGTGCAGCCATCCCCAAAGTCTGTCCTCGAGGGCCGCTGTTCTGCAGGTTTTAGAGGTTTCCCTGCTCCTGCGCACCTGATTTACATCGATTGTTGATTTAGAAGTTTTTGCTGATATGCAATCCACAGAATCAGCTGTGCTTAAGCAGACAAACCTCTAAAACCTGCAGGACAGCGGCCCTTGAGGACGGACTTTGGGGATGCCTCGGTTAGGGGATAGAGCTTGGAATTCGAGGTTGTGAGTTTGAAACCCAATCCCAAAGACTGCCACTCTGGGTCTCTAAGCAAAGACCCCTAACCCCCCATTGCTTCCACGGTGCCCCATGGTGGCAGCCCACTGCTCCCTAAGGTAATGGGTTAAATGCAGAGGTAAATTTCTCCAATGTGAGATCAATACAGTTCAATTACTCTGTGGTATTATCCGTATAACGATATACAAGTGAAAAAAAAAACTTCATGTACACTTTTTCTTAGGTATCTGTGTGACTGTGACTGCTTCACACAGCAATCATAGCCCCACAATAACAAATAATACGTGTGGATATTATTGAAATGGCCTTCTAATTACTTAAAGAAGTATGCTTTATATCACTAGACGTTTCTTAGTAGCGACATTTAATCATATTCTTAACATTTGTCAATGCCCAAAGGGAAGTAAGAACAATTGGAAAAATGGTACAAATATAAATTCTTAAATATAAATTCAAACAGTTTTTTGAGTTTTTACTCATCATTGATTTTATGGTCTAGATCAGGCATCCCCAAACTTGGTCCTCAAGGCCCCCAGTCCTGCAGGTTTTAGAGGTTTCTCTGCTACAGCACAGCTGGTTATAATGATTGCAGTAGACCAAAAGCCTGTTAATCAGCTTTCAATTAAAATCAGCTGTGCTAGAGCAAGGGAACCTCTAAAACCTGCAGGACAGGGGGCCTTGAGGACCGAGTTTGGGGATGCCTGGTCTAGATCAAGAGTCTTCAACGTTTTCCAGGTCAAGGACCCCCAAACTGATGGTGAGATGGAGCGGGGGACTCGCTCGTGGATGGGACAGGTGTTGTGAATGAAACGGTCCCCAGCTTGAAAGAGCTTGTGTGTGTCGCTGAAAGACATCTTCTGCCTCCATTTATCTGTTTACTGCAGTATGTTAAACTCATGTTAATGTGTATTTAGAGACATTTCAATTAGTGGAAAAAATTGCAGGGGGGAATATTAAAAAAAAGTCTAAAAAAACCAAAACTTTCGCGACCCCCATGCAGTACCTCTGTGGTACCCCTAGGGGTCGTGGACCCCTTGTTGAAGACCTCCAGTTTACGATTAAATCAAAATTCTTATTATGACTAGAAACGTATCGCAATACCAGACATAATAAATGCCCACCCCTTCCACACACACATCCATAAATCAATAAAACGGATCTCTTGTCATATTTCTCAGATTTCCCTTGAACTATTTAAATCAGTTATCTTGAGGTATTCCTGCACATTCACTCTGCCTTTGGGTCAAACTGTTATGATAACCAGCTGAGTTAATCTGATTCTCCATAAAACACATTTTCTTTACATATTTAATGAAGCCACAACTCAAATACAGCAAATTCATAATAAACCCGACGTAACGTTGACCTTACGAGGTTATATTCGTTTATATTCTATTATTTTAACGTTAGTTTTCGCATAGATACAGAAGCTAATCTTTGCGGGCGTTAGCTACTGTAGCTAAATTAATGTATATAAATCGAGTCGGTTCTATCCAGTGTGCCAGTGTCTTGCTATCTTTTTACGTTTGGTGTAATAATCTAACAAGATGAAAAAGGAAACAACTCACGGTTTAGTTTTTCAGGTGTTATTTCCACTGAGCGCAGGAAGCGCTTCGGTACGTCTGATAAATTCGTCCGGCTGGACTTGAGGAAGGACGATTATTTGGTTCCGCTAAGTGACAGCTCAGGTTTCTCAGTCAATGGTCTCCATTGCACATGTGGTTCTTCTTCTTCTTCTTATGAGAGTTTATGGCGGTTGGCAGACTTGTGAATTGTGCATTACCGCCACCAACTGATATGGAGTAAAGCAAGAAAACAGGAAACGATTCACCCCCCCCCCCCCCAAAAAAAAAAAAAAAAAAAAAAAAAAAAAACCTGTGTAACTTAAACCAACATAATACTAAATCACATTTGCCCATATAATTTTAATTTACTCTAGGTCATCATAATTCTGCCAGTTTCTGATGGTCCCATCGGTCCTCCCATCATGCTTCCAACCATCTCTCAGTTCAAATCTTTAATGTCCAGATATTTTTCTGCAGCCTTCACTATTATTTTGATTTTTTCAGTTTTTTTTTGTTGTCTGTGCAGTACAATTAATCACTTCTACCATGAAAAGAACAAAATTTGTCTTTTTAACAATTAGTGAGTCTTCATCAATTTTTGGAGATTTCTCTAGAGGTTTGGAATTTGCTGTGTGTTGAACTGTAGGTTTGGGTTTTTCTGACTGAGATGGGATCCTTTTTGCAGCTTCAGCGTAGGTTATTCCGAGCTCAAATTTCATTTTTTAAATTTCCTCAGACCTTTTGCTTGCTTCACAGCCGCGATAAGCAGCAGTATGTTCTCCACCACAATTACAGCATTTTATTTTAGCTTCTTTTCCACATTTTCCGTACTCATGTTCTCCTGCACACCTTCCACACCTCTGTTTCCCTTTACAAACTGCTGCAATGTGACCGAATTTTTGGCATTTGAAACATCTCAATGGTGGAGGATTGTAGATTTTGACATTATAGCTTATGTAACCGATGAATACTTTGCTTGGTAATTGCTCTTCTTCGAATTTAATTAACACCGATAAACTGTCAGATCTTTCTCCGTTTCTTGTTGTTTTTAACCGTTTTACTTCTTTTACTTTTGCACCGCTTATGTTTTCCAGAATCTCTTTTTCAGAAATTTTTAGAGGAACTCCTCCAATGACTCCCCTGCTGATCTTTTTGTTCTCCATTAGGCTGCACTGAACTCTTATCCCGTCAATTTTGTTGATACGTATTGCTTTGCCTTGCTGGGCGCTGTCTCTGCAGTTAATTAGCAGGTCTCCACTGTACAGAATTCTGGCACCTCTGACTTCTCCGACAAGTTTATTGATGGTTTTTGTTAAGTGAACCGGATTCCAATTTGTAAAAGAGTCTGCCTGATTAACGACTTTGAATATGACTTTGAATTCATTTTGTTGTGCTGTGGAATGTATGGATTGATCATCACTGGATTGTTCTGAACTAGATTCCCCTTTAACTGATCTCTGTTTTTTCCGCTTTTTCTCATTTTTTGATGTTGCTATCTTCCAACCTTCATTGTCACTATTTCCTTCTTCCATCCCACAAGAATCGCTTCCTGTTTCCTCACTACTCACGGCCCAGGACATCTCTCCACAAGCAGCTTCAAAACACGCGCCATGCACCACCGGCCTGGTTCCGTGGTTGTCTACTGTTCACTCTTCCTGCACATGTGGTTTCTGTAGGATATGCGGTGAAATACCAAATCTGATCCCCCCGTCTGTTATCTGTTAATCATTACTAACTTACAATAAATAAATAAATAAGAAACCACCTCACTACGCTAAAAAACAACATAGTTTAAGAAAAAAAAAAAACAAAAAACAACCAAACAAAACAAAACCAAAAATATAGAACAAAACAGAAAATACAAAAAATAAAAAATAAAAAATAAATAACATAACTGGTTGACTCATTGAGCAAACAGGGTATGTGTCCTAAAGGCTGACGCCCATTTTTGGACCAGTCTGAGTCTGTCATAATGTATTAAAATGTATTTATCATTAATTATTAATTTACATTGAACAATTGAACAATTTACCAAATTGTAATCCAATCAGAGGACTTAAAAATATCCCCCCCCCCAAAAAAAAAAAGATTAAATAATGAGAGATTAAATAGTTTTTAGATTATAACAAATCAGACACAATATGGTGAGTTACACAGTACGTTGGATGTCTCTCCATAACATTTCTTTTCAGTCCAGTTCGTGTAATTATGTTGTGCCAATTCACAACACATGCCAACTTGAGTCCCTTTACAAAGATAAGTCAATCAGATCATCAGTCAGGCCAGTAAAGAAAAATCTGAGGAAAACCAGCTGATTGCATTTAGTCAATGCCTTTGCAGAACACGCTCCTCCTGGATGAGTTTGTAGCAACACTGTATATTCACTTAGATTGTGTTGCTGAATCTACATCCCTTATGCATGCAGTGACAGTAGAGAGGAAAAATCTCCTTTTTAACAGGGAGGAACCTCAATCAGAAGCAGGCTCTTCTGCTGAGGCCGACTGAGGTAAGGACACAAAAGCAGACATACTAAAGGAATATTTCTAACATACTAATACTTTATATGTTCGAAAAGGTAATATGTGATTGATTGATTGATTAACTTTACTGATCTCGCAGTGGAGAAATGTACTCGTTACATCAGCTTAAATAGTCCAGAAAAAGAAGAAGAAGGTGCCAAAGGAAGAAAAAGCAGCATGGGATATGTACAGCATATACAGTGTCCATACATAACTAAAATCTTCTTTATATATATATATATATATATATATATATATATATATATATATATATATATATATAGCATTATTGCACAGGGTATTTACATGGGTATTAAAATTGATGGATATCTATTTAAATTAGTGCTGTCAAAATTATCGCGTTATTATCGCGTTAACGCGAGGCCATTTTAATGGCGATAATTTTTTTAACGTGAGATTAACGCTATGTGGTTTTATGGTACAATTTTCCAAGTACATCCCGCTGCAGCCTGCGGGAAGGCAGGGCTATTTTCCCCCAGTCTATGCATTTTCCATAGGATTCGAGAGCGGAGCTCCTCAAGGAAAAAAGACGCTCATACACTGGGTGACGCTAGTGCCTTTTCTTTAAGCCCCACCACCAACAAACAAATTGAGTGTCTGGTAACTAGTAGCAACCTGAAATACGCTGAGAAAACAGATTACTGAGTTGAAATGGAATCTGCTACGGCACTCTTGCTGTCTGTGTACGCCACAGGTCAGTATCGTGTGTGTGTGTGTGTGTGTGTGTGTGTGTGTGTGTGGGTGGGTGTGTGTTTGTGTGTGTGTTCTCATTTTTGTTAAGAGGCTGAAAAGTAACTTTCTAGAGCATAGACTACCTCCATCTAGTGATGTCGGTCTATTGATTTTGATGTATTGATTGAAAATTGTTCATTATTACCTTGGTTAATTGACATCTAATGTTAACTCTACTACATTTTATAGCAGTAGAGCAAAATGCTTGTCTTTGTTCAAAAGACTGTATTAACTGTAAAGACTGTCTTTTACATCAGCCTGTTTTCAGGGCCTTTTTTTGGCTACATATTTGTTATTTTTTGCTACATGCCTCCCCATCTTCTTGCCATATGTTTCTATGGCATAAATCAGTGTCTGTGACCTGTTTTCATTTAAAAAAAGAACATTGGCACAAACCTAGCCTGTATGTATTTTTTGTATATCATCGAGAGTATTTAAATGATTTTCAATCAGAAAAAAAATGTGTGATTAAAATGCGATTAATCGCGAGTTAACTTAGGCATTGATGCGATTAATCGAGATTAAAAAGATTTAATCGATTGACAGCACTAATTTAAATATAACTATTGCACTGGGTGTCAAACATAAAAAACAGGTTATTGCACAGGGTGTTAAATAGTAATTGCACATTATACATTGCACAAGTTATTGCCGTTATAGTGATGCATTGTAGAGTCTGGTGGCAGCAGGGATGAATGACCTGCGGTAGCGCTCCTTTTTACAAGCAGGGCGTATAAGTCTTTCACTAAAGGAGCTTCTCAGCTCCTTGACACTCTGGTGCAGGGGGTGGAAGGTGTTGTCCATGATGGATGTAAACTTGGACAGCACCGTCCTCTCAGCCATTTCCTCCACTGAGTCCAGAGCGCAGATGGTTGCTTTTTTAAGTCTTTATGGGTAACTCATGAAGCCCTTAACAATGATCTCTAATGGATATAATGGTAGCTCCACAGGTGACTCTGTCTAGGAAAGAAGCAGTTGAGCCAGTTTTCTTGTCAAAAAGAATGAAAAAGAGCACATGCCATCAGCCACAGTAAAACTGTGTAAAACATAGCTAATCATGGTTCCCCCCACCCTCTACTGTCTGACAAATAAGGCTGCCAGAGAGTAAGATTTTCAGCAAATAACAATAAGTGATCATATTAATGATCTGTTTAACCCCTTAGTTAAAACCTATGGCAAGGAACATGGTGGATTTTGGAAAAGTAGACAAAACCTACAGTCTTTACATGTTTTGACTGATTAACATTTCATTACAGTATTTTATCCCATTTTAAGTCTTTATGGGTATTCCACGAAGCCCTTAACAATTAACTCTAATGGATGTAAAACAAAGGGCCCAGTCTATTAAAAAAAAGCATTTCTACACAATCAAATAGACTCTGTGCGGAAGGCGTAGTGGTAAGACCCTCAGATGTCATCAGAATTAATAGAGTGTGCTTCATGTCTGTAACTGCTTAGATAAGAAACAGACCCAGAGGAGGCTGGACCAACTGAAGACAGCCTGTGCAAGAAGATAATAGAAACAAGTCTTCCTTTTAACCCTGAGCTGACAGCAGCGCAGTTGTTCATTTTGACGAAGAAGTCACAGCCGCTGGGTTTCAAGGTAAAGTTAGAATGAGATATAAACCTGTCTTTGTCATTCTTCATTTATATATATTTATATATTTATAAATGGGAAACTTGCTTACTGTCTAGGTGTTAAAATATTCCTGAATCTGTATCTTAATAATCATGGTTTATGGCTGATGGAAATTCGAAACATATAATTTAGTTCAAATAATTTGGACATTACACAGCGCCAATAAGAAAAGTGTTTTTTAAAAAGAAAAGTAGGCCTTTTGAAAAGCATGTCCTTTATTGCAGTTTATGTACTCCGTGCTTGGTAAGGGCCTTTTTTTCATGACAGCAGCATGGACAAACTAAGGAAATCTATCTATAATCTCACTCTGGGACATCCATCTCAGAACTATATTGGCAAAACAGGACACACACACACAAAAAAAAATCAAACAAAAGTTGTGAAACTTAGCATGTTTTTAAAATAAATAGATACCATTCTTTGTGTTGTAGGTCTTATATAAATTTCCCTTTTATTAAAATGAGCTGACTTTTTGATGATATTCTTATCTAGTGCATATCAATAGCCATGCAGTTTGACAAATACTAATATGCTGCTGAAAATGACATTTGCATCCAAATATTTCTAATACATGCTTCCTTCTGGGAAGATTGCACATTTAGATGATGTAGTAGCACTTTGTCTTTGGATACAATGGATCATAATGTATGTAGGTTATTTATATGACTCCCAGTATAATTGATTTATCTCAGTTTTTCATCAGGTCCTGTTTTTGACAGCTTTTTCTTGCCATTTCTGACAGACTAGCAACTTGATGTTTCCCAAGTGATGATGGGGCAGATATTAGGGATTCATGGTATTAAAGCCTTGAGTCAGGAGCTGATTGGTGCCAGGACATGTTCTTGCGCCAACGTCCTGGATTATTTATGGACTTAATTGAAGCTAACAGCAGAGATTGGAGATGCAAACACAAAAAATCCGGTGACAAATAAAAAAAAAAAGACATTCTTCAAGTTGTTGAGGATCTTGTAAAAGTTTTGAAAACTAAAACACATTAGAGAAACTTGTTTTGCATGCCATTGAAAATTGTAATATTCGGTGCTTGCTCTTGAAACAGGCTGAAACTGTGAGCCATGGAGGAGAAACAGCAGCCATCTGGAGGACTTCACTTCGTCGGCAAGAAAGATGAACTGATTAAAGCAAAGCGGTCTTTCAGGACTCTAGAGGGTCGAGATATACTGATTATCTACCACCAGGGAGTCTTCTATGCTATTGACTGTTACTGTTATCGTGAGTAGGATTTCATTCAACTTTATTTAAAAAATGATCATCTGAAAAAAAGCTTTTACAAACCATCAACATTACCTGATCAGTAAAAATGGTCAGAAACCCTGCTATGCAGCATTTACTAAATCTTTCAGAGAAATTGCAGATGTCCATATAAAGAAAAATTAGCAAACTGATTTCTATATTATTTAAAGACAATACAGAAACTTTGCATTTTTTCTGCAAAAAGATTAGAAGATCATATATTTCAATAACCTGTTGGTCACAACAATCTTAATAATAATATAAGCTCATTTTCTGAAAATCTCTTTCTAAATTAGTAAATATACAGAAAATACGCCCTAATTAATATGTAAAATGTAAAAAACAATTTATTTTAATGTTAGCTCATTTCAACCAGTTCAACAAGGGTTTTGGAAGTTTTGATTCTCTCTTAGAATGGGGACACTGGATATTTTTGGTATAACACAATTATTTGCAAACATGCAAAGATATGCTGTCAACCAGTTTGTTTATCCAGCAATAAAAAAAAAAACTGTATTTTTTTATGCAGATGCTGGAGGAACGCTGCTGAACGGGGACATTGAGGTGAGGTTCTATTTGACCCTATTTAACTTGATGTCAGAGGAATGTATTATGCCACTGAGGTCAGGTGGGAGGCCTGAACTTGATGTGTTTATTATCACCCTGCACTTGCTCTCACCTGTGAATCCATCTGTGCTAAATCATCTACAAGGAACTGCCAGGCGTAGCCTCAGACAGTTTCTGTAATTACAATGTCAAATTTGCATCGCATTAATACATAACCACCTGCTTTGTTTCCAAACAAACACATTTTACACACAGGACATCAACGGCAAGTTGTGCATAATCTGTCCAAAGCACAAGTACAAGATCACTTTGGCTGAGGGGGAGGGCTTGTACAGGGCCAGAAACCCCAAGGAAAACCCTCCTGTGCTCAGGTGGTACTCCAAGGGTGTGAAGCAGAGGGTCCACACAGTCACAGAGACCAACGGTGAAGTCTTTGTCAAGCTCACCACCATCCCAAACTGGATCGAATCAGACTACTACCAAGGAGAAAAGGGCAAGGTGGAGAGAGACAAGGCTGAAGCATCTGAGGGGGATATGCCTGTAATGAGAGAGGAGGACGAGTGAAGATGCCTTTTTTCCTCTGATCTCAGAATGAACTGACTATTGTAAAGAGGATGTTAATTAACATCAATCCAGACATGACCTACCTTAATTGGTGCACAAGCATATAGGAATTTAAATTCTATTTCATAAATAATCATGCTAGTATAACTGTGTGGCCATGTGTTTCCTTACTCACTCCTATCTCTTCCTCATGAAATATGCATACAGACACTGAGCTGCTGTGATAAAAAGCTGTATAATGATCAATACATTCCTGAAGTGGGGAATGACATAGATTAAAAAATAAAAAGATCAAGAAAAAAAAGTGGTAAATTGTTAATGATGTAGGTAAGCTTCCTTTAGATAACAAAGAAACTGTAAATCTTAGCATTATGTCGTTCTACCCTATTGGTCTGAAACATTTTTAGCCCCTATGAATTTGTTTTTTCTTTACACCCTGTGTTAAACTTGTTTTATTGGATTTTTATGTGATTGTAAATACTGTTGATCTGACGAGATTGGTCCAATTCAAGGTCATCAATCACCAGGATCACCAATCAGGTTGCAGTTGCACTAAACTCTATCTGTTTTTTTCAGAAATGGGGAATTGAACGGTGCTGCATTGTTTATTTATTTATTTATTTTTTTTTTTTTTTATTGTGAGGTCTTCACGAAACAGCTTGGTTTATACTGAGACTATATTTCACCAGGAGGTCTCAAACTTTTTAGGCCAAACGCTTTTTCAAAAGGAAACTTTCCCACCCCCCCTTACAATCCCCACGTCGATTAATAGCTAAGGAAAAACAAACAAACTTGGGTCTTTTTTGTTTTAGTCAAAGAGAAAATGAAAGGAAATCAGAATTCTAAATGTTCCATCACAATGTTATGTGTGTTAATGTGTTGATATCTTGTCCCCATGTTCTGTTAATACAGAAATAACAATGTGGAAATTGCAATTTACCAAACCATTAGATCAGTCTTTATATATTTAAAACATAAGTAAAACAGAACGTTATCTAACTTTGAAGAAATAGAGACAACAAATGAATAAAATGTGGTAAATTATTGAATTTAGTGCTTTCTGGGTAATACTGACCAATCAAAGATTTCAAAGTCCCCCATTTCACACTCACTAATGAGCGCATGTTCATACGCCAATAGGTAGGAAAATTAGGGTTGAGGGCCTGTTGCTCAGGGGAACATTGACAAGTGAAAGGAGAAAGCAGGAATTGAACCCACAAACTTTCAATCTAAAGATGACTACTTCTCCTTTTTATATATATATTGCAGAAAGAGAAATAACCTATTAAAAAACAACAAAAAAACAAGACAAGTTCACATCTATCGTGTTTCTTCTTTCCAGTGTTGTGTTGTGTTAAAATCCCTATAAAATACACCAATGTTTGTAGTTTTAATGTTCCAGAATGTGAAAAAGTTTAAGGATTTTTCTCCTTATTTAAGAGATACTTATTTTGTCAAAACAGAGCTAAGTAAATCCTAAACTAGGGAATTGTCTTTCTAACCTTTTTTATTATAGTTAATGGTAAGGCATGCTGAAATATGTACATTTTTTTCAGTTTTTCCAGATCAGTATGCACTAAAAATAAACTGAATAGCTAACTTAATACACAATGAGATCAACATTGTAATGTAAGAATTAATTAAGAACAGTCAAACATGATTCCTGTTGGTATCTTTAAGCTACCTCCCCCTGCACTGGAGGCTTTCTCCTATTGACACTTTAAATATGATTGATAAGTAAGATAAAGGTTGCAAAGTTTCCAAGGATGAACTATTAACATATTATTATTCTGTCAAACTGACAAGATTCCCCGAGCCACTATCTACTGAAGGTCATTTCTAATAGGTCAACAACTGAGAGCGTTTGTCAAGATAAAGAGACGACTATGTGAGAAAACTGCAAAGCGGGGATACCTGAGGGACAGCAGCGGCCCTGGGAGCCACACAGATTTACAGGGAATTCAAATTCTACAGCTTGATCACATTACATGGTTGTGAATGGAACAAGATGCTCTGATTAAAAATGTATATGTCCTCAGGCTCGTCTAACTCTACAAAACAGCTGTAGAAGACCTTGAGTTTATCCAAGAGGGACGACCAGATAATTTATTGCCTGCTTTAAGCCCCAAAACAAAACAGCCTGGAAGAATAAGTATTTTGCTGTAATGCCTCAAGAGAGAAAACAAGCAGCATAAATGTATAGTTTATTGACAAGATATGAGTTAAAAAAGGACATAATATAACAGATCAGACAAGCAGGTTAATTATTTATGGGCTATAATGTTAAATTACACATTAGACACCCTTTACATCCTGTATTTTATATTGTTCCTCAGAGATTTCACAACATAGTTGCCCATTAAAGGTGTTTCAGGAATATTTTTAATATTAAATGTTGGTACATGGCTAGGGGTTATTAAGAGAGGCTGTTTGGATCACAGATGAGTTACTAGTCCACATTTAGACTGACTCAGTTAAAGGGAAGAAACTCGTATATAAAAAGACACATGCACAATGATCAGGGATATGGGAATGAAAGAAATTACATTTCAGTCTTCTTTTAAGCTATTCAAAACCATACCTACTTATTGACTGACAGTCAGGGATGTGACTAATTCTTGCAGTCATAAAGCAAGAGGTGAGATACATCCTAGACAGTTCACAACAGATCAAAGGATGAGGCTATGCAGGCACATGACTCAGGGTAATCTGCAGTTAAGGAACATAAAAGTTATGTTTTTGGACAGTGGTACCCACATGCAGATGGCGCTCAAGATAGGATTCAAACCCAGGATCTTCTTATTGCAAAGTAACATAGCTGACCACTGCACCACAAACATCTCCAGAATGATTCCACTACAAACATGACTTATTAATAACTGATATTTCTGAGAATGAATGGTTAAGCACTAACAATTACATTAAAATAACTAATATTATAAATATACAGATTTAGCGTTATCTTTTTAATTTGACCAAAATGTGCAAGCTGACTAAAAACAATAATAATACTGTGTAATAATAATAATTACTGATAGAGATTCTGGGAAGGGAGCTGAAGATTAAGGTAGTTACAAAGAGGACTTCCAACCCCAAAGCTTCCAGTCAAATACCAGTGGAAAAAAGCAGAAGGCTGGGCAGTTATTCTAAGGGTTTTGGTGCTGCAACATCACTAACATTTTTGATTGATTACATACAGATTTTAAACTTCTCTTAAAAAAGTGATACAAGCTTTTGGTTTTCAAAAGTGATATTCCTTTATCTCATTATCACTGAGATTTTCAATTCAATTCAGTTTATTTATATGGTGCTAATTCACAACACGTCATCTCAAGGCACTTTACAATTGAACCAGATAATACAGTGAGATTGGTTCAAAGTTTTCTAAGGTAAACCAGTTTATTGCATCGACTCATGGACTCTTCAGCAATCCCTCACACCAAGCATGCTTGCAGCGAGAGTGGAGAGGAAAAACTCAATGTTAACAGGAAGAAACCTCCAGCAGAACTAGGCTCAATGTGAGCGGCCATCTGCTGAGGTGGACTGGGGTTCAAGAGACAGAAGCAGACAAACAAGAATCAAAGATACAAAAGGCAACTGTAAACCAGCTCCACAGGCGGCCCCATCTGGGAAACACACAGCCAGGCAGACGAGCTCCGAGCCAGCTCCCACGGCTGAGAGGTGTGGGTATACCTTTGGATATGTTTGAATTAGAAGACTTTTTTTCATGGGTAGTATTTCAGATTTAATTTATGTGTTTTTATTAAGTGTGTCATTATGTTCAGATTTATCTTAAGATCTTGTGTCTCTATAAGGCCTAATATTATTGTCATGATTTATCTAGGGCTCTGACCCACATGCAGTGAAACCAAACAGAGAGACACAAAGTAAAAGTTCAACAGGTTTTATTTAAATGTTTTTTTGAGCTCGGTGCAGAGTTTTTCTCCGAACTCTGCTCAGCCGGAAACTGGAAGACGAGGGGAAGACAGACTGTTAGATTCAGGCTCAGTGGGAAATTGGATTTTTTAATCTTGAAGGAGAGGAATTGTTGCGACTCACGTTTCCAGAGAAGTGGAGACTCTTTGACTCCAGTCTGTGTGTTAGTCTTCCAGAGTTTGTCTGATTCAGTGGAGGGCGGAACAGGGTTTACCCAGTACTCGGACAGTGAGGAATGATGCAGACACTGGTTGCAACTCAGTTTTCCTGTGGTACTTGAACGGGTCGTGGTGAAGATGATTTCCTTACTCAGAGAGAAATCCTCAGCGTTTTCAAAGGTGGCTGGATCCAAACCTCCTGTTTGTCGCTCAGTGTAAGACTCAGTTGATGCCTCTTGGGAGAGGCGGTCCGGAAAGATCCAGTTTGCAGGAAGGCTTCCTGCCGAAAGGCAAAAACAAACAAAATTGAATTTCAGGGAGACAAGCACTCAGTCAAACTCAATATGATCTCAGCTTGGCTAGAGTACAAAAGCTCGCAATGCAAAAACTCAGATAGGCTCAGAATAAACAAGGCTTGGGTAGAGTACCCCAAACTGGGAAACACTCTGACGTCGAGGTAATGGCAACCAGCAGCTTAAGAGCAGTCCGGTGATAAGGTAACCGTTCGCAGGTGTGTGAGGAGGCGGACCGGAGCCAGGAGTCCTGACAATCATTGGTAGTTCTAGAGAAATTTTATCAGTGGAGTACGGGTGGGGCAGGTGGTTTTCAAAGGGGCACAGGACAAAACGAATTAGAAAAAAAATTGTGGTCTTATCTTAATATGGTTGGAGTTTAAGATGACAAGAATTTTTAAAGTAAATTGTGGAAGTGAATAATTAAACTGGTCCAAAGGACGAATCAGTTACACACTAGAAAAATTATCCCTCTAACCAGGCTCTATAGCCAAAAAATCTTTTTGATCTTGTTTCATGATTGATACACAAAACAAGAGAAGACTAATTAATTATCTTCTTTTGAGAAGTCTACGCAAAATAAGAGTAATAATATGCCAGGTGCACTTAGTGAAACTTCTTTAAATCATGATATAAATTCTCAAAATAAGAAATATATATAATTTAATATAAGATCAAAAAGCTTTTTTGGCTCAATCTAAGATAGCAGTGCAGTCCATCATCATAAAAAAATCATCTTGGTATTGCACAGCAAAAACTGATATAAAAAGTTCTTAAGATAAGCATATTTACCCTTAAACTAAAAAGGTAAATAAGATGATGTGCAAAATAAATTACAATTTCTTCCCTAAGAATAAGATAATTATCAACTTAAATAAGATACTATCATTTTCATTTGTTGTTGCGTATTTTAAATGTACGCCATCCTGTCTTACCAACCTGTGCAAATAAAGGTAAAATAAACAATTTTAAAGAAAATTCTTCAATTCTTGTACTTTTACACTGGTTCTCCAGAGGCGTTGGCCCCTGTCTAGAAGCGCCCATGCCTAATAGGTTGCTTTTTTGGAATGGATGCTATGTCAAATTTGTTGACATCTAACATCAAAGCTTAAAAAACAGACGGATAGTGGTGTTGCCAGATGTTCATTTTTTCAGAGTAAACAAAATTTCTGAACATTATATCTGCCTATTTCGTTTGCTGTCATTAAATAATGGATAGAAAGAACAACATCCCATGTTGGAAATAAATTTGAACATTTGGAACAAACTAAAACAAAATCCACACCATGTCCTGGACGCCAGTGTGTTTGTAGGAAGTGGCGCGCGCTCTAGCGCATGTGTCCTCGTGCGTGTTGCTGAGTCAGACGCGGTTCGGTCCGCTGCCCATACTCCTCTCTGTCTGTTTAGTTTTGGTCACATCGCTGTTCTCCATATGTCCGGACGCTGAGCTGATCCTCTGATCGGTGGAAATCAGCTCGGTAAGCTGTCTGCCTGGCCGCCCATGGGCGCTGCTGCTGCTGCTGTTGCTAGTGCTGGCTGTCCGGTCCGGTGCGCCTCTGCGGTCGGTCCATCGGTTCGGGACGGTGCCGAGCTCCGCTTTTATGAATGAATAACAAAGACAGAGAGATGCGAGTAACCGCTGGAACCCCGTGCAGCAGCCCGGGCTCCCGGGGGGCCAGCCACCGATGAGTGGGGGATTATCGGCGGCTCATTGCGGAAAAAGAGCCTGACTGCAGAGTGGCGTGGAGACGCGCCGTGGACATCTAGCGCAGAGCATCTGGACAGAACCGCGGAGAACACAATGTAAGTTCATCTGCACGCTGCAACTAATTGGCACAGAAGGAAATCATGCTTTATTTATCCTACATCCATTCATCACTGCATGAAAACAGTTGTCCGACTCTTTGATTTACTGAACCGTAATGCCCTCTCAGGTGTAATAAAGGCCTTGGTGAGCTCCATCTCTGTCATTTCCACAGACATAACAGGTGATGCAGTGTCTCTGTGATAGAAATGAATGAATAGTCTAACCCTGGAGCTGCCTGCCTCACAGGTCCATCCACATCGTTGCTCTGGGCAGCGAGTGTCCCGGAGGAGTCGGGCCCGGGGAGGAGCCCATGGGCCAGGGCCAACTGCAGGGAGGCTTGCTATGGAGCTACCTGGGTCACGGAGCGCTGGTGGGACCCTGCGACCCGGAGGGCAGCGTGAACAACCCTGCCTTCATGGAGTACACCTCGCGCGTGTTTGGAGACGTCACCGTGGTGGTTCGGGATTGTCCCAGTTGGGTAAGACACAAGGGACCAGATAGAGGGTTCATTTCCTCACTAAGACGTTGTTTGAATTGCTTAAGTTGATTGTAGACAGTGTTGGGAAAGTTCTCTTTCTACGTGAACTAGTTCAAAGTTCAGTTCACACATTTTAAAATGAACTAGTTCAGTTCATAGTTCACAATTCCAAAAAACGAACTAGTTCACAGTTCTTTTTTTTTTTTCATATATTGCTCAATTACACCATAGCCTACTGTAGAACCACAGACAGCAATTATTTTATCAGTTATAACTCTGAAACTGTGCGTCAGATTTCATCTTCATATCCAGTTTTGAATCCTTATCCAACCAGGGTTTACATTAGCATTGAGGGGACAGCATTTCCCCATTGTTGCTTTAATGCTTTGTTGCTGTCCATTCACTTCACACTAGTAGCAGCTGCAGCTTTCACCCCTACAGTATATTCTCAAAAACATCAGGAAAAATGTGCTACTTGAATGGTCTTTTTATGAGTAATTATTAAAAGAAAAATAGGAAAGTAGTCTTTAAGGTGCAAATGTTATTTTTTTTTTTTTTTTTTTTTTATAATTTTTTCCATTTGAAATTCCATTTCAATACATACTAAAAAGGAATCTTGGAAAATTATACCAGGCAGGTTTAACAAACAAGTTACATGGATAGTAAAACCCTCAAGAACAGGGGTCTTCTATGTTTTCCAGACCAAGGACCCCCAAACTGATGGCGAGATGGAGCGGGGACCCCCTATTTATATATATTGTATGAAATTGTGTCCTATAGTCACTCTATTACAGATGGAGTAATGTAAAGAAATTAATTTCTCCTTGGGATTATTAAAGTTTTTCTGATTCTGATTCCTGGTTGTTGTGAAGGAAACGGTGCCCAGCTTGAAAGAGCTCCTGTGTGTCTCTGAATGTGAGCATTGATGACTGAAAGACATCTTTTGTCTCCATTTATCTGTTTACTACAGTGTGTTGATTTCATGTTAATGAGTATTTAAAGACATTTCAATTAGTGGGGGAAAAAATGCGGGGGGGAATATAAAAATATCAACTAACCATGCAGACCCTCATGCAGTACCTCCGTAGACCCCCTAGGGGTCGCGGATCCCCTGTTGAAGACCTCCGCTCAAGAAGATTTTACTAACACAAACTGAGGGACCAGGCTGAGGTAGGAATTTAAGGTTACTGAAGTGCGGATTTTTTTACTGAAAGCCGGCGGGCAAACTTGTTGCCATCATCCTCACCGACCACCTGGTCATAAACCTGTTTTAAGTCGCCTCCATGCTGCTGTGGCTTCCACGCTGCATTTTGTTTTGATGACGCACGCGGCTGTAGGCTACGACGCTGGTAGCTGGTGTTGCCAGATTGGGTGTTTTTCCCGCTACAAATTAAGGCCTGTTTACGGTGTGATTTAGCCGGAGTTTCGCCTGGAGGACTCTATAGAAATCTGGCAACCTATTGAACGGAGTTGAACTGAGAGAGCGTGCCGTTCACAGACACCAAAATGAACGAGTTCACAAAAACGTTCATCAGGCAATAATGCAGTACGTTCAGTTCACGTTCGCCCAAAATATGAACGAGTTCATGAACTTTCGTTCAATGAACGCGTTCAGGCACAACACTGATTGTAGACATTGGCCAACGGTGGCCAGTGCGCCTGTAGATCATGTCCTGGCCCCTGTACTAAAGACTTAATACTAAGAGAAATTCTAATGATGATATGTGCTGGAGCAGACATGTTGCTGATAGGTCCTTTGTATCTATTTCATTTTTTTTCTTTAAAAATTTCTGTTTTACTAATTATTTAAAAACAATAATTTGATAGCTTCAATGATATTGAGATAGGATCCCAGTTTTCATCAGTTTTTTTCCAAAACAAATAAAAAGTTTTACAGCTGAATCTATCAGTTTTTCTTGAGTTCTAATTCTAATTTTATAGAAAACGATAATTTTAACATAAATGAAGTTACAAATATATAAATACCTAAATGATGAATGTATATTGACCTAATATTCCAAATAATAGCTTTATTTGATCTTTTTTTATATATTTATATTGCTACAATTTCTTGAGTTGCTGTTTTTTAATGCTAAGGGATTTTTAGTTTTATTTTAACGATAATCCAAATGAACATTTTTAACCAAAAATGTATATTTTCAGTTAGAAGACATATAATTTTAATTAAACCTTATTGAAGAAATTTCACTTCATGCAGCTCTTTTGATATATTTGAATATCTTGCCCAGTTTTTTTGCTTCATTCTTTTGTGTATCCCCATGAAAACATGCTGCCCCACCCCCCAATCCCCCGGCCCCAGCCCACTGGAACATTTGGTCTAGAACCGCCACTGATTGTAGAGTATCTATCCTATTTAAGACCCTAAAATACAATCCAGTAGCACCGGGCACCAGAGCGTAGCCAGAAAATTTGAATAGGGATGGCCGGTCAAAACCCAATGTAAACTGAGGGGTGGCCGAAAGCGGATAGGCGCCAGAACCTCAGGGCACACTGTTCTAACAGGAACGAGCGCAACGTCCATATTTTCTAAATGAAGATAAACTATACTTTCCTACGGTCTTTTGATTACAAATAGATGCATATATTTAAACATCCATGCTGTCTAAATAAAAAGTATAGTGGGCAAAATGTCTGGGGCAAACATCTTTTCCATTGTCATTTCTTACCTACTTTTATATGACATGCACTAATCAGTGTTGTGCCTGAACGCGTTCATTGAACGAAAGTTCATGAACTCGTTCATATTTTGGGCGAACGTGAACTGAACGTACTGCATTATTGCCTGATGAACGTTTTTGTGAACTCGTTCATTTTGGTGTCTGTGAACGGCACGCTCTCTCAGTTCAACTCCGTTCAATAGGTTGCCAGATTTCTATAGAGTCCTCCAGGCGAAACTCCGGCTAAATCACACCGTAAACAGGCCTTAATTTGTAGCGGGAAAAACACCCAATCTGGCAACACCAGCTACCAGCGTCGTAGCCTACAGCCGCGTGCGTCATCAAAACAAAATGCAGCGTGGAAGCCACAGCAGCATGGAGGCGACTTAAAACAGGTTTATGACCAGGTGGTCGGTGAGGATGATGGCAACAAGTTTGCCCGCCGGCTTTCAGTAAAAAAATCCGCACTTCAGTAACCTTAAATTCCTACCTCAGCCTGGTCCCTCAGTTTGTGTTAGTAAAATCTTCTTGAGCGGAGGTCTTCAACAGGGGATCCGCGACCCCTAGGGGGTCTACGGAGGTACTGCATGAGGGTCTGCATGGTTAGTTGATATTTTTATATTCCCCCCCGCATTTTTTCCCCCACTAATTGAAATGTCTTTAAATACTCATTAACATGAAATCAACACACTGTAGTAAACAGATAAATGGAGACAAAAGATGTCTTTCAGTCATCAATGCTCACATTCAGAGACACACAGGAGCTCTTTCAAGCTGGGCACCGTTTCCTTCACAACAACCAGGAATCAGAATCAGAAAAACTTTAATAATCCCAAGGAGAAATTAATTTCTTTACATTACTCCATCTGTAATAGAGTGACTATAGGACACAATTTCATACAATATATATAAATAGGGGGTCCCCGCTCCATCTCGCCATCAGTTTGGGGGTCCTTGGTCTGGAAAACATAGAAGACCCCTGTTCTTGAGGGTTTTACTATCCATGTAACTTGTTTGTTAAACCTGCCTGGTATAATTTTCCAGGATTCCTTTTTAGTATGTATTGAAATGGAATTTCAAATGGAAAAAATTATTAAAATAAAAAAAAAAAAACATTTGCACCTTAAAGACTACTTTCCTATTTTTCTTTTAATAATTACTCATAAAAAGACCATTCAAGTAGCACATTTTTCCTGATGTTTTTGAGAATATACTGTAGGGGTGAAAGCTGCAGCTGCTACTAGTGTGAAGTGAATGGACAGCAACAAAGCATTAAAGCAACAATGGGGAAATGCTGTCCCCTCAATGCTAATGTAAACCCTGGTTGGATAAGGATTCAAAACTGGATATGAAGATGAAATCTGACGCACAGTTTCAGAGTTATAACTGATAAAATAATTGCTGTCTGTGGTTCTACAGTAGGCTATGGTGTAATTGAGCAATATATGAAAAAAAAAAGAACTGTGAACTAGTTCGTTTTTTGGAATTGTGAACTATGAACTGAACTAGTTCATTTTAAAATGTGTGAACTGAACTTTGAACTAGTTCACGTAGAAAGAGAACTTTCCCAACACTGGCACTAATATCTTAATGAAATGGATTTTTAGGTTATTATAGTTATTTATCTATGATTTAACTGAAAGCTCCTTGATGACTTGCAGAGCCATAATTTTCTCTTTACCCCATATAACACAAAATTAGGGTCTTAAAAGAGTATAACTTCCGTATATATCAACTTCAATGTTAGTATTTTGATGTGCATAATTAACCACAGCGTTTTAGTTGTCAAATAACTATTAATATATGAAAAATTTTAATGTTTAATAAGTAAAAAAAATCCTCTTGATAGTATTACTGCTGCCACTGTCTGTATTAGAGGGTGAAAAAAATGGTAGGGGTGGCCAATGATTGGCAAAGGGTGGCCATGGCCACCCCTGGCCCCCCATCTAGCTCTGCCCCTGCCGGGCAAAATATTTTCATTGCATATGCAAAACAATGGCCGCATTATCCTGGGGGATGCTTCTCTTTAGCAGTTGCACGTAAAATTGTTTGTAGTGGATGGAGCTAAATATTACCTAAAACCTTGAATGGTCCAGACCTAAATCCTACTAAGAAAATACATTTTACAGGTATTTTCTGTACATTTTGATTAAGGTTCACCTATTTATGTATTTATGTAAAAGGCAAGTAGTAAAACTATGGATATTGTTGTTATATTAAATGACTTTATTATAAGTCAAACTAAAGATCGGCATTATAATCTTTATTGAGCTCACGTAAAACCAGCGCCTTCAGGAATAACAACCAGTAGCCTTATATAGGATTTTAGCCGCTACAGCTTGAAAGACGGATGGGAAAACATTTGAGCATCTAGATGTACAAAGATAATAAAGGCATACCCTAAAAGATTTATCGCTGTGCATAGTCTGGACTTAAAAAAAAAAAATAAATACAAATACAGTATCTTTAATTTTTTTGGTGGGTATCATTACTAATTATGAAAAGGTCAATGGGTAGGCGGACATATGTAAGTCACTATAAGAAAAGATCCGCCTGAGAACAGATTTAGCTAAATCCAGCTTGCTTTAAGGCAGGAAGGTTAAAGATGGCAAACATGCCACAAAACAGTGATGTACATTTTCATTCAGAGCACTTTCCTAATGACAGAGCATGTCTCTTCAGTGAGTCGCTGTTTTGCCTACTGTTCAGTCTTTCGCTCCTCTGAAGACGTGCTGCACATTATTTTCATATTCCCAAACCTTTCCAACACTGATTGCAGGCTTTGTAAAAACCTCTCCATTCTTGGAGGACGATATTTTAACATGCAATGCACAAGAAAACCCAGATGAAAGACCTTTTGTTCCAAACAGAACCATGAATTTGAAATGAAAGCTCTGTTGTTGTGGTTTTGTAGCAGCTCTGCACACGTCCTATTGTAATTCTGTCAGTCCACATCAGGGGTATGCCGTCGGTTTAGCTCTCTGCATCTTTTTGTCCAATTTTCTATTCAAATCGACCTTAGCTTTCAAGTGTGTGTTGTTTTTCGGTTTAATAAGTGGAATCGGGTTGGTTTTAGAGCAGCTAGATTTATGCCGGTCCTTGGGGGTAAAGTCCCTGGAGCTAACCATACAGAGGCTTTCAGACTGGAGGGAAAAGGTTAGTGTTATCTCAGGTGAGATTTATATTGCATGTTGAGCCAACAGATAACTCTTTTTTCCCCCCATCTCTTTCTATTATCAACTTCTTTAACTTTCCAGGACTTGTTGGACAGCGACTGGGCTAGCGTGCGGAAAGTTCTGGAGCAGGCTGACATCCTCGTCATTAAATATGCTGTTACAGACAAGCTTGCCTTCCAGCAGGTCAGGAATGGGTACGCCCCGAGGCTTCGCCCGCTTCTGAGGCACTGGGGTGTGCCTGTCATCCTTGTTGCTGTTGGAGCACGGTTGAATGGTGAGCATGTGCGTTTTTGTTCTGTGCTTTTTGACTGGGTAGGAAGGCAGAGGACCAAATCAGAGAATCTCTTAGCATCTCTGCTTGGTATTTTTGTACAGTGACATGTATAAAATTCCTTTCTTGGCATTTTTTCATGATACAACCACAGATTTCAGTGTATTAAAGTGGGGATTTATGGAAGGACACCACAAATTAGTACACAATAAATAAGCCTGAACAAATGATCCCCATTAGTGAAACATGGTCCTGGCTGCATGATGCTGTGGAGATGCTTTTAATAAGCAGGGAGAAGGAATCTTGTTGGACGCATGGTGCTAAAAACAGAGAGATCTTAGAAGAAAACCTATTAGAGGCAGCTAAAGACTTGAGACTGTGGTGGGAGTTCACCTTTCAGCAGGAAACACCTCCTGACATAAGCCAGATTGATCGCTGTAGTTCTATCTGGAAAGGCTTCTGTAGAAAGCGTTTGCAAAATGGACGGACATTCATTATTCTTAGAGCTGATTGGGTAAATCACCAGGTAGGGACCTGCCTTCCATGTCGTGCTTTTAGCCAATCGAAGCAGCAGCTGCAGCTTCTTGATTTGTTTCACAAATAGTGGTGTTAACTGATAAATCAAGCTCTTACCACATCCGTTTGTAAGGAAAGCACAGACAGTGCAAAAGCAAAAAAAAAAAAAAAAAGAAATAGAAGATATTCCTGCTAAAATAGTTCTAATAGCTGAGTCATTTTTGTTTTGCTTTCACCTGCATCTTCTGGTTGACGTCAAACACGTTACTGCATTTCATTGGTTCAGAATCTATTGCCTTCTGGTAAGATGTATTTTTGGAGTTTGTTGATTTTTGTGACAATTTCTCTTGCTTGCAAGGTAGCAAAACCCCCTTAAACCTCCAGAGTAACAATGGCATATCTCTATATCTATATATTAAAAAAATATATATTAAAACGGCCTAATTAGAGTACCAATCTACAGAAGCCGAGAGCGGTCATGCTAGTCTTTTTTTTCCCTTTGCCTTCTTGTGATAATGACATAACTATCTCGTTATCACGGTTAAACCATTCATTGTTTTCTCGAGATAACAAGATAATTCTCTGGTTATCACAAGAAAACAGTTATTGATTTCTTGAGATAATGAGATGATTGACCTGTATGAGTAATGAAAAAGGCTGGCCAACAGCCCTGGATTTCCAGTCCATGCATGCCTACGGTGACCGCTGTTGTGCAGTCGCAATATCACGTGTGTGCAAATAATCAGCTTTTTAGTTTCCTTTTTCTTTTCCCTCATTTTCATGTCGTGGTGGATGATTTGGATACAGTGGAATCAAGTCTGACTGGTTTTCAATTAAAATCTTTAATCTGGACTCATTTTGGGGGTTAATGCATCTTATACCTGTTGCAGGCGTAACACCGGGGCTGTTCAGAAAACACCCTGCGAGGCATAGGTCTAATTGCTTAAAAATCAAAATTGGAAGAGAATATCAAACCAACAACGTCTTCTCGTTACTTAAAAGTTAAACCCAGAATTATTTACAGAATTACACATAGGCTGCCATGACTTATAAATCCTCTCCCACTGTTGAGGTATTGAAGGATGTAATCAGTTTTAACACACCAATCATCTTGACGAGAAAGCGGCTTTCTAATGAGAAAATTATAATCTCGTTATCATGAGAAAATGTCTTTTCTTATCTTTAGATAGTGAGAAAATTAACTCGTTTTCTTAAAGAAAACCACCGTGACAAAGTATAGGAGGGACATGACCGCTTTCGGCTTCCGTACAAATCGAATCCATTTGGACTTAGCTTGAATTATTTTGCAAAAAACACAAAACAGGCTTAAACTGGAAGTCATTTGCACTTTAGCTCAGTTTTTTCTTCTGAAGACATTTATAGGAGTATTCTGCAGGAAAAAAATGGCAAAAGTTACAGACTGATGATGTGAAAAGCTGGTAGAAACAAACCCCCAAAGACCCACAGCTCCTGTTGCTCTAAACAACTTAGATAGAAAATGCACACCACATTTTTTAGATTTTTATATAAGAAAAATTTTAAAAGATGCCATGTCCCTCTTTTTTCATTTCAGCTTTTTCTTCATTGGTTTGTGACATTGAATTTCAAACTACATTGAAGTCTGAGGTTTCAATGCAGCAACCTGAGACTTTTAAAGGGTTATGAATACTTTCGCAAGGGGTTGTAGTATTTTGGGGTCAGCTTGCTGAAAAATCAGTTGATTTTTTTTTTCAGAATAATATCAGGCTTGTCCTTGTTGGATAAATGAACTTGTCATCTGAGTCTCGTGTCTGTTAGCGTGTTCTCCCTGCATCGAGGAGGATGCTCATAATTAAGCCTGCTCTCTGTTGCCTTCAGGCATTTGGCTCACACTCCTCCCTGAAGGGAAGTATCTAAAGCAAAACACCCAGTTTGTAATTTTTGAGGTTTTGCAAGCAAGGCAGGAAAACATATCTATGGCTCAAAAGCCCAACAAGAGCCAAGAGTTCCTCCCAGTCAGGAGATTAGAGCCTTTTGGCTGCAGCCTAACCGGATGCAGTTTGATACATTAGGCACCAAACGTTCAGCGTGCGCTGGCTACATTAGCGGCTCTCTGTGTTGTTTTTCTCACAGAGACACCGACCCCTGTTGATCCCATAAACAAGCCCATCAAACACAGCAGCTTGTATTTTTAGCTCTTCTGCTCAAAGACGAGAGAACTGCTACTGTCAGAGAGCTGCAGGAAGAAAAGAGGCAGAGGAGAGGAGGCAGCTTTGAATCGCTGCCTTTGTGTTTTTGTTTGTGGCTGCTGTGAGTTTCTATCCAATCCCCTCATGACTCCAGAGAATGGCAGGCTGAGCTCAGAGCATTCCCCCCTGCTCGATTTTAGACCACCTAAGGTGCAGGAGTGGCAAAAAGAGAGCGGCTGGACGTGCATTAAGGCATCCATTAAGCGATAATGAACAGAGAATCACAGACAGACTTATCCCCTGCCAACCTCCATTCTAACGCACACACATGCGTAAAACTGATATGCCAAGTCATTTAAAGTCAGAGACTCACTCATACCTCGCTTGCTCCTTGCTCATGGACACACACTCAGTCCAGCTCCATCTCTGTGTCATGCCTGCAGGTTATTAGGAGTATGATTTATCAAACGCTCTGACTCCAGGCTGTACATCCAGCTCATCCTTCCTCGCTCTCCCTTCCTTTATTGCAGAGTTTTCCTAGTTTTCTTTATTAATCTATCTAATCTTCTACCGTACTCTGCCTGAGCAGTGCCTATACGTTGTACACAAGGCTGATTTCATCCATTTACATGATCCCTCTAGTACATTGAGTGCTTTTTCTTCTTGTTTAGATAAATTCGCCCAGAAGTGCCACAAAAGGAAATGTATAAAGCGATAAAAGAAAAATAAGTTAAACATTTTTTAATTCATAATTTTCTTTCAAGCTAAGTTTTGTCCAGGCTGAAAACAGACATTAAAAAACAAAGAAAAACAATTCAATCATTTCGGTACAACTGATTAGGACTGAATGAGTTTGACAAAAAATCCAAATTGCGATTGTTTTTAACCAATATTGTGATTTTTTATTTTGAATTTCCTTTGCACTAACCAGAAGCTTCTAGATGCTTTATTTTAGGCTTTTTTCATAACCTTGAAAGCTTGCTTGTCTAGTTTTGATTGTTGCAGGAAAAAAGTGCTTACTTCTATTTCACTGAATGGATCATGTTAGCTGCAACTCTATCTACCTCTCTGTGTGGCTGCAAACGCACTTTAAGCGTTTTATCACCACTTAAAGGCCTACAGTGAGAAATTAAGGTGTCTTACATTTGCTTGCTATAAAAATGTAATGCTCCTGCAATCTAAAAATTAAATAAAAAAAAATTACTATTATATTGCAAATGCAAATAATTGCCCATCCCTACAACATATGACCCATAACAAAGGAAGAACAAGTGGGTCTTTAGCTTTTCTCCTAAGCTATCTAGAGAGCGTGTCTGTCTTACATCCAGGGGAAGTCTGCCCCAAATCATGGGTGCCTGTAATGTAAAAGCTTCCTCATCAACAGTCCTCTTTCTGACTTAAGTGTGGATCTTCATGCCTGGCTGCATAAGGCTCAACATTATTACCCAAAAAGGTTTTGACTTCTGTTGCACAAATACGACTTTAACCACATCAGGAACTTCCCTGAGATGCAGAAATTAACGGCATGTATTTTAAAATAAAATAAGAAAAAATCCTATATTTAGAGCATTTATTTTTTACAAAAAAAAAAGAGTGTTGGAAATAGAAACACAAGCAAAAATGTGGAGTCAGCGATTGTGTTTCTTATTCAAAGGAAAAAGTTTGATGCAGAGTTTCTGCATTTTGGTTGTTCATGCTCATGGCAGTGTTTCCAGCAGGTCATCCCAGCACTATAATTTCATTTAGAAGTACTTCCTGGTATACTTGACATCCCATATAGAAGACTCTTAATAATCAGTTTGTTTAAATAAAGCCTAATTGTCTTGATTAAGCTCTCTTAGACTGTTATATATTTTTACATGTCTGCAGGTTTAATTTTTTTGGTTGCATAATGTCAAGCTATACTGACTGCTAAAGTAAAACTTTGTAACTTTGTAAAACTACGGAGGCACTTTTTTTTACATTAATGATTTTTGGTGAGATTTATTGTGATCAAACAACAGAAAGCTGAACTTTATTGTGAGGTTCAATGAAAATATGTGGATTTCACAATCTCTTACAAATACAAATACAGAACTGCAAACTGTTGTCTGCATTTACATTGAGCCCCCTTACTGTGATACTTCTGCATAAAACCCAATGTAAACAAAAATGCCTTTAGAAACGCAGCTATGTGCAGTTTCATCTCAGTATGCTGTAAATGTAACTTGTTTTGTAAAGGCCTCAGAGGTTTGTCAGAGATCGATGAACCATCAGCTTTTTAAAGACCAAGAAACACTGCAGATGAGAGGTTTAAGGCAGAGCTGGGTTGTAACACAACTTCACAAGCTTTTAATATCTCACAGAGCGTTTTTTAATCCATCAGCTGTAAATAAAAGGAATATGGCGCAAGTGTTAACCTACTAAGAGACGTCCAGTACAGCTTAGAAACAGGCCAGTTAGATTATCATTAAGCAGAGAAGAGGTAAAGAGGTCCAGTTTAAGTCTGTCAGAGGTTCAGAGATCCAAACCGCTGGTAGGAGAATCAGGGGAGAGGACAACTAGATGTGAGCTCTGCAAATATGGACATAATGGAAGAGAGAAAAAAAATTACTTACAAAATAGCCAGAAATTTACTACAAGCCATGTAAGGAAATTTGCAAACATTCTTGGAGTCAAACCAAACACTGTGTGGAGGGAAATCTATCCCTGCACATGAAGCTGAAAACTCGGTTTCCTCAGGGAGACATGGTGGGGGCTGCATCATGCTATGGGAGTGGGTTTCTTTTTAAGAGAGACATGATACATTTTTGAAAGTTGAAAAGAAGATTGAGAAATCAAAATGCAAGGTCATTCTTGAGAAACACATGTTAGAGGAAGCAAAAAAAAAAACAACAACAACTTAATCCTGTGGTCAAAATGTATATTAAAGCAGGAAAAACATGCTACAGTAGTCACTACCATCACAGAATATTGTTTTATGGCCTAGTCAAAGTTTAGGTCTAAATCCAGTTTATATTCTTATCAAATGGATTTTAAAAAGTTTACGTAGAACAAAGCTGGAAGAAATAGATAGAAAGAGACTTGGAGCGAAAGGTTTCAACAAAAGATTCACTTTTTTACTTTTTAAGTTAAAAAGTATGTAAAATAGTGCTTTTTTTTCTTTAACCTTTTCCCTCTTGTTGCTTTTTCTCTACAAATCCCAATAAACTCATCGAAGTTTGTGGCTCTAACATGACAAAAAGTGAAAACATTTCGATTTCTATGAATATTGCTGCAAAGCTTTGTACATTTTCAGTGGCTGCGTATTGCATTGTTTTAGTGCAGCTAATTTGGTCAAATATTTACACCGATGGTTCAATACACGCATAATGTAATATTAAAAACATGCATCTTCTCTTCTACATTGAGATGAAGGGCCTCCGTGTACGTGTCCACTGTGTGCGTCTGACTGGAGCAGCTGTGTACCTCACAGTGAAGGGCTGCAGCTCTCCAGAGACCTGGGGGCCACCTATCTGGAGCTGCCGTCTCTCAACCATGTCTTCGTCAGCCGCTACTTTGGCAGCGTGGTAAGTGATGAAGCAGCTCAGGAGGGTATAATGCCATTTTAAAATATTTCACTGATATTTATTTATTTATTTTTTTCTAAACCCAGTTAAATGTAAATGCTTAAATCCACTGCTTTATTCAAAGAGGCATTTTTTTTAAGGTCAAGAATCGCTGACTTAACAGGGCTATTTCTGTTTTGTGCAGCTGGAGTACTTCATGATTCAGTGCCTGAAACACAAAGCCAAAGAGAGGCCAGACAAGAGACGAGGGAACAAAGTGAATGAGCTCCGTCCTCCTCACTTAGAACAACCAGGTCAGAGAAATACTATATCATGTAATGAAGGAGGCTGTCCATATTCTAACAGGCCGATACTCATGCATTTCTGGCCAGTCCTTTGTTTTGGGCCTTATTGCTGTGTTTAATGCATATTCAGTGGACTGGCTGGATTGTTTCTTCAGGAGCTTATATAGCCATAAAAAGAGCTGAGCACAAAGGTTTTATGTGGATCAATATTCTGCCGGTTAAACTGGGAAAAAGAGGAGAGACAAAGAGCTAGGCGGACAACTTTTCTTCAGAGACATTTTAATCAATTTCAAAACAACTGAGTTAAGTAGCTAGAGTTAATCTGCTCCGTGTGGAATTATCTTTAGTTATAATCATAGTATTTACTCCCTGTGTTAAAAAAACCCAAAACATATCTATCCTGAATCGTGCATGTAGGTCTTCTAGTTTTGATCCATGGATCGATCATGAAACTCTTTTCCTCATTTCTAAAAGTTTTATACTAATCAGACTTTTTATGATTAATCTTAAGTTCCCTTTTTCTTTGATATCTGATATGTTGTTTCTAATTTTGACAAAGTTGGTGTTATTTTTTTAATAGGGACTAAAACACACTGAAAAGAAGAAATGTGCTTCTGGGTCTTGATTTGAATCTTATAAAAAATGACGAAATTTTTTCATTTATGCATCAATGTACAATACATTATTTTGGTCGGTGTGTTAATAGGCTAAAAATTGTAAAATGTATTTGTCTTAATGCATTTAATAAGGGAAGAAGTGATAATTTGATTTTAAGTTTTTAATCTCAGAATACATGATCAGAACTAAACAATTAAAGACTCTTCAATTTCCATCCCTGGCTAATTGTTTCCAATGTTGATTAATGAATTGAAATTAACCAAGTTTAATTGGCTTCTTTAAATTCTCCTTAGGTGTGAGTGAATGGTTGTTTGTCCTGTTTGACTCTGTGTTGCCCTCCGATGGACTGGGGACCTGTCCAGGGTCCAGGGAATGGATGAATTGAAATATTTTCATGAATAAATCATAGTATGTGATAATTAATAAGAACCTTTAATTAGATTAATGACAATCCAAAAATAAATATTTGTATTTTAAAGCTTAAATTATGAAAAAGGATCAGCACTAGCTGTATTTGATTAACGCATTAAATTTAAATACATAAAAATATTACAAATACAACTGTAAAGTAACTGCACAAGTTTACATCAAGGCTAAACCGGAAATCAGTATTTCCTGTCAAAACATACTAAAATGGGCCATAATCAGTTATGCATATTGTGTAAGGTTACTCAGGTTGTTAAAGTGATGAGACCCTTAAAAGTATTGATACTGAGAAGTATCCAGATACATCCAACTGTTGTTTACATATTTTTCCTATTGTTAAATTTTGATTTCTAGATTATTTGCAGCTGAAAGAATAGTGCCTTAAACAACCTTCAAATATAGTCAGTGTTATATTTGGGTTATTTATTTTTCCAGTTATTTAATTAAGGATTCTATAGGGTATTTGGTGCTGGTCCCTAAGGTCTTCATATAGGGTGTGTAACATTGGTTGTGCTGAAAATTTGCATATTTTCTGTTGTATGAGCCCGAATGCAAGCCTGGTTAAAAGCCCCAGAATGAAACGACATGTTTTCTTACTTTTATGGTATGTTCATGAATATTTAGATGAGCTGTGCGCCGATTGGTTGGTTTACAACGAGCGAATCTGCTGAGCAAGGACGCATCATAGCAAGAAGAATTTACTCATTGAAACATCAAATGTTGGATATGATAGGGTGACCAGATGTCCTCTTTTTCCCAGACATGTCCTACTTTTCATTCCTAAAAAATCGCAGGGATTTTGGTCGACTACAGTGCAGCACGTAGTTGAAACACACTGGGCATTCGAACCGAGCCGTCAGGACGGGGGCAGGGAGCCAGCGGGGGACCGAGTGACCGAACCTGCCCTGGTGACGGTAGCCTGGACACAGGCAGCCCCGTGCTTCCCCCCACCTGCAGAGAACTCATGGCTCTCTGCTATGGTCCGGTCCAGTGATGCAACATCCCTGAATTGACATCAACTCGGTGCTTCATTTGGATCAGAAGTTTAGAAATGTGAGATTTACAGAGAAAAGGAGGTGACTATTAGTCTGACGTAGTGCTACTCAATTCTAGTCAGAATATGAGTCTGATACTGCTCCATAGAGCTGTGATTATGGGGCGTGTTTCGAACGAACCAGGAAAAATAATGCCTCTGCACTCAATTGGATAGACCTACAACCAATAAGAGCAACGGAGTGTTAAGCGACGCATAGTTGTTGTCAACAAAAATCAAAGCGTGCAGTTGCACGCCTAAAATAAGAAGATGAGCCTTGATCGCGTTTCTCTGTTCCTCTTTTAAAATTAATTTGCTGTCGATATCTTCTAGAACAGACCTAATAGCAGAATCTACACACCTAAACTCTCCGGCGGCAGCCATTGTTGTTGTCATCCATGTGCGCTTTGGTCACGTGGTTGATTACGTTACTGTTGATCATCTGTTCATCATTGTATAAAGCCCGCCCTGACAATTTGATTGGCCCGCCAGATATTGTGCGAGCATACTCGCGCTACTATTGAGCAATGCCAGACCGAACTTCCCGACCTCAAACGTTGTGGGCGGGACTAAGTTCGGAATGGCACCCAGGCTAGGTGACTATAGGGGTTTGAACTTCTCTGTACGTCTATTTCACCCACTGAACTATCATTATTCATCTATGACAATGTCAACTCGGTTTTGCATTCTATGACCCCTTTAAGGTTAAAGTTTTTGTCTAAATAAAGATATTTTTTTATGCCTTTAAATATTTGTTTATATTCTTTGTTTATATTCTTATGATATTATATAAATATATTCTTTATTTATATTCTTGCACATCTATTGCAGCCTTGCCTTCAATCCAGTGGAACAGAAAAAAAGAAAAAAAAAACTGTAATTATGAGGGGATAAATGACTGTACTGATCAAAAGAGGCAAAACTTGCAGATTTACACACATTAACATGCAGTGAAGGGCTTACAGACGGCGAGTTTGATTACCGTGGCAAGGCTTCAAAGTAATAAGCCAGGCTGCAGCATTTGACAGTTACATTTCCCGTCTTTGTTGTTATCTTAACTTTCATTTTTCTACCCTGTTGGAATTTGCGTCCCAGCTGGATGAAAGATGTGTGATTAAATCTAAGACTGCTCGCTATTTTTAACCCTTGGTTTGTCCGCGATCTGATTTAAACTTTTATGAATGATGGAACTTAAATGGTTCAAATTTAGTTGAGGTAGTTCTTCCCTAAAGTACATTCATCCAAAAAAAAATCCATTAGAAAAGTGTTAGCAAGCCTTTAATATATACATGTTTGATATATATATTGATCTGAGTGCTCTTTCCCGTTGCTGTCTGTTTGAATCTGACACGGTTCCTGAAAGCTGAAAGTCTGGCCAGAAATGGCAGCTTGTGCAGGTGGATTTATCGGCGCCTGTCTAACACCACTTAGCTCAACTTATGGCCCAGCTTACATTAAATATGACAAGCACTGATTCAGAAACAGGACGCTTTTCATGGCTAAATCACAGCGGCAATAAAACAAGGGGATACTGGGAACAAATAAGATGCATTTGAGTGCCGCACAAAAAGGACTGTAATCTTTCTTTTACCACATTTCCTACTTTCCCTTCTTTTTATTACTTTAGCTTTATGACATAAACATTTTAAGGGTCAGTTATTTTCTATGTCCTTTTATGTCATTTACCAGCAGTTCTATGCAGCGGGCCTTAGGCTTTTTCTTCAGTCAGTGTTCTCACTCTTATTTGCAGTTTATTTCAAATAATGTCTTTAAAAGTATCACATTTTTTAGTAGTGGCTTTTTTGGGCCACCACTTACGTTTCTCAAGGTGCCTTGTCATGCTAAATCCATATATAGAATAGGCTTTTAAGCTGTAGACGTTTACTGCCTTGCATTTTTGCTGACTGTGTGTTTATGTTGTTATGTGGAAGGAGCCTCTATAACATTTCTTATCTTAATTCCCTGTACTTTGGTCCTCCTATCTTCCCCTTAATTATGACTAGATTCCCCATCTCTTGTGAAGAGAATTCACCCCACAGCATGATACAGGCCCCACCTAGGGTGACTAGATATCCCGATTTGTGTGGGACAGTGCCACATTTTTTCCACTTCTGTCTAATCTAATTTAATTGAAACAATGTCCCTCATTTAACTTCTAGATGCTTTTTTACATGCAAAGAAAGCAGAGCTGCAGCCATTGTCAAAGAGCTTTACCAATGCCCCACGTCATGACTAGGGTTGTCAAAAGTGTCGATACTCAAAAAAGTATCGATACTGAAACGTTGTATCCGGATACAATACTCATTTTCAAAAGTATCGATACAGCCATCTAAAGTGCAGAATAGTGGAAAATGCACTTTCTGAACACTGTGTGATTGTATAATTCTCTGCATTTTTCAGTTTCAGACTTCTTTTTATAACTGGTGCAGCTGCTGAGAATTATTTTTGTTTAAATGGTTTGGCCAGTGTCATTGTTATGTCTGCAAAACATAGCCAAGGAAGGAACACTTCATTTTAATTTTGTAAGTTTTTTATCAAGCTTGCTTAATATTGTGCACAGCATACAACCTCAAAATATTATTCTTATTGTTTTTTATTTATTTCTTGTATTTTTTTAGCAATGAAAATATTTCTGTTGAATTTAAGAGTCTTTGTTTTTATTCTTGTGGTATCGAAAAGGGCATCGAGTATCGAATATTTTACTTAGTATCGTATCGAGTTGAAAAGTTTAGTATCGTGACAACCCTAGTCATGACCAGCCTCTGCACTATTAAAAAAGAACAGGATTTTAACATAGAATATGATGGAAACTATGTTTAAAGTAAAATAAATGCAGCCACAACAAAGACAGGGGAACAATTTATAAATGGGTGAAACCAGTGAAATGTCTCAGAGAGGTATTTTAAAAGTTAATTTGAAGTAATCCATCCATTTTCTTCCGCTTATCCGGGGCGCGGAGGCAGCAGTCAAAGCAAAGATGCCCAGACTTCCCAATCCACACACACTTCCTCCAGCTGCTCTGGGGTACCCCGAGGCGACACCAGGCCAACTCAGAGACATAGTCCCTCCAGCCTGTCCTGGGCCTTCCATGAGGACTCCTCCCAATGGGACATGCCTGGAACTCCTCCCAAGGTCGGCGATCAGGATGCATCCGAAAAAGATGCCCGAGTCACCTAGGCTGGCTCCTTTTGGTGTGGAGGAGCAACGACTCTACTCCGAACTCCTCCCGGGTAACTGAGCTCCTCACCCGATCTCGAAGAGTGCGCCCAGCCACCCTGAGAAGGAAACTCATTTTGGCCACTTGTATTCGTGATCTTGTCTTTTCGGTTATTACCCAGATTTCATGACCATAGGTGAGGGTGGAAACGTAGATCGATCAGTAAATTGAGAGTTTAGCCCCCTGACAAGTCTTATAAAGTGACCGCATCATTGCCTCCGCTGCACCGATGCGTCTGTCAATCTCATGCTCCATCTGTCCCTCACTCGTGAACAAGACCCCAACATACATGAACTCCTCCCCTTGAGTCTAGGACTCTCCACCGACCTGAAAAGGGGGGGTCCACCTTTCTCTGGTGGAGAGCCATGGCATCAGTTTTGGAGGTGCTGGTCCTCACCCCGGTCGCTTCACACTCAGCTGCAAACCACCCCAGTGCACGTCGGAGGTCCTGCCAAACATGAGAACATCATCTCCAAACAGCAGAGATGATATCCTGAGGTTCCCGAACCAGACACCCTCCAGTCCCTGGCTGCGCCTAGAAATTCTGTCTATGAATATAATGAACAGAACCAAAGTTATTTTTTAATTTGATACAAGGGGAACATAATATAAAGCAATACAGTAAAAGTGAGTCTCAAAAGCATTGCACTGCTGAATTGTCCCTCATAAGCATCTTAGTTGCCCCCAATTTGTTTTTGTGAGATCTGGTCACCCAAACCCCGCCATGTCTGCAGTGTTTTGATTTTAGACAGGAATGTTTGATTTAGTCCCATCTGACCAGAGCAACTCCTCCAAATGTGTTCTTTGTCTCTATCATGATCTGTGGAAAACTCTACCTTCTTAATTTACATTACAACGACTTTCCTCTTGCCACTCTTCCATGAAGGACAGATGCTTGTAATGCACAAACAGTTGTTAAAAAAGACAGGTGTGAATCTCTGCAGTTCCTCCAAACCTGCATTGGCCTTCATGGTCGCTCCTCTGATTTATGCTGTAAAGATTGATGCTCTTGTCTTGCAGGGTTTCCAGGTCTTTTATATTCTTTCTAAAGCTTTCTTTTTGAGATGTATAGACCTTGAGTAACAGTTTTTTAAGATAATGCTGCTCTAAAATTTTCAAAAACTTTCTCCCTTTCTTGTTTGCTGGGTGTTTATGATGTCGATTTCACACTGATGTTCTCCAGCAAATCTTTGAGTCCTTCACAGAACAGCTGGATTCATGTTGAGATTAAAACAGAAACAGGTCAGCTGTTTTCCAATAAATAGAAGCTTTTTTGTAAGCAATCTTTTATTAATCGTGTCTGAATAAAGGGGTCTAAAATGGTAGGCACACCAAACATTAGATTTTTAAATGCTAAGTATTTAGAAACCTTGCAAAGTAAAATAAACAAAATATTGAAGTTTTTAGTAATAGCTAGAGATGCACCAATATAGTGTTTTTCTGATCCAGTCCAGGACCTATACCTGGGCTGAGAGTATCAGCCGATATCTGATACCATTCTGATCCAGCTGTTGAATGCCTGACCTAAATACTTTGCCTTGTGAGTGAAGTCTTTAGACCTGACATAAACACTTACTACGTGTACATGGACACAAATAATCTGGTTGAAGGCCGGATCAGATCAAAAATGTTTTATGCAACGTCAGACTGAAGATTCTAATCGTATTTGGTCCAATTGGAAATAAATGTTATCCTGAAAGCCAGAGGTGGTTTTTGCAGATCGTGATTACCATTTGCATTCATGTACACCCCCATTCGGATCTTTGGAGTAAAATAATCCGGGCCGTGCATGTGTGCAACGCCAGCGTGACATTTCTCCAGTTTTTCCAGAAAATTAGACAGTTTCATCTAAGCTAAATAGATTTAATACGATCGAACGTTTGGTACTTGCATTAAAATGTCATGATCAGATCTTTTCATTTAGTATCCATGTAAACAGAGACTTTGAGTTTCAGATCAACCAAGGATTAGATCGACCTGGGGCAATTTGCGCATGTAAATGTCGCTGTTGTTAAAAAAATGTAACAAATGAACAAAGATATAAATATACTTTCTATTATTTTCATTCACATATAAAGTGTTAGATTAGAGATATCTGATATCCAATGACAGATATCTGATCCAGCCAATTAGTCAATATCGGAGCTGATATCCGACCCAGGCAGACATGGGCAATGTGGAGTCAACAAGTCATCTCCATGTCATGTATTTAATCTACCCAGCCAATTAACCAGGTGAGTCCAATCTGCACAGGTTAATTCACGGTGAAGATTGGACTCACCTGCTTCAGTGGCTGGGTAGAACAAATACATGACATGGAGATGACTTGTTGACTCCACATTGCCCATGTCTGGACCCAGGTATCAGATGGGTGCATCTCTGGCAGTAACAGGACAAAATATCATGCTGCTCAACGGGATTGAATACATTTGCCAAGCAGTTCTCTAGTTGTCAGCCCCTTAAAAATGTTTTTCTTTCACATTTAGTCAGAATCAAGTGGAGCAGTCTGAGTTGGCATTTTCCTAACACTGCCAATAGTACTAGGAAGAAACCCCCCACTCTTTTCTGAAATTGAACAATATAAAAGGATAGAGAATGAGATTGCCTTCTAACTTCTGTTTGTTGGCTATAAGACTCATCTGTTCTTTTACTGTCAAAAACTATTTGTCCACACATGCCTTGTATCTCTGAGCCAAATGTTTGTGCCAAAAGAAGCAAGAGTCAATAGAGGAAGTCAGAATTGTTGCTTCTGCACAGCTCCTGCAAAAGATTAATAAACTAACACTTTCCTTTATTACTTCTTCCTCTGTTCTCTCAGCTCGTCTTCCTCCTATCAGAGTAGAGGAGTCCAGCTTCTCCCAGGACATGCAGTGGCTTTTGGAGCGTGGTGTGCAGTTTGCCGATGTGGCCTTCTACTCTGGCGATTGTGGGAAAGAACTGGGGTGGGCCCACGCGGCCGTGCTGTGCGCCGTTAGCCCTTACTTCCGACAGCTGCTCCTGGGGCCCAAAACCAGGTAGAAAAGATTGTCACACATTAATAATAGTTTATGACGCTTTAATGGCTGCTTGTGTTGCTGTTTCCTCCCCTCCAAAACACGCAGACAGCTGGAGCTGAGGGAATTCTGCATAACCTGTTAATACAGTCACTGTAAAGTGTGTTGTTTGCATCTTGTTGGACAGGGAACGTCCACAATCACGGTGTGTCTGTAGGGAGCGAGAAGGAGGCCCCCATTCCCTGCTGTCTACCTGGGATGGCAGCATTATCGATGATTTGCCTCAGTCGGATGGACACGTGACCGGACGCCTCACTCGGCTGGTGGTGAAGGATCCCCTGCTGTGCATGTGCCTGTGGGAGACCCTCATGTTTATTTACAGAGGTATACCCACCTAAACTCATCTCAGATCTTCAGTCTTTTTCTAATCTGACTGTGTTTCTTTTTAAAGAAACATATTTTAATTACAAAATCATCTGATTTGATAAGCTATTATTAACGTGATGATATTTTATTCATTGTTGCTTGGTTACAACAAAAAAATAACCCAGGTTAAAACCGCAACCAGACACATCTCCATTTGCTTAGTGACAACCATTAATAGAAATATAGAATTAATAAAAAAAATGTCCCAATTAGATTGTTTATAAGGAGTTTTAAACAGGTGAGGCATACATGACTGAATACATGACTGAATCATTAGTTTGTGTTTACCTGATAAACATTTTCATATTATTTAAATTCCATTCTATCAATCTGTGTTATTATGAAAGAGCCAAAAAAAGGATGTAAAATACAGCCAATTTTAAATCTGACATTATATGATATAGTTAAAATGATCTGATATACACTCCAAGCTTATCTGATCTCAGAAACACTCAGTTTTCAGACTGTCTTGTTCATTTTTTACAAAAAAAGCAAAAAGATGAAAGCTGTGTTGGAAAAAAACTAAGTACATCCCTGCTTCCTCCACTGGATTAAAGAGGGGAAAGTACCAAGTAAATGACAATTATTTTGTGACCCATCATTAGCAAGCATTCCCATGCGTCTAAACTGAGCTCCTAAATGTAAAGACAACCGCAATGAGTGAGAGAAGCAACCGTAGCTTCCTATTAATCTGGGATGTTTTATAGGGCTCATGTAAAAAATTGTTCAATTTCACATTTTGAATTATTAAAATTGACCAAAGCAGCTAGGTGTAGTGTCTCCTCAGCCTATTACTTAAGTTTATAAAAAAAAAAACACACAGTCTTATATTAATTGAATATGAGTAAAGCTTTTTTTTTTTAACTCATGATGTAAGTTAGGATCCAAGCATTTTATTTAAAACAAACAGGTAAACAACTACATCCTCATGTTCACTCACTCTGAGTGAACATGAGGATGTAGTTGAGTCAGGCTAATTATTATTTACTTCCTCTCAGTGCATGACATAATTTTTATGAATTGGACTCTTATCAAAAAGCCTTAACAGTCAGGACTTAGAACTGTGGACCCAGAATATTAAGCTGACAGACAGATTTGATTGACAAAAGCACTTGTTTATAAAACGTCAAATCTGCGACTCAGCAGCTAGAGCTGAAAAGGTCGAAATCTCTGTAGAGGGAGAAACTCAGGTATAGTGACACATAAATCTGACGAAGGGCGATTACGAGCGTGTCAGTCACTAATCTGGTTTTAGAGTTCATTCTGTGCCCAGAATGGAATCTAGCCGGATGACTTCCAACAACACGCTGTGAGCGCCGCTCGGAGAGTTCAAAGAGCTGTAGCCAAGAAGGCTGCCGACCTGGTTGACAAGTACAAGCAACGAGACGAAGGAAGGCACAAGTTTCCAGAAGAAAAAGCCAAAGCTGGTGTCGAGGAGATAAACAGGAGTCCAGGCTAGAAGATCAGAGATCGAAAGAGGTACAGAAGGGAAATCCAAGCCGAGGTCAGGAGACAGATCCAGGGTCGTAAACAGGGAAAATCTATCAGAATTCCGAAGACAGGTCAGGCAAACAGATCAGAATGGGAACAAGTGGGTTTAGAACAGGGGACGCTATGGCAGAGTTTTTCAATCCTGGTCCTCAAGGCACCCTGCTCTACATGTTTTGGATGTTTCTGAGGTTCAGCAAACCTGATCAGATTATTGCAGTTCAGCAAAGCCTGATAATCTGCTATCAATTGATAACAGGTGTTTGAAAGCTGGGAAACATCTAAAACATGCAGAGGTTTTAAATTAGCTCAGTATTATCAGTGAGCTCACAATTACTGATAGGAAGCAGGTCTTTTCTCATTTATCAAGTCAAGGATATAATCAGCCATAAATACATTAATACACTATCTTGATAACTCTACTAAACGTCTTAACTTATGGTTTAATTAGAAAATTAGTCTTTACATTTTTGGAGCAATGCTGTTATCAATAGTAAATACAATATCAGTAATATACAATTAAAATAATATTTTAAAATTCCGTAATGATACATTATTATTAATGCTGCCAGACTATTTGTGCATGAAAATCTGGGTCTACGTACATAAACTGCTATGGCAGAGCTACAACCTCTTATCAGCTTTGAACTGAAACCTTCTGATTGGCCAAAGATGAAAATTACCCAGGCTGAAACCCTGGCAGCGGGATCAGATGTGCAGGAAATGCCAAACAAGAGAGTGGAAATGAGAAAAGATTTAGGGATCTCTTCAACAGCAGCTATCATGTCCTTTATCCAAACAATTTGGAGCTCAGTAACCACACTGCCAGCCACAGCGTGGTATTCACTCATTTCATGCCTCCGAATTCATTGGTTTGTAAGCAATCAGACGCATTACTAGCGTGGCGTTAGATGTGCAGATGTTTAATCCAGTTGTGGTGATGTAAACGCATTGTCCTGCTGGAGCTAAAATCCCTCTGAAAGAGCACAACTGATGTTATTCCACGAGTGTACCATTATACTGAAGGGCAGAAAAATTCCAAACTGAAAACACTTTATGGTTGAGTGACTGTAGAGATCTGGGAGCAGATTGAGCCCGTTGGAAGTTTGATCTACTTTTGCTTTAATTCCCCTCATTTGACAGCTGTGTTGTTCTTTGTCTCACTCCTTTATATTTGTTCAGAATCTGGCACACTGAGGAAAACCTTTGAAGAAATTCTCAAGAAATATCTAAAAGATATCAGTGACTGTAATCTTTAGAGTGAGAGTCCTGTTACTCCTGCCATGAATGCAGATCTTTTTGATGAATCAGTTTTGGAATCATCAGTCTTATGTTAAGTTTACACAGCTGGATGCATTTGAAATGATGCCATGAATACCCAAAATGTTTTCCTAGATTTAGTTTAAGGCCACTCACAGAGTTTTTAAGACTATATTGTGACATTTTGGATCAGCCACATTGTGCTTAGCCCCTGCATGGTCTTGGAGATGTCCCTTGGAGCACATTAAGTGTTAGACATTCCTGACAGTTCTAGGAGAGCTCTTCTGTTGTAAGATCACAGTGATTATAATGTGTTGCATAGAGAAACCTTGCAAGAGCACGGGCAGCTCGTCAATTCTGTGGCATGCTGCACCTGCCTCGACTGATTATTACCAGCTGTGTACCTAGTAGTTTTGTGTATGTGCGTTGTAACCAACTCTGGTTTCAACAAAACCATCTCACCAAAAAACATAAATCCAGAAATAATGGCACTCAGGCCAAAAATAGAGATGGTTGGGAGAAATATACAAGAAGTGGTGAAGAGAATCCAGAAGAACTGCAGAGGTAGAGTATATAACCTGTATGGGAGACAGAACCAAGAGTGGAGTAATCAGTTAATTTGGGAGCAGGTGTGGACAGAAACAGCTAAGGACAAAGGAAAGTGGTGCTAGGGGTCAAGAAAAGTAACTGGGGAAAACAGGGTTCATCTGTAACTAGAAAAGAAATTAAATTAGGCAAAAGAGGAATAAAACTAAGGACTGCAAAATAAAAACATAACTTAAAGATAAAGGAAAGAATAATTGAATAAATCTAGACCAATAATACCAAAAATGCTGGAAAGAGATAAAAGAAAGGATTAAACTAAGAATTTAAAAAAATGATATAAAGCTTGACAACAACACAGAATAAAAATAAATAAAACATAACTGAAAACCCAAAATGAAAACTTAAACAGTACCAAAAAGTGTAGAATTGCAGATCATGACATCAGTATCAGCTGTAGTCTCCATGTATGGAACTCTAGCTGTTGAGAAGTTCGCACACACCTCCAAATTGTGCATATTAGATTTGAAGCTGTTGTAAAACATACATTTTCCATTTTGCAGTGGTAATTATTTTTTCCATGAATAACTTTAGAGCATCTAGTAAAGCATAGCCACATATTACACACATTGTTATGGTACAGCCTTATTGTGCAAACTTGTTCCTTTAAGTTGGAGGATTTTTGCAATTTTTTAAAAAGACCTCTCCACAAAATACGCCTATTAAACAGGTGCGAGAACATACAGGAGCCCATTTCACCTCCTGCACGCTCTGTTTAAAAGTTGCTGTTTTCATAGCTCATACAAGCTTACTGTGCCGGAACATATTGAACTTACTGTTCAGACAGATGCTTTTTGCTCTCCGTTGGTCACGTAAATCCTCCTCCACTGAGCGATGCATGCACCATCTTTGTTATTAGTTGCCGCTGTCGGGTAGAGACAGCAGGCCGCCGTGACAGCAAATCCCACAATGCTTTGCAAGGAGAGGTCTCCGCGCAAAGTATTAGGGATATATCTGCCTCTTCTGAGGCCTTTATTTTCTTCTCATACTTCATACACTTTTTCTCTCACCACACATATACACCTGAAAGTGCTCTTATGCATAAAACAATACCTAAATGGGGACGAGCACGTAGGACGGCCTTACGTAAACATATCACCAGAATGATTGACATTTAGGAGGACCACTTATTTAGATGATCAATGGAAATAAAAGATTGTCCTCTATACCTTTAATGTTCTCCGAAAAAATACCCTATAATTAAAATGTTAAAAAAAACAAACATTTTTCATTTTTTATTATTGTTGCAAATTTATTAGAATGGCAAACCAAGAAACACATTTGTTTAGGTGTTCACTGCCTTTCAAGGTTGAAATCGAGCTGAAGTTTGTACTGTTTCTATTGATTATACCTGAGATGTTTCTGCATCTTGCTGGAGTCTACCTTGGAAAAAAAATCTGTTGGTCGGACATGATTAGGAAAGGCACACAGCTCTCTAGATAAGGTCATAACGCAAACTAAGCATGAAGGCAGAGGAATTGGCTGCAGACCTCTGAGACATGATTGCCTTGAGGTACAGGTTGTTATGTTTGGAGGAAACAAGGCATGGCTCATCACTAGTCCAGTACCATCCCTACATATTCTGATGGTGCTTTCTTACTAATGGTAAGACTGAAACTGACAGTGCAGAAGCACTTCACAGTAGCAAGAACTACAGATTGTTAAGCAACATCCAGTCAGGTATGATAATCAATATAAATAAGGCCATAATCAAGAAGAGGGAAGTGAAGCCCCAGGTTTTGGAGTACTGTAGCGTTTTGATTGCCATTACATACAATTACAAATCGGCACCAGTCCAGCACAAAATAAATGGTTTTAAATCTTCAACATTAGAGACCACAGCACAGGTGTAATCTTGTGTGTAAGTAACAAACAGGCATGTAATGTCCTTTGCAAATCCTCAAGCCTGCAGCTCAGACTGCAGAGCTGGGTTTATTAGACATAAGATCACAGCTCTTAGGTATTCCAGAACTTTAAAACAGCATCTGATTCAAGGCACGTGGTAAACATGTATGAAAGTAGCACTGATGCTCTGACACATAAGCCCTGGAGCTAGGAGCAGGGAACATCTGAGCTGGAGAAGGCTGAGCGGAACGGGGAAGATTATACAGAGAGCCTGATTCTCTGTGAGTGACTCTATGAATAAGAATAAGTGAGACAGCTGAAACTAGGAGCAGTGTTGGCTTTTGTGCACATATATACGGTGCACAGCCCTGCATGTGTGATTTCATAAGAAAAAAAGGGAAAGCAGTGTATAGGGTGAAAAATAAAGGTGGCAGAAGGTGAGGATGAAACGGCACAGAGTTGGTGGGGAAGAGAGTGAGGTGCTAATTTTCTGAGGTTGTATAAAACGACGTGTTAGTAACAAGCTGAGCAGCTCCGCAAACTGTTGGGTGTATTGATGTTCGGTTTAGAGAGAGAAGGATAAAAGTGGGAATGCACTAAGTGGAACGTGGAATGAACACTGGTAGACGGGCCATGTTAAGCCTAGTGGAAAAACATCTCAGTTAACCCTTCAACACTGAATGTCTGAATGAGCCGGCAACATATACGGTGCACATAGTCATGCGTCATCTTGAGTCGGCTAATTAGATTTGAATGGGTGCCTCCAGAAACACTTTCAATAAAGATGGTCCTTTACAGGAAATCTTTTAGAAAAGGTTTTGTTAAAAAAGATTATAAAACATCTTCCGTTTGTCTTTCAAAATTTTAACAGATGATATGATTGAGCTGATTTGATGAAATTACAAAAACAGTTCACAACATCCCCTCTTGAGTGGAAACAAAGCATCACACCCAGAGTAGTGCTTCACGCTGTGAAATTTTGCCACTTGACTGTGTCAGGACATTCACAGAGGCCATGACATTCCACTTGTGATGTTAACACTCTGAGACTCTGTGTCCATTTGTAGTGTGCTGCTGAGTTATTGAAATTGTCATTTGGATGCAGCTGTGTGCAAGTGCATTTTTGGCTGAATCTGTACATCTCCATGGACACTCAGGTCCTCTTTAGATGTATGCATACTTTTATGTCCTTGTTAAAGCAGTCAGGTTTGCAGGGCTCTAACTAAGCCTAGTGTTAAAAACTATTCTTCCCTTCATAGGTTTATGTATATATATATATATATATATATATATATATATATATATATATATATATACTGGATCGAGTCAGAAAAGAATCACATCATTGTCAGGCGGAATCGAATCCATTATTGAAATTTCAATCTATACCAGGCCCCTTTGCTTCCACCTCCCTGGAGATATAGAGACTCAAGGTATAAATAAGGTTCGTAAAATGTTCTAATCTGCCAAATCATAGCAGTCTTTTGTATATAGGGGACCAGTTAGACAGATCATTGGATGAAATCACTACCTCATAAAACTGAATGGGGTTTTATAGAGGCAATAGAGGATTATAAAGCTGCTTCCTAATTATAGCCCAAAGAATTGCAACATGTTTAAAGTTCAAATGGTTTTATTGCCAAAGTGTGGTAGTTAATCTACAATCAGCAGTTGTTTCATGATTTTGAAGCTTTCCTTTTTATTTTGTAAATTATTTCTTTAAAGTAAATATTTGATAAAGTACGAAAGTTATTAACAGCAGAAGTAGTAGCATATATCAGCTTAATATCATAGTGCGAAATATGCCAAAAGGATTTAGTGGCATTTTCTCATAAAAAAAAAAAAAACAGTTTAATGACAACACAAGTCATCCAACTTGCAGTTTATAGTTTTTATTTGTTTTTTTATGGGGAAATATGTGTTTGAAATACGATCATTATCTGCTACCCTAAATTTGGGAGCAACAGATGTCACCTATGGTTTGTTGTTTTATTATTTGTCAAGGGTATAAGATTAAAACCTTGCTATTGACCATTATTTGTCCTGCTAAATACATTTTAAATGTTATATGATAATAAAAAAAAAAAAAAAAAAAAAAAAAAAAAACTTTCTTCCCAGATTATGAAATGTTCATTTTTCCCTAACTTCTGTTCCAGAATGTTTTTGTTCAGGAGTCATGAAATGTTTTCTTCTCATTCCTCTCTGATGCAGGTTATTTTCACGGACCACAGAAGACGGTCCATCAACACAGCTAATGTTTACTGATTGTTCTCTTGCTATCAGACAGGAGACCTATTTGATCCTGCATTCTTGCCAGCAGTTCTCAGCATTGCTCCCATTAACTAACTTAATTACATTAGAGGCTGAATAGTATAGGGTCTAAAATTATTTTTACCATCATTTAAAAGGCTTATTACGCGTTGCCAGCATAATTTATGTAGATATTTTAAGGGCTGAGTTGCAATGATGAGCTGATTTGATGCTGACTGGATAATGTTATTAGAGTTAAGATAGTGGTCGTGCTCCTAAAGGGGACTGAGAGGAAGTTATAATGCTGAGAAATAAAGAACTAGCTTCAAAGTTTTGGATTTGTTGCCAAAAATACATAATTTCTTAATAAAGTAACTGGATGAAAGCAGAAAAATTGTGCCATATTGTTGTCTTTTTTTGTAACAAGGCTGATGTTTCCTGTTGGTGATATCGTAGAGGTGGGCATGGGGTGGTCCGGCCCTAAACCATCCCAGATTATATAAACAGGTGCAGTTTATAAAAAGACAGCTTTGACTTCAAGAAAAAGCAGAGAGTTTGGTATTGAAAATATGTGGGTGGTCAGAGCTCTGTGCCAAACCAAAATCTGTTTCTCTAAAAAGCCGCACCCTTGTGCAACCACAGAAAAAGTGTGACTGTGAATGTTTTTTTTTTCAGGAGCGTGGGAGTGGGACCATCTCCAGGAGGCCTTGGAAGAGAAGCTGAAGAATTCACTAGCTGTGGCTCAACTTATGGAGCGCATACGGTCTCTTCTTAGCAGAGACAGGGTGAGCTCTTTAAAGATGGCTGCTAAATGTTATATTCATTTTCACAACCCTCAAAGTGTTCTAATGTTTTCCGATATTCCAAGAAGTTTATAGCATTCTGATAATTAAGGAAAATATATATGGTTTAAATGGTTTTAAAAAATCTATATAAATAAATTATAATAAAATATCTATCTATCCATATATATATATACAGGTGCTGGTCATAAAATTAGAATATCATGAAAAAGTAGATTGATTTCAGTAATTCCATTTAAAAAGTGAAACTTGTATATTATATTCATACATTACATACAAACTCATATATTTCAGATGTTTATTTGGTTTAATTTTGATGATTACAAATGACAACAAATGAAAATCTCAAATTCATCATATCAGAAAATTAGAATATTGTGAAAAGGTTCAAAATTGATGACCCCTGGTGCCACACTCTAATCAGCTAATTAACTCAAACCACCTGCAAAAGCCTTTAAATGGTCTTTCAGTCTAGTTCTATAGGCTACACAATCATGGGGAAGACTGCTGACTTGACAGTTGTCCAAAAGACGACCATCGACACCTTGCACAAGGAGGGCAAGACACAAAAGGTCATCGCTAAAGAGGCTGGCTGTTCACAGAGCTCAGTGTCCAAGCACATTAATAGAGAGGCGAAGGGAAGGAAAAGATGTGGTCGAAAAAAGTGTACAAGCAAGAGAGATAACCGCACCCTGGAGAGGATTGTGAAACAAAACCCATTCAAAAATGTGGGGGAGATTCACAAAGAGTGGACTGCAGCTGGAGTGAGTGCTTCAAGAACCACCACACACAGACGTATGAAAGACATGGGTTTCTGCTGTCGCATTCCTTGTGTCAAGCCACTCTTGAACCACAGACAGCGTCAGAAGCGTCTTGCCTGGGCTAAAGAGAAACAGGACTGGACTCCTGGTGAGTGGTCCAAAGTCATGTTCTCTGATGAAAGTAAATTTTGCATTTCCTTTGGAAATCAAGGTCCCAGAGTCTGGAGGAAAAGAAGAGAGGCACTTCATCCACGTTGCTTGAAGTCCAGTGTAAAGTTTCCACAGTCAGTGATGGTTTGGGGTGCCATGTCATCTGCTGGTGTTGGTCCATTGTGTTTTCTGAGGTCCAGGGTCAACGCAGCCACATACCAGGAAGTTTTAGAGCACTTCATGCTTCCTGCAGCTGACCAACTTTTTGGAGATGCAGATTTCATTTTCCAACAGGACTTGGCACCTGCACACAGTGCCAAAGCTACCAGTACCTGGTTGAAGGACCATGGTATCCCTGTTCTTAATTGGCCAGCAAACTCTCCTGACCTTAACCCCATAGAAAATCTATGGGGTATTGTGAAGAAGAAGATGCAATACACCAGACCCAACAATTCAGAAGAGCTAAAAGCCACTATTAGAGCAACCTGGGCTATCATAACACCTGAGCAGTGCCACAGACTGATCGACTCCATGCCACGCCGCATTGCTGCAGTAATACAGGCCAAAGGAGGCCCAACTAAATACTGAGTGCTGTACATGCTCATACTTTTCATGTTCATACTTTTCAGTTGGCCAACATTTCTATAAATCCTTTGTTTTTATTGGTCTTCAGTAATATTCTAATTTTCTGATATGATGAATTTGAGATTTTCATTTGTTGTCATTTGTAATCATCAAAATTAAACCAAATAAACATCTGAAATATATGAGTTTGTATGTAATGTATGAATATAATATACAAGTTTCACTTTTTAAATGGAATTACTGAAATCAATCTACTTTTTCATGATATTCTAATTTTATGACCAGCACCTGTATATATATATATATATATATATATATATATATATATATATATATATATATATATATATATATATATATATATATATACACAGAAAAGAAAATAGCATAACTATATATATGGCATAACACACACATACACTCACCGGCCACTTTATTAGGTACACCTGTCCAACTGCTCGTTAATACTTAATTTCTAAGCAGCCAATCACATGGCGGCAACTCAGTGCATTTAGGCATGTAGACATGGTCAAGACAATCTCCTGCAGTTCAAACCGAGCATCAGTATGGGGAAGAAACGTGATTTGAGTGACTTTGAACGTGGTATGATTGTTGGTGCCAGAAGGGCTGGTCTGAGTATTTCAGAAACTGCTGATCTACTGGGATTTTCACGCACCACCATCTCTAGGGTTTACAGAGAATGGTCCGAAAAAGAAAAAACATCCAGTGAGCGGCAGTTCTGTGGGCAGAAATGCCTTATTGACGCCAGAGGTCAGAGGAGAATGGCCAGACTGGTTCGAGCTGATAGAAGGGCAACAGTGACTCAAATAACCACCCGTTACAACCAAGGTGGGCAGAAGAGCATCTCTGAACGCACAGTACGTCGAACTTTGAGGCAGATGGGCTACAGCAGCAGAAGACCACACCGGGTGCCACTCCTTTCAGCTAAGAACAGGAAACTGAGGCTACAATTTGCACAAGCTCATCGAAATTGGACAATAGAAGATTGGAAAAACGTTGCCTGGTCTGATGAGTCTCGATTTCTGCTGCGACATTCGGATGGTAGGGTCAGAATTTGGCGTCTACAACATGAAAGCATGGATCCATCCTGCCTTGTATCAATGGTTCAGGCTGGTGGTGGTGGTGTCATGGTGTGGGGAATATTTTCTTGGCACCCTTTGGGCCCCTTGGTACCAATTGAGCATCGTTGCAACACCACAGCCTACCTGAGTATTGTTGCTGACCATGTCCATCCCTTTATGACCACAATGTACCCAACTTCTGATGGCTACTTTCAGCAGGATAATGCGCCATGTCATAAAGCTGGAATCATCTCAGACTGGTTTCTTGAACATGACAATGAGTTCACTGTACTCAAATGGCCTCCACCGTCACCAGATCTCAATCCAATAGAGCATCTTAGGGATGTGGTGGAACGGGAGATTCGCATCATGGATGTGCAGCCGACAAATCTGCGGATCTATGCCACGAAGAATTGAGGCAGTTCTGAAGGCAAAAGGGGGTCCAACCCGTTACTAGCATGGGGTACCTAATAAAGTGGCCGGTGAGTGTATATATATATGTTATGCCATATATATATAGTTATGCTATTTTCTTTTCTTCCCGTCTTTCTTTGCTGATGATGGAGCCATGATGCTGTTGACCCTTTACTCAAGAATTTAATAACACGGAGACACCAGACAACTTTTAATAGATTTTGTGTTTTTATAAACCCTTCAAGACAAATTCATCACTACTTTCCTGAACAATGTTCTGCTGTGTGACGTTTACATTCTTCTTCTGCTGTGAATTCAGGTCCTATTGACATCTGCAGCCGTTTAGACTGAAGTCAGATAGTGGTCCTATTCAGTTATCAGTATTAGAGATGACAGCAAAAAAGTCAGATTTCAGGGGAAAAAAGACAGCATCAACACTGATTTGGATCAGTTGTGTGAATGTAGCCCAAGCAACTATAGGTAAACCAATAGTTGCTGTCACTGTGCAGATTAGTTGCCAAAGGACCCACTTAGTGTCAATTTTGAACAGAAGTCATCACACTCTGCCTCATATCACTGCTTACTGATTGAAGAAAATGAGTGTATTGTTTTCTGGGCAGGCAGGTGAAGGTTTTATAGAGAACCATCATGGCCACTCATTTTCCAGTTCTGATAGTACCTGCTGCTTAGAGAGCAGGGTTCACAAGGATTACTCAGACATGCATGAATCAAATAACAGGTTTGGTTTGATGAAGGAATAGAATATTTTAACGTTTTAACCTCTTAACATCCACCTCATTTTGGGTAATCCTCGCCTATTTTGCATACCCAAATGGAAAAGCAAATAACTTAGGAACTCTCTTACCTGAGCTCTGGATCTCTGCCCTCTTGCAGACTCAGGGCCTCTTAATACTCCTTGGCTACTACCGATTGCTTCAATTGGTTATCTTGAGATTTTAGAGACGTGTTTGCTTTCTTTTTATCTCATAGTAATGCACTATTTAGTTTTATTTCCATAGATTAGTCTCTCAATAACAAAAAACACTTAAGTTTGTCTTTGTAGTTTGTCACATAATTGACCTGGGCTGCTCAGTGGTGCAGTGGGTAGCACTGCTGCCTTGCAGGTAGAAGGTTCCGGGTTCAATTGCTGGGTCTTTCTGCACTGAGTTTGCATGTTCTCCCTGGGCATGCATGGGGTCTATCTGGGTACTCTGGCTTCCTCCCACAGTCCAAAAATATGACTCTTAGGTTAACTGACTTCTCTAAATTCTCCTTAGGTGTGAGTGTGTGCGTAAATGGTTGTTTGTCCTGTGTGTTTGTATGTTGCCCTGCGATGGACTGGCGACCTGTCCAGGGTGTACCCTGCTTCTCGCCAATAGACAGCTGGAGATAGGCACAGCACCCCTCGTAACCCCGCTTGGGATGTTTAGATAATTATTGCCTCTAAAAACCTCATAGATATCATAGGAATTATCACAGTATAAACAAAAGATGTTTTCCAAGGAGTGAAAGAAAAACACAAGATCTAGGAGGAAATCATGCAAACATCGATGCTGTTTTCAGGCGGCTGCATCATGTTTGGATTGTCTATATTTAGAAAGCATGAAGTGGCTCTAGATACAATACAGCAGACTTTTAACATTTAGTCGGGAATGAGCATTTGTGACGTGGACAAATCTGACAAGCCTTTCTGGCACACTAAATACGCTCCCAATCCAGCAGGATGGAACCAGGCCTTCTACCTGAGGCAGCGCTGAGACAAGCTGGCGCACAGTGATGGAAGTGGTCATGTAACGTGATTAGACACCATAATGTCGTGTCATGATTCATGCGCCTTCCTCTGCAAACATCCACATGGCTTTGCTTTAGAAGCTGGTAAAATGTAACTTTAAAACAAGCTTACTGTGGCTTTGGGAAATCAGAGGCCTTGCTTCTGTTGTCGTCTCTACAGCAGCACAGTGTGAGGATGGGGGTTCTTTGTGCTTCAGCAGACTGATAAAGGTTATGTAATGCTAATAGGAATCCTAATAACTCACAACTGTGAACACATATGTGCACACTGAGATTTTATACTCTAATATACCACATTTTATTACTTCGTTACTAATAAAATGTGGTATATTAATAAAAGAGAATAAAAGAATAAAAGGTGATTTTATTCTCTAATATACCACATTTTATTAGTAACGAAGTAGTGTGTGTCTGCAGTACTAAACAGGGTGTGTATTTACGAAGAATGTGAAGCGTGTGGTGTTTTTATTTGTTTTTTATAATTATAATTATTTATAAAATACCTGTTTTGCAAGAAATCCAATATGAGCCTCAAGATTAAGTTTGCTACTACGCATGAAGGGGATAAAAAGCTAATTTTGATAGCATGCAAAGTTAGCTTTTCTGAAAATGAATGCTAAACACAACCTTCCAACAATAAAACTATGGGGCTTCATGCTGCAGAGCTTCTCCTACTACTTTGCTATGACAGAATGGTTTAAAGCAAATATCTGTTTTAGAATGGACCTGTCAAAGTTCAGACGTATTTTGGATTCTGCAGCAAGCCTTAAGAACTGAAGAGAATTACTGAAGTTGAGCTATTTAATGAAAAATAACGGGGAATTTAATCCTTAGATTGGTTTAACAAAACAGATGCTTGCCACACTGTTCAGATATGAACAACTTTCTGGGTCATGGAGTGTTTTTGCAAAGCCCCTGATTGCATTAAATAAGCTTAAATGTTTTGTTAATAGTAGGTCTGGGCCCCACTTTTCCTTTTCTGTTGGCCACTTGCCATGACGTCGCTCTTGGCGCTGCAGTAATGCTGTGTTTTATTATAGCGCTGAGTAAAACTGGCAGAGGGGCCATCTGTATTCTATGAGGAAGACACAAAAGATGCGCAGCATGACAATCTTTTCTTGTAACAAGAAGCTGAAATACAGCAGAGGAATGCTAAAAACTTGGGGTGTAATTCTTTTGGCTTTCTGCTGTTTGTGTTTGTGCGTAGAGCTCCAGGGACACGCCGAGCGCACGGGCAGCTCAACTTGGACCCCAGACCCTCGTCAACCTCTTTAATTCTCCTCTTTATTCGGACGTCATTTTCATGGTTCAAGGTGGGTGGAGTTGAAATCACAACGTGACAGATACAAGGTCACTCACTGCAGACTGAAATTAATTATTATCTCAGACTCCAGACTAGGTTATTCATTAGGAGGCAAATGAAGGTAAAACAGTTAAAATCAGAGGCTCTTTATCTTTTGACTTCTCACCCAAAGCTTCTCTCTATTAAACTGAGAAATACAAGCAAAAGGCCCCAAAGCATCCCATAATCAATATTTATCTCATAAGGAATGCGGTGAGCTCCTTTAATCTGTGTACCCATGAGCTTTGTTACAATTTTAGAGGTCAAAGCATATTTCATATAAGAAGGACTCTGTTTTATTAAATAAAGACTCCCTTTAGGCTAAGTGCTGGTAATGATGTTAATATGCACATAATGACTCCCTTGGACTATTTTCCGATAATTTTTCATTTTACTCTAAGGCCAAATAGATTTACTATCATCTTTAATCCTTCGTTCTTCCCAGTCTTTATCTTTCAGGCATTTTTTTGCAAATTAAATTCGAAACCCTAATTATTGTATAATTCAGGAAGCGTGCTGCCGGCCCACCGGGCTGTGCTGGTGGCCCGCTGTGACGTGATGGCAGCCATGTTCAGTGGAAAGTACGCAGAGGCCCGGAGCAGAGTGGTTCCCATCCATGGCGTCTCCTCGGATACCTTCCTGTCTTTCTTGGAGTACCTCTATACTGACTCCTGCTGTCCTGGTGAGCTTACTTCACACATGCGATCCACAGGTGTTTAGCTAATCCTGTTTTTGATTTATTTAAACAAATGAAGACGGTGTGGGACTTATGTTTGTGGAGCTTTTAAACTTTCCTTTAAATAACCTTGAGACTTATTAAGAGTTAGATGAACAATATAGAAAAAAACATGACAGAATGTTAAAACTGCATACAGTCTTGTAAATAAAACCCAATGTCTTTTATTTCAATTGAAGATTTCACTGGAGACAATTTGACAGAAATCGCAACAAGTGGTCCAGGGTGCTCTTTGGTTCAGCCCTCAGGCTTTAAAGGTCGTAGGTCATGAGACTGACATGGCCATGATGAGAGGATTTTCGTTTTTATCCATGTTGATCATATGCTATCATCCTCTTGAAAGAATAAAGATAATAATGTGGAAAAGCCAGCATACTTTATTTTGAAAGAGCTCATGATGCCTTTAATGTTAGAGAAACAGGTCAACTAAACTAACCAGCTGTCATCAAGCTGTTCTCCAAATATTTGTCATCTTCATATATTTATACATTTAACCAAAGCTCTCTCAGTTTGATTTAATGTCCAAGTAGAAATCATCATGTTTATACTTGCAGTGTAACAAGGTGTGAGATGACACTCTCTGCTTTAGTTCTCCAGCATCCAGCTATGTGCTGTGGCATAAAGCTTGGCTTGGACCTCAGGTTGCCTTGTTTGGGAAAGTTCAGGTTGCAAACATTTTAATTGTAATTATGAAAGGATGAGCAGCTATTTTCTTGTCAGACTGCTCTGAATGAATATTTGCTAAATATTAGTTTTACCCATTTTGAAGAATATCTATGGTGCACTCGTGTCATGTTATATTCATTCTTTATGAGAAAAGAGTTGAACTCTCTTCATTTAACCCATCCCCTTGGGGAGCAGTGGGGCTGCCATCGCGTGGCGATGGGGGAGCAGTGTGGGGTTAAGGGTCTTGCTCAGAGACCCAGAGTGACAGTCTGTGGGAATGGGGCTCGAACTCGGAACATCAGGATTCCAAGCTCTATGCCCTGACCACTAGGCCGCCACTCCCCTACTGTATTTTAGCTTAAAAATGCTCTCATAAATTAATGTTTCATTTTATAAAAAGAAAAAAAGAAATTCTGTTTTTCCACTGTGGGGTAAGTATACTGCAGATAGAAGCCAGAAAGCAACAGAGCGATGCGTGGAAGCGTTTTCACCCAGCCTTTAGTCCCAACTTAAGCCTAAAACAAAGGCACAGATGAATGGTCTTATCATCCATCTGTGAGACGTGTTGCCAGTTTCACTCTTTAGAGACACTTGGAAAACAGCAGAGAGCTTTAAATTCAATTATATTCAGGAGGAGATCACTGGTGCCAAGTCTAAGCCCCACACATGTTGTTTTCCTTTGGAGAGCATTTAGCTGATTAATCACTTGTTGTGGCAATGAGCGAATTAAATACATATAGCATATAAATCATTACAATGAGTTAAATTTACTTCAAAATTGTTTTAAAACGCATGCAAACTTTTCCCTCTAGTGAAGGGACCTTAAACCTGCATCTGCCAAGCTGCAAATGACTGAACCTTTTACGACTGTTAATATATATTTATTAAGCACCCACTGACTCAAAATATAGATTAAACAAACTGCCAAAATGATTTTGGCAGTTTTTCTGTTTTTATTTCTTGGAATAATTTATTAGAACTTCCATACAGGAAAATTAGTAATATATTTTTAGGTTTTCATTATTGCTATTGAATTGGAAACTGTGCTTTTTTTTTTTTTTTTTCATAACTTTCTAAAGATATCATCTCATAGATATAAAACTTTATTCATATGCTTTTAGAGAAAGATATGTTTTTTTTGTTTGTTTTACACCTATAAATGTAAATGAAATTTAGCCTCTTTACAAGTGTAGAAAATGTAAAAAAAAATAGAACTTTTTTTTATTAAGGTGAAATATATGATTTAAGCTGAGGGGGGAAAACAGCTCTTTGGAGACGGACTCAAGCCGTAGTTAAAAGTAGCGTTGTACCAATCAGGATACTATGGTTGATTTCTGATATTCTGTTTACTAAGAGCTTTAAAGTACAGATCCCAGTTCCTTTTAAAATTTCTAATATCAGAATATATATTGACGTTCGTGACCTAAGAGGTAATTAAACTTTTTGTTCTATTTAACTATTAAAAGAAATATTCTGTAACTGTTGACTCAAGCATCAGCTCTATTTGAGATATATTAAATGATTCAGATAAATATAGGTACGCTTGGGGCTTTTTGTTTCTGCCATTGACAAAAACTCACCTATGTAACTCGAAAGGGTTGGATCCTTCTCTAAATGAGTCATGTAACCTAAAGCAGTGCTGTCCGTCTGAGCTCCCCAAATAACCTTAAAAAGTTGTTTTTAGGTGATCTGATCATACATATTTTTTGGTTCTCAGATTTAGGATTTAATCTAGAGATTACTGTGTATGTTTTGTCTTTATATGTAATTCCGTGACTTCTCGATCTGCTAGTCTGCGGTCAGAAACACAGAGGGAGACGGCTTCTTTTTAGGACAGTGCTTTGTTACAACTTCATCTGGACGTTGCAGGTCTAGCATCCCTGGTGGCTGAAAGTTACACTGTGCCATTCAAATTAAAAGGGAAAACAATCAAAACGGAGTTAACCATAATTAGCACAGTAATGCAGAAAGCATTAATTGCCTTTTTAATTACCGATTAGAATATGATTGGAATATTTGGGTTTGGATATGTAACTGGGCCCTAAAGAAATTGATCAGTTTCCGATTAACAGCCATATTTCTCAGTGAACCTTAAGTGATACGAACATGATGAAGTCTTAATGAATGGCAGCACTTTACACTAGTGTCTGAAGCTGCACTGATTTGTCTTTGGGTGATGTGATAAAAAAAGCAACATTGCAACTTTATGGTCTTCTAAAATCACACTAGCACCAAGCGCATATTTCAGCGGTTAACTGGTGAAAATAAGCAATGAAAAAGCCAGTATTTATTCGTAAATGTATTCCTAAAAATACCACAATGAAAAGCTTCAGCTTTCTATCCACTTATGACCAGCAGGACATAAAACCCTAAGAAGGAGCTGCAGAAGCTGCAGTAACCCTTTACTAAACTTACATAAGACCCCCAGCACTCAAGGTCAGCACAAGGTAACTCTATGAGTATCAGTGACAAGCGGTTTGCTATAAAACACCAAGGCTGGTGTAGAATTTCCCCTCAATAACTTGTTCTTAACGTATAAAAGGGGGCGTTCCTGATGCTCGTTTAAGCAATTGTGCAGCCAGGCGTGGCAAAGCTTTCTGTATTTGCTGCGGCTGAGCCGATGGTGCAGCAGCAGCATGTCTGAGGAAGGTAGAGAGAGAGAGGCAGTGTTTGCATGATGCGACAAAGGCCACTAAACACGGGGTTTAACTTAACAGCAATTATCAGGCTGTATTGGTGTTGTTTCAATGGATCTTAGATATTTTCGAATAGATTTAAAAAAAAAAATTTGTCTTTGCTTGCTGCCTATTGCATCTTTTCATGTGATAACAGAAAGGTAGCTGTGGAACATAGGTTGTTTGCCTCGTTGCTAATAGATTTCTGTGTGATAAATTCTTGGATTTTTCACATGGTTATAAACAGGTTTAAAACTGGTTACCATCGACAACAGGAACTTTTCATTTATTCTGGACATTTTATAACTACTGATAAACAGCAAACAGCTTCAATGATATTTAGAAACAAGAATCCGGTTTCAGGGTTTGAATTTATTGTAGATGTTCTGTCAATTTTATGTATACACAAGCTAACATTTGTCCACTGTAGAAAGAGGAAGAGAAACTAGAAGTTTTTATAGCCATCAGCAAGGTCATTGGATGGATCTGGCTGGCAGTGTTTTAGTCAAGACAACCCCCCCCCCCCCCTGGAGTCTGGAGTCGAGTCCAGACTTCGAGTCCAGACTTCTTGAGGACACAATAACATCTGAAAAATTATTAGAAGACCTTCTGAAATTAACCCTAACAATCTACATTTCTATAAATACACTATTCAATTCAATTCAGTTTATTTCTATAGCGCCAATTCACAACACACCTCATCTCAAGGCTCTTTACAGCTCACCAGAACATACAGTCAAGTTCATTCAAAGTTTTCTATCTAAGGAAAACCAGTGGATTGCATCGACTCTTTGACTCAATAGGCAATCCCTCACACTAAGCATGCTTGTAGCAACAGTGGAGAGGAAAAACTCCATTTAACAGGAAGAAACCTCCAGCAGAACCAGGCTCAGTGTGAGCGGCCATCTGCTGAGGCTGACTGGGGTTCAAGGAGACAGAAGCAGAGATACAGAAAATACTCAGAGCTGAAATAAATGCATTTCATACTCAATACTGATGTTTTCATTTTATGTTATGTTTTTTACTATACTGACACCAATCCTTGTAGAATTGTGTGCAGTTTCAGAACAACATGTGTTAAATAAAACATACAAAATAACTGTCAGGATTTAAAATACATAAAAGCTGTATATTATAATGGGATCTGCTTTTACTGTAGAAAAATTATTAGCAGTGCTATATATGCTAATGCCCCAAACCATACTATACCTATTGTAAACAGGAAGCTAACTTTGAAGGTAATAGTGACCAAAACTCTGTAAGAGGGGTAAAGACTTTTGGTTCAGAGGCAGATTGCTAACTTAAAATTGCTGCCTTGCCTTGCTTTATACATGCTTTCTAAGTAACCATAAAAGCTGGGTCTTGTCTCCACTGTCGCTGTATGTTGCCTTATGATGTCATAAATGTATTCTTTGTGATTTATGTAGCTGAACTAAATCACTGAAGATTCTTTCAGACATCTCACCTTTTCACGCTCTCTACAGCTCACTTTCTTGGAGCACAAGTGAGGGGAGGTGGGCATAAGTGACAGCAGTAACAAAATTAGCAATAGTTATGTTTTGCTCGGATTTGATATTTCAAATAAAAATAATCAGATATCATCAAAAAGTGGTCTTGAGACTAAAACCGGTCAGTACTATCGCAATGCTGGTTTGATGTTTGATCACTCTCTTTATTGAAATTTTGGGCTTTCTTCATACAAAACCATAGTTAATTAATTGAACTCCAATCGATCAGAGTCACTATTAAACTTTAAGGTTTGGCTGCTTTATTTAGTCAAACCTTTGAAATCTGTTTGAAATTTCAAGCATTGGATTCAGGAACAACCATTGAAGCACAAAGGTTAAAGTGGAAGATGCATCACTGCCCACAATGGAGCTAGTTTTACATTTCATGGATTTAGTGTTGAACAAGAAAGAATGGACACCTTTGAGCTTGAATGAAATTGCCACATCCACGGACCGAATCCCATCTAGAGTTGGTCTCTGTTCAAAGAATGAGCAATGTGCCACTCGATGACAAAACACTAGCCTGTGTGGAGGAGGTTTTCAGATTGAGTACGACTTTAATAAACATGGTGGTGGCAGCATCATGCCCTCCACTAATGCTGGTATATTAAATAAAGTGGGTGGAATAATGAGGAGGGGAATTTTTTTTAACCAAATTGTTTATTTTCTACTAAAATCAACAGGTAGAATGCTGTCCAACATAACAATGATCAGAAACACGTAAAAGCACATTTTGAAATAAAAAAAAAACAACAAAAAAACAGGCTGGTATCAAGCTATAAAAAGGCCTGTTTGAGAAAGATATAAAATGGTTAAAATGGAGGCTTCAAACTAGGATCACTCTCAGAAAACCAACTCTTTTATTAAGGATTAGTTCTGATGACTATTTTTTTTTTACTGATTGTGTTGTTTTTTTTCTAACTTTCTGCTTTAATACCATTGAGATGTGAGACAGTGCTGTGTGTGTCTGTGTCCAGCCAGTGTGCTGCAAGCCATGGCCGTGCTGGTCTGCGCTGAGATGTACCAGGTGAAACGACTGCAGCATCTGTGCGAGGTGTGCGTGTGTGCATACCTGCAGAGCATGCCTAGCAGAGAGCTGTCATCGACTGGGATCAGCGTGGTTCGACTTCTACGTAGAGCAAAGGTCAGTGCTGCCAAACAGCTTAAGCAGGGTTTAAAGGGAGCTAAATAGAGAAATTAGCATAAAATGTAAATGCTTTGTTGATTTTCTTTGATTCTTAGTGTCACAACGCTGAGCAGCTGTATATCTGGCTCCTCCACTTTATCGCCAACAACTACCTGATCTTTAGTCATAAACCTGACTTCCTGGAGCTCTCAGGTCAGTGGGATGTTTTTTAAACTAATAGTTTTGACCAGAAAAGACCAGCCAGGCATGTCGTCGGCAAAATGCACAAGGTTTCATAGTTGAATCAATTATTTATATCCTTCCTCCTTTGTAGAAAGCCTGGAAGAGATGCTTCAGTTGGGAATGTCAGAGTTAAAGTCACCCAACGTAAAATACTGTACTGTAATTTAGGTGATATATTTAAAAATGAAATGTAATCACCTGAAATAAAAACCATCAGTTCTTAACTTCTGCTTTAATAAATATCAAAGTATCTTCTTAGAGCTTTAGAATCCATTTTCAAGAATTAAATATTTCTTTAGAACAAACAAAGTTCCTAGTAACTGTATATATCCTTAAATTAATTGAGTTAATTATAACAAATTAAGAGAAATTTTGCTGAATTTTAAGACCAGCATCCCTTTTTTATTATAGATGTTAAATCTTATTTATGTAACTGAATACCAATATTTGTTTTAACATTTAGCATTTATGTATTCAGTTATGTTTATATCTGAGAGATAATTTCTCACATTAAACATCAATTATATTTCAACATAGTATTGGTATTCTATGTCAAATTAAATAATTTACATTTACTGCAGGATTAGCAATTGCATATTTCAAAAGTCTTTATAGGATACATTTTGAAATAAGATGCCAAAAAGAAAAGAAACACACCCTACCTGGGCAGGAGGCCCTTTACCACAGGGAAAATTGAGTGTCCAGTTGTGATCGAACCATTTCATGTTTTGTGGAACATATAAAAAAACTCAACCAGCTAAAGTATTTGTTTTCCAAAAACAAACAAAAAATAAAACCTAAATAAATTTGAAGGAAAATGTGAAGGAACCAAAAATAAAGCCAACACCACAAGAACTTCCACGTATAGTTTGTCTGATTGGCTGCTTTTGGTCCTTTCTTTAAAGGAACATTACAAATTTACCTAGCAACAGCAAAGCACAAAGAAAAACACAGACATTGCAAAGCAGAAGCTGTTTTATTGTGTTCATTCTGTCACACAGGACTCATTCATGCTACTGGACGGGTACACTCTCATCCTGGTTTGTTAGTGGAAAAAAATATTTAGAGATTTCATGGTTTTTGGCTTTGATCATTGCAGCAAGCTAAGCAGTAAGTAACATTAATGTATCTTGAGAGTGTGTGTAAACATCTCTAATGGTCCTCAGGATGTGGTCGTGTTTTTTTGTTCAGAGCAGGCAAACAATTATTTTCCCTTTTTTCCCCCCCTAAATCTTTGTTTCTTCCAGAGGAGGAGCGTGAGCAGGTGGAGAGGCTACGCTGGCCATCCAGGGGATACTTGCAGGAGCTCAGCGAGTATCAGCAGCGACGACGCAAACTTCGGAAGTCCCGCTGCCTAGTCATGTGACCACATCTGGAGGCCTCCTCCCTGCAGAGATGGAGAAAGGAGTGGGATGGAGAAAAGGAAACAAGGGAGGGAACCACACAAGGAAGAAGGTTTTTTAGGGAAACAATGGTTTGACTTTAATTCTGGAGAAGAAGACTTCAGAGACTAATACAAAAAAAACAACTTTGGAGCAGCTGATCAACTGGGAGGAAGGTCTCCACTTCCTCCTCCCTGCCTATAGACTACTGCAACACAGGCAATACAGAACAACTGAACCTTAAAAACTAATGATTTAAAAAACGACCGTCTGACCTCTGCTTGGAGGCTCTGTGATAGATTATATTTTCTACTGACAGGTCTGGCAATACAGTGGGCTTCAAAGAGAACATGGAGGATGGTGTGAAATATCCAAGCATCGATTGGAAAAACAAACCAGCAACATGTGATTGAAGCTCGACTCTTATGGGAATTCAGGTTGGGGGAGGAAAAAAAACAAACAAACAAAAAAACATCAGGAAGTGGCTGATCTGTTTGCTAAATCTGGTCGGTATGGAAACGGGCCAAAGGTAACATTATCAGGACCATAATAATCGGTGGTAAACATCGCCTTGAAAAAGTGTTAAACTTTTTACATTTTGTCACATTTAGACCACAAACCCTACATTTATTTTAATGGTATTTTATGTTACTGATAAGGAAAACTGTGGGCAGAGACGTAGAGAGGAAGAAAGTAGAGAAAGAAATTGTTTTTTAAATTCAGTTTCCTGCCTTTTGTTCTCCAACAAGCTCAAGCTTGACCAAAGCAGACAAAAAGAATTAGTTTTAGTTATAATAGTTTTAATTTCCTACCAGGTTTGGACATTATAGTTTGACTTTATTCTCTTCCCGTCAACAGATTCTCCTACCTGAGCAGCTTCTCTAAATCAAGCTCTCTTTGGTTTAGGTTGTCAGCCATGTCTTAGTTAGTCTGCAGCTTTGCTATATAAAGAGCTCTGCAGGACAGCTTGCCATATTGTTTTAAACATCTCCAAAACATTCTCCCTGCCCCGTCTGCTGTGTTCCTTTGTCTTTCTGATCTCGTTTCATCACAGATATTCTTTTCCTTGGCTTTCTGCAGGGGGAAGTTAATAATTGTGTCTCTTCTGAAGATATTTCGTCTCTTTGGGTGTTTTTTTTCTTTCTAATTATGCCCTATTTTGTTTTCTATCACATAAAATCCAAATAAAATATAAAGTTTGTGGTTATAAAGAGACAAAATGTGAAAGAACGGTTGCATCCCTGTCCTGATGGATTGGAATGATCACCATGTAAACATCCAGCATTTTGTTAAAGCAAAAAAAACACATCCGATGTCTCAATCAGCTCCTTAGAGAGAGCGACTGAGATAAGGACAGCGATCAGAGCTGAGGCCAATCAGAACGCAGCTTGTTGCAACCGCTCTTATTTCTATCCATAAAATACAAGAAGATCGGTTTAACTTTTGATTCGGACCGATTTAACTGCAATTATGTCCAATATCATTGCCTTGTCTTTAATTGTCTGATTTTGAGATAAGTTTCATCATCTTGTTAGATACAGTACATTTTGATCATAGCTTGCACTAAAAAAAAAGAAATCCTTTAAACAGATATATAAAGGCGCTAATCCAATTACATGTGGTCTATGCACCAAATCTAGACATGAATTACTATATTTTCTACATTTTTATTCAAATCTGTTTAGCTTTAGTTTTATACAGTGTTTTGGTGCATTGAAAACAAGGGTTCTTATCTGGAGAATTTTGACTGGTGTAAAAACCTACATTAAGGGATTAAGAAGCAAACACCTTGATCATAAGTTAATACAGGAAAAACCTTGCTGCCTCTAGATTTATTTGATCCTCTTTATTTCATTATCTTTTCTCTTTAGATTGTTTTTAATCATAATAGGATTATGATTTATGGTGCTGCAATAATTTTGTAAACTATACAATGTTTTTTTTTTAAAGTTAGGTAGAGACAATGTGGATACACCAATTTACAGTCTGACTTTTCACTGCTATTTACAAATGTGCTGCAAGAAGTGAAGTATGTCAAACAAGAAACAGAGACTTTTTAAAGCTTTTTATTTTTGCCATTGATTAAAATCGATGTAAAATAATTATTCAAATCATCTGTGGCATAGTTGGAATCCAGTTCTAGCGAGTAGTTGTGCAGAAATGTAGCTGAAATCTGTGTATTACTGTCAGTCCAGATGCTAACGGTGGGGGGATTTGGCTGTGAATGGGGGCTTTAGGGTGGGCACCCATTACACCTAAAGGTGTTCTGCAGCCAAACTCAGAATCTGAAAAGAAATCCTCATGGAAATCTGAATTTGTTAGTAAATAGCAGGTAAAATTATGGACTGTGAAACCAAGAGGAAACCAATGGGCTCACCAGTCTCTGCTGGGCCTGAGCTGGGCAGACTGTAGATAAAATAGTATCTGACTTTAAATAAAGATTTGTTATAGAATGAACAAACGGCTGCTTTTTTGGACCAAAGTTAGATTCTGTTTTCTTGGATTAATCCTCCGGCGTTCCTGTAGCAGCTGCTGAAAACAGACCATTGTTTACTTGTTTCCCTTTTATGCAAAGTGTCACGGCTTACACTGTGCTTAAAGGTAAAAAGTCTAGTTTATATCGACATCGTTTACCACAAATAAACCAAAGAATACTGCTTTGCAGTACATTTGCAACAGTTTGCATTAAATCTGATAAAAACAGAGTAATTATTGATTTAATTTGTTTAATATTTTATATTTTAACAGGCTAAATCCTCTTCAGCACATACACCATCTGTTGCAATTTTTTTTTTTTAAACATCCCTCTGCTACTTTAAATTATAGCACCCAGTTTATGTTGTGTTTTAACCATAAACACACAACTTGATGGGAAGTGCGCAAGTCTTACGCAAATGAGGAAGTAATGGGGCTGTGGAAGTTATGACAAGAAAGGGCAAAATTTCAAGATCGAATGAGAAAAGGTGGAAAACATACTGAATGCGAAGAGAGGAATACAATATGAACATCGGCGTTCAATAAAGCAAGAGCTAAAGCTGCCAAAGTGATGGATAACATGAAAAAAAAAAAAAAAACATGAAATGGGACTGAGTATTAGATTTAGACGAAAAAAGCTTAATGTGAAGGCAGATGAAAGATGCTATAAGTTCAGAGTTGTTTACCTTGAAAGTCTGGAGCAGATCACTGAAGGGCCCCTATGGACTCCAGCATCCCTTTCAGCTTTCCACTTTGGTGCAGCGCCTGCACATCACTTCCACCTCCCACACACTCCTCCCCGATGAAAACCCGTGGGACCTGAAGTTTGGATCCGCATGTGAAAAACAAGGAGTGGAGAATATGAAGCCACATTTAACTTCACTGTTGCATGCATTTCATAAAAGAAGTCCAGGAAGTAAATTCATTATCTCCTCCAGGAGCATATCAAACTAAAACTGCACATATTACAAAAATTGTTGGAACTGTTACTTCATTGCCTTTTAGGCTTGCTCAGCTGTTTAAAAATGGTTATCCACGACATTTAGTTAATTTGGGGTATAAATCTACCAATAGTCTTTAAAATAAAAAGGTATGAGGTAATCTCTTGAATACCTCTGTGACAAAGCTTTCAAAATGTCTTCAGAAATGCTGAGCCAAGCTGAACTGATGAAACTGAAACTTTTCATTATAGTATTTACAAGTATTATTGCAATTACATGATTTTAAATAGTATGAAACCCTGCTTCCAACAGAGATGATGAAGGCCAAAATTCCTTTTTACAGTGAAGGCTACAGCCTTTTTTTTTTTTTTTTTTTTTTAAGGGAATCTGCAATAGGGAAGAAAAGCGAATTAGTGGGATTTGATACAAAAAGTTCCATGATTAAAAATATGTACAAATTTATGCTTAAAAACCTGGAATTCAAAGCAAACAAAGGGAGCCGCACCAAACGTTACTTTGGAGTAAAGAAAATAATTAACTACAGATAAGAGGCTGTTTGGGGGAAACACCCGATAAGAAGGAGGTAATTAGTAAATAATCAAATGGAAATGTGTTGTTTTTTTGAACACAATGACTAAGCAGGGGGGTTTACCGTCCGGGCTCCGGTGATTTCCAGGAAATAGTCCTGCAGGCTGTTCATGTCGTTGCGTCCACTGATATCAATACTCAACAGATGTCCAGGCTTGAACGGGTACTTGGACAAAATGTCCTCAGCCATGACGCAGTAGGGACACGATGGTTTCTGGAAGACCACCACTTTGTCCCCTTTGATCTGAGCCTTCACGAACTGCTGCGCCATCTTACCTCGCTCGTGTGAACTTCTCGGAGTGTGGATGGGCGTTCAATGACGTCACGGAGAGGCAAGACGATCTGCCTTCTGAGCATTTAAAAGATACAGCAATTTAAAGATACAGTAATTTAAAGATACAGCAATTTAAAGATACAGCAATTTAAAGATACAGCAATTTAAAGATACAACAATTTAAAGATACAGCACTTTAAAGATACAGCAATTTAAAGAAACAGTGCTTTAAAGATACAACAATTTAAAGATACAGCAATTTAAAAGATACAGCAATTTAAAAATACAGCAATTTAAAGATACAGCAGGACCTCATTGATATCCACTGTTTGAAAAAAAACACTGACAAAAAAAACAGGTGAAATGAAATTTAATTTAGAGACAGTTGTTTTTTACTGTAGAGAAAAAAGGGAACAAAGAAAAAAAGAGAAAAAAAAAGAAATCAATAATTTGGAAACAGCTGTTTTTTACCGTAGAGAAAAAACAGGGGAAAAAAAGGGGGAAAAATAATTTAGAGACAGTTGTTTTTAACTGTAGAGAAAAAGAGGAAAAAAGAAAAAAATGGAAAAAAAAAAAGAAAGAAAAAGGGGAAAAAATAAATCAGTAATTTGGAGACAGCTGTTTTTACTGTTTTAAAAAAAGGGGGAAAAATTTAAAATTAATAAACAATTTAGAGACAGTTGCTTTTTACTGTAGAGAAAAAAAGGGGGGGGGGGCAAGGGGAAAAAATAAATCAATAATTTGAGGATAGTTGATTTTTACTGTAGAGAAAAAGAAAAAAAGGAAACAAAATAAAATAAAAAATAAAAAAATAATTTAGAGACAGTTGTTTTTACTGTAGAGAAAAGAGGAAAAAAAATGGAAGAAAAGGGGAAAAAAAGGGGGATTGTTGGATTAGCTGAAAAGAATCCAACAAGCCCCTTTAAAGACCGACCTTTCAGACACTTCGATGGGTATGGGGTATTGTCAAAACAAAAACAAGGATTGGTTGGGCTACTTTATAAAACCTCCAACTTAATGCTAATTCTGACATTTGAATTGAGAAAAGGTTCCTGGATGGGAAGCGAAACGTCTTCAAACTTGAAAACAAAGTCCAGTGGATTGTTTTTAACTTTTTTGGAATGACTATGACCTGGATGACTGAGATCCTTCACCAACAGCTTCTATGTTGGTTTCCTCCACTTTTTCTTGCATCTCTACTATCCCTCTCCTGACAAAATGTATGGATGCGTGACATGAACAATAGGACAATTAGGGGTGCAACAATCCATGTAGAGTAAAAACACACAGTTTAACAATTATTATAAAGTCACATTCATTGATTGTATTTTTTTTCCCTCCGGGCTTTCCGGTTTTCCGCTTGGTCCTAGTGCTCAACATGGTCTGTACACTGTAGCGTGACATTGTTTTTTTTGGACAGTAAAAAGAGCAGGGGACATGTCCCCTGTGACCCCCCGCCCCCGCCCTAAACATTCAATAATAGTGATTACAAACTGTTTCAGGAAGAATAAAGTTCATTTTTTGGAACATTTCATGTGCGAATTACACAATGTACCCTATTTTTCTTTGATGCGTTATTCATTAATATCTTCTAGAAGGGCTTTTCAATTTTTTCCCTAAGGACGTTTATATTTAATTGCTTCTTAAGCTTCTTGAATTTCTGAGTGTTTTGCTTATGACGATAGATTCTTGATAAAAAAATTCACAAATATGAGAGACAGAGAGATATTTAATATTTCTGGAACATTTTTCCTTGGAATGGTTACAGAAATGCCTTAAACAGCATATCGTTGTACATCTTCAAGCCTTTTTAGTTGTGATGAATATAACCATATAGGCTATATATAAAATCGTTAACTCTTATGTCATAATTTCAACTAACAGCTATGCTGATGCATTTCTTCCAATCAGAACATAATCCCTGCAGTGCTCTAGGCCTCATCTAAAAGCCAGTGGGTTTGTTATAGCAGGTGGATGATAGCATCTTCAACTTCACAGCAATTAGCAGGGGGTCCTTATAGCTACTTGTTTGCTCAGGGGAACCAACAGGAATCTTTAGGTACTTCATAATGAGGGATTCCAGGGTAAAAGGTCTATGGTTCATGAAGGATGATTTTATTTGGTACTGGAACAAAGCAGCAGGACTAAGGAAAAAAAAAAATACAGGTGCTGGTCATAAAATTAGAATATCATGAAAAAGTAGATTGATTTCAGTAATTCCATTTAAAAAGTGAAACTTGTATATTATATTCATACATTACATACAAACTCATATATTTCAGATGTTTATTTTGTTTAATTTTGATGATTACAAATGACAACAAATGAAAATCTCAAATTCATCATATCAGAAAATTAGAATATTGTGAAAAGGTTCAAAATTGATGGCCCCTGGTGCCACACTCTAATCAGCTAATTAACTCAAACCACCTGCAAAAGCCTTTAAATGGTCTTTCAGTCTAGTTCTATAGGCTACACAATCATGGGGAAGACTGCTGACTTGAAAGTTGTCCAAAAGACGACCATCGACACCTTGCACAAGGAGGGCAAGACACAAAAGGTCATCGCTAAAGAGGCTGGCTGTTCACAGAGCTCAGTGTCTAAGCAGATTAATAGAGAGGCGAAGGGAAGGAAAAGATGTGGTCGAAAAAAGTGTACAAGCAAGAGAGATAACCGCACCCTGGAGAGGATTGTGAAACAAAACCCCTTCAAAAATGTGGGGGAGATTCACAAAGAGTGGACTGCAGCTGGAGTGAGTGCTTCAAGAACCACCACACACAGACGTATGAAAGACATGGGTTTCTGCTGTCGCATTCCTTGTGTCAAGCCACTCTTGAACCACAGACAGCGTCAGAAGCGTCTTGCCTGGGCTAAAGAGAAACAGGACTGGACTGCTGGTGAGTGGTCCAAAGTCATGTTCTCTGATGAAAGTAAATTTTGCATTTCCTTTGGAAATCAAGGTCCCAGAGTCTGGAGGAAAAGAAGAGAGGCACTTCATCCACGTTGCTTGAAGTCCAGTGTAAAGTTTCCACAGTCAGTGATGGTTTGGGGAGCCATGTCATCTGCTGGTGTTGGTCCATTGTGTTTTCTGAGGTCCAGGGTCAACGCAGCCACATACCAGGAAGTTTTAGAGCACTTCATGCTTCCTGCAGCTGACCAACTTTTTGGAGATGCAGATTTCATTTTCCAACAGGACTTGGCACCTGCACACAGTGCCAAAGCTACCAGTACCTGGTTGAAGGACCATGGTATCCCTGTTCTTAATTGGCCAGCAAACTCTCCTGACCTTAACCCCATAGAAAATCTATGGGGTATTGTGAAGAAGAAGATGCAATACACCAGACCCAACAATTCAGAAGAGCTAAAAGCCACTATTAGAGCAACCTGGGCTATCATAACACCTGAGCAGTGCCACAGACTGATCGACTCCATGCCACGCCGCATTGCTGCAGTAATACAGGCCAAAGGAGGCCCAACTAAATACTGAGTGCTGTACATGCTCATACTTTTCATGTTCATACTTTTCAGTTGGCCAACATTTCTATAAATCCTTTGTTTTTATTGGTCTTCAGTAATATTCTAATTTTCTGATATGATGAATTTGAGATTTTCATTTGTTGTCATTTGTAATCATTAAAATTAAACAAAATAAACATCTGAAATATATGAGTTTGTATGTAATGTATGAATATAATATACAAGTTTCACTTTTTAAATGGAATTACTGAAATCAATCTACTTTTTCATGATATTCTAATTTTATGACCAGCACCTGTAGAACAGTCTCCTAGTTAATGCTAAGGTTGAAGAGATTCTGTAGGATCCCACAGGACTGCTGCCACCTGAGGCTAGAGCATTACCACGTCTCTCCTCTTCACTTAACTTCTAGAGACATCCAGATGGCAGGGAGAGGCAGTGAGAGGGGCATTGATCTACTGATCTGCTTGAGAATAAGAACATTGAAGCTGGAGGATTCATGGCAGAGGTTGAGGATACATTTGAAGTGTGAGAGGAAAGCTCTGGGTCAAAAGAGGCTGAACCCATTGAAGAACATGTTCAGCTCAATGGCTCCATCCAGACATCCTTCAGCTTCTTCTCGTAAACGTCCTTACTACAATTATCTTTATATGAATTTGATTTTTTTGTACTCAAGAACTGAGTTTGTATATACTGTATACACGCACAAAAACCCCTGAATATGTTGGGCAATAAGAGATAAAAATCACAAAGATGATCAAAATATTTGCTATGTACATATTTAATCATTAAAAAAATGAGGGAAACATTTGAGCACATTTTGGTGAACTTTCAAAAAAGCTCAAACACAATCCACTGGACTTTGTCTCAAAGTTTCAAACTTGGAAACAAAGACCAATGGATTGTTTAACTTTTTTGGAATAACTATGACTGATCACCAGCACATTTTATTGAACTACTTCCCCCCCCCCCCATTGCAACCTCGAAAACATAATGCATCACAACCAATGTTTCTGCCAACCATCACTAGGTTTTAGAAACAGTCTAAGGATTTGTAAAAAGGAGGAAAGTGAGCATCTAAAAGGTTAAGATTCCTCTGTTAACTAAATTGACCAAAACAAGAAATACAAATTTTATTTAGGAAGGGTGATCTTTGGAAAGTCAAACCATAACAAAGAAAGTACAACATTAAATAAAAAACATATAAATAAAAGGACATCCACACACATTTCCAGGTAAACTAGGTTCATCTTTATTGAAATGTCTTGAACATTTTCAGGAGGGCAAGATGATATTTCAGTCCAAATTCACTTGAATCCCTGCAAATTCTGGGTTTTGCTATATTTATTTTTTAAATCATGCTAATTAAGACTGAGTAATCCCTTCAATACATGAAGATGCATTATGCCATCAAATGTTGTTCTAACCAAACGCAAGAAAAGTTCTGATAAGGACAGAATCCCTTGGAATGCGGACAGAGGTGATTGGACACCACCATAAGGACTTGGGAAAAAAAAACAAAAACAGCGTGCTTTAAACTCAGGGAATTCTCTTTTTCATAAATTAAATCTATGCCGAGATCCAGACTGATTTGGGATGTTGCTACATCCCCCAAACTTAGAGTTCGGATACTTATTCAAAAATAACCAGAAAGAAAAAAAACAAGTTAGAGTTTGTTCACAGATTCTGACGGCAAACCTCAACAGCCAGTCTGCTGCAGAGACTGACTGTAAGGCGGCACATCACAACCAACACAGCTCATCACTTGTAATATCTGTTTCAGGGGGCATTCATTCACATGTCAGGGACAAATTCTTACTCGTCCAAATAATACTAAGTATCTGATGTGTATGAAGAAGCTCATCGCTGCTGAGACAGTGACAACAATCCTCATCTCATCTGAACTTTTGAAGACGACCGATTCAGCAGATCTGTCCACCCTAATGTGTCCTTAACTTGTTTCATGCGAAACTTTACTCCGAGGAAGCGGTACCAGAAAGGCATTTAATCTTTGGCAAACATTCTAACAAGCTTGTAAACATCTCTTTTCCCCTCCTTAAAACAAAAAAATATTTATATAATTGTCCAGAAGCCATCCCTTCCATCCAGAAGAATGTACAAATAAACTGAAATCTTCTTAAACCGAAAATTAAATACAGGGAATCCCAAGAACAGATGGGTTCCTTGTAGGATGAAGTGACTTCCTTCAAAAACTGAAACTGTTTGCCGCTGGATTAATAACAGGTGGGGGCAATCCTTTCTGAGGTTGACTCACTTCAGGGAAAGAAACAACAATAAGAAAAGGGATGTTTTGCATCTCTCCTCCGAGGATCAGGTAATGTCTCTCCAGCCGGGATGATCCTGAGTGCACCGGCTGGGAAAAAAGACTATAGCAGCTTTTTTTTTTTTTTGCTTTTTTTTTTCTCCATGTTTCTAACTTTTCCTCCACATCATTCACAACCCTATGCGCACCATTACCATATTCCCCCAGGACCCACCACCATACATTCACTCTCTCTCACACAGACACACAATCATTCTCAGACAGTTGTAGTTCCTTGCATAGCCTGTGGACCCGACTCCACGTTTCCAAATGTAAACGCCGTAAGGCATTGTGAACTTTATTTGGTGCAAAGAATACTGCCCTCTCCCTTCCCAACCAGAGGTGTTAAAAGATCAAAAATCCTTTGGTTTCCACCTCTTTTTTTTTTTTTTTTCTTTATCTTTACAACTAATTATTTACCACCCATGCAAACTTTCTGCTGCTTCTCACACAGCTCATGTGATTCCTCCCCACTGGCTCATTTCCTTCCCTTTTCTCTTGGCTTCGGCAGCAGGTTTTCCAGTACAGTTTTCTTTGAATAGAGCGGAAATGAGGCAGCAGAGAAGTCTCTGCTGAATGAGAAGCGTGGCTCTCGCGTGCAAAAATGGCTTCACAAAACACATAAGGCTTGTGGTATACATTGTTTTTTTTTTCTTCCTTTTTTTGCATTGCTCAAGAAAAATGAAATAATATCTCCTCCGCTAACTCTTGCTTTCAATACGAGTCTCAAAATAAATAGATCTCCCTCTTTTTTTTTTTACTTAACTACAAGTTAATATTTTCTCTCTGGTGCTCAAAAATGCTGTCTAAAGAGAGTCCTTCACCAGTTACAGCTGAACTGTTTCACACATTTTGATGCACGAGCAGGCAGCTCTTTTCTCCTGATCAAGAGGCATCTATTCCACAGAAGCCAATTGGGAAAATGGTTTTCATTTTGCAGGCAATAAATTAGCCTGTGGAATCAAAGAAAAAAGAGGGAGGGAATGAAGGATAATAGTAGTAGGAAAAGAAAGGATATAGGGGCAAGACATAAAGAAGCTTTAAATAAATAAGGGCAGGTTGGTCACCCCAACCCCCCACCCTTGGTTTGACACTCTGTTCACAATACTGATCAGTGAAGATGATCCGAGCAAGGCTCTCAGCACCAGGCCTGGGCTCTGCGCTGGTCAAAATCAGCGATAAGTCGTTTGATATGGGCCAGTTTGTTGTGCAGGTATTCACAGCGCTGTTTCTCTTCATGGTAGTTGGGGTTGTGCTGTAAGAAACAAATCCGTAAAGTCAGACCAAACCTTCACCCCTATAGACCTCGAGTTAAGGCAGTGATATGTAAGCGATTTCTAAAATAAATTATATTCAGTTCCTGTTTGAAACGGAGCATTTTATGAAAAGTAAAATACTAATCATAGAATCCTTATAAACCTCCTAATAGCTCAATCCAAATCTCCTTAGTAGATTCATTTACTATTAGTAAAAAACATGACAACTTTCTTTTGTATAGCCTTGCAAATATATAGAAAACCATTGCCCCTTTCCTCTTACAGTCTCATTAAACACTATAAACCACAACGTATTTAATTTAAATACAAAATTAATACCCAACGTAACCATATATGTTTATTTACACGTTTTTATAATCGGAATCACAGAATGCTACATGCATTTGAACTTTGCCCTGACTTCTTTACAGTGTGTCTCAAGCTTTGTCAGACTGGATAATGAAAGATCTTGTCAGATTCCTGTTCTATTTAGAAAGGACTAGTCAAAGTCCAGACCTAACAAATCAATATTCTTTGATCATCATTGAATTAAGTCACAGGGTTCTCAACATTTTATTTGTACAATGGTTTCCTAGTTATGCTTCCGTAATAACTAGATTTTTCCTGTCAACCTTCTCCCATGTGAGCTTTGCTGATTCTCCAACTGGCCCTCTTCGCTGCTCCTCTTAGGAATGTTTCCAATGCTTAGGAGGTCGGCCATCTTTGTGGCTTTTAACTTGTGTAATACCCTATGCATATCTGGATGCGCTTTTCTTCCTCCCCGACTTTTCTGTTGTCTTTTGTGGTCTCTGTGATGTGTTTTGATCTTCAATTTTTTATCCACCATATTAACTCTAGTCATCAAAGAAGGGGTTTTAGAGGATACTAGTTGATGCCGTTTAATTTAGCAATATCTAAACACACATTTTTTTTAGATTTCTATTTGTAAAATATTTTGTATAGCATTAATTTTTATATTTTAACCCCTTACAGTTATCTAATCATATCAAATGTTTCTAATCTAGATTTAAGACATGTGAAAAGGCTTCAGGGAAGTGAGCAGTGAAGCAAGGCACTGAAATAGGACAAACATTAGGAGAGGAGGATTTTAAGTTTGCTTAAACTTGCAGCATAGGCACTTAAATCCAATCCTGGAGAACTATTCTACTGTAAAAAGCCATAGAAAGGAATGTATCTAAATAGCTTTAGGAAAGCAGCTCCCCAGGACTAGAGTTGGACACCCTTGGTTTGCATATCACTGATTGAGGCTTGGTTTTTAGAAAGGTATTAGAGTTACACTGGATGTAACAAATTCAGGCCCATGAAAAGCACCATCAACAATGTCTTCACAGTGAAGGTACATTTATCTAAACCTTATTTGCTACTTACTTGTTTCATTTTTTTGTACTCTTTCAAGACCTCGATTTGTATTTTCTGTGAATAAAAATTGTTCATGTTAGAAGAACTTCAAACGTAAAGGTTTAAACAAAGTCTCATGACTTTGAGCATATTCAGCATGTGATGGTAGATATAGCTTGACAGAAAAGTAGATTTATTCTGTTTAATAAAAAAAAAAGACGCTGATTAATGTGATCATTATTTTTGCCATATTATTGAACATGTATGAACTGACAGACTAATCCTGATAAAGCTGTCACACCAGCTAGAGTAGGAAATCTTTAAATTATAAATTCAAGGCTCATAGGAAAATGTGTCTTATTGTTGGTAAAAAGCATGAAGCAGTGAGTTTGTATAACCTGGTGCTCCTTAGTGCCAGGTACCAGCTTCCGACACTGAGCATCCAGCTGAGTGAAGCGCCTGGTGATGCCCTCCACACGGGCATGCAGCTGACGATACTCGTCATATTCTGCGTTGAAGTCGTCTTTGTAGCTCTGCCTCTGGTCAAGAGACACCAGGGCTGTGTACTTCCTGTGAATCAGAAGAAGAAGTTTACCTTCATCACACCTTTTCAAACTATTTTTTTTTTCTGTCCTTAAGTTTAAAAATTGATTCTTGAGGTTTTACAGCTGGTGAGCTCCTTCAACCCTGAGTTCCCTCTGACTCGCTGGGTCTCTGCCCTGTCATGTCGTAATCTGCCTTTGGGCAGAATTTCACCCTGGATGTGTGTGGGATCTGTTCTTGGAGGAGGGCTCTCTGTCATGCCCCAGAGTAAAGTTTGGCACACACCGGTGGCATCCGACTTTATAATCTGCAATCCAATTGTTTTTTTGTTTTTGTTTTTACTTCTGTCCATGTTGCCCACGAAAACATGCCCCACATTCATAGGCATCAGATCATTAAAAATACAAAACAAAAACCAAAACAAACAAAAGACAAAAGGCTACGTTCACACTGCAGCCTGAAGTGACCCAAATCCGATTTTTTTGCCCATATGTGACCTGGATCTGATCTTTTCATGGCAGATCAGATCCGATTTTTTTACAATCCAACCCAGGCCACTTGGCTATGTGGTCGTGAATCCTGTACGAATCTGATCTTTTCAATGCGACCTGTGTCTGAATGGCCAGGTCGGATGAATCCGACCTAAACGTCATTAATACCTGACAAAGGTCACCATTATGTGTCTTGCTATGCAGAAGTGGCAAGAAAAACAACCATGGCAGATGATGATGATGCGGAGAGCAGTATTTATATTTAACCATATTGAAAAGATTGTGTTTTTATGATTGGAAAAGTCTGCTAAATGTGCGCTGGCACTACCATCCATATTTACTTCCAGAAAAAAAAAAAAAAAAAAAAAAAAAAAGAGCACGCTGGCCTGTGATGTCATTGCGTCCTCTACTGCGCATGCGGGACACTTGCGTTGTATGACTGCAGTTCACACACATACAAGACGCATATATTTGGAAATTTGATCGGCAACATAAAAAAAAAAAAATCAGGTCTGTAAAAATCGGAATTGAGCATCAAGGCCTGCAGTGTGAACGTAGCCAAATAGATAAAAGGAGTAGGCATAGCTAAAAAGCAAACCTCCGCTACATGACCTGCCTATGCAGTATGCTCTCATCCCAGAACAGATAGACTTTTAATAAATACCAAATATAGCATCAACTACATTTAAAGAAAAGGAGAACAGCAACAAACACTATAGGACCGTTTATAAAGGTACTGGGTGAAATCCTATGGGTTAAGTGCTCTCTCTTTTTTTTTTTTTTAATGCCTTGTTTATTGTTTATGCAGTAGTCTGCCCTGTCCATGTTGTACGATTCCAAACCCGACTATTTTCCAGTGTAATTTTTTTTTATTTATTTCCATTTCTGGTACAGAAACTAGAAATGTTTCCCTTTACAATTCAGTCGCTCCTCATCAGACCCATAAAATTGCCACTGAAATGTTGCGTAGTCTGACTATAATACAATTGGGGTCTATGTCAGTCGGAGCTATTAAGTCCCCTTGTAGAAAATATGCCAGGTGTGTTTATCCCAATGGACTTCAAATGAGCTCTAAACACAAAGGCCTCTCATGACACGATTTTCTGTCGGATCAGATGCAAAATCTTGTTCAGTGTGTTCAGTGGCAGAAGTGAGAATTACCACCTAGACCAGAATGGCTTCCCTTTATAATGGTGAAAGCAAAACATACAAAATGGCTGTGAACTCAGGGTCGTTGACATGCAGCAGATAAACAAACCCAGAAGTCATTACAGGCAATATGGAAGACAAAAAAAAAAGGATAGCTCTATGCCATTTCTGCTTTTTCTAAAAAAAAAAAAAAAACAAACTTTGATCAGGGAAGCTTTTTTTCTTAGTGGTCAAAATAAATAAAAACTCACACTACATAATCAGGCGTCTCAACTTTGGAAGAAGATTCAGAGGACAGGACCAATGTCTCTTCAACTGCAAAGACAAAAAGGGAAAGAATTATTTGAAAACAATCCTCCTAATCATGACAGAAACTAGTTAGTAAGGTTAAGCATGGTAAAACCTGTAGTCGACACTGATATCACCATAAAAAAACGGCTCAACTGCAAACTATAATAGATGGTCACATTCTGGAGGCGGACAAGGGAAAACAGCAGCTTATTGCTTCATAATGTTCTACATGCATCTGTGAAACTAAACCTTAAAACAGACTTTAACAATATCTAGACAAAGAGCCCAGAGGTATTTTCTTCATAAACAAGAGCAGTTAGACATCAGAGTGCCTTTATTTGATAAACTGAACACGAATAAGGAGCCTCTCTTCAGTTAATAATGTTTGAATATTAAATATAAATACATTTATTAAATGGGTTGTTTGGATATTTTGCGCCAGTGTTTCCCTGTTTTGCATTTTTATTAAAACTTACAGTAATACTTGCACCTTTAACTGTTTACGGTTTTACTGTTCACTGTGCAATTTCAGATTGCTTTTCATAATTTTGTCCAGTTTGTTTTTATCTCTTAATAAACAGGTAAGTTTGTTGTTACCAAGCATTGTGTTTTATTCAATCTCACCTAATTTAGCTGGCTAGATGTTATCAAGAGTACTAAAACCCTTTTCAACATGAGTCTTACAACTAAGGCTAAATACTTTAACTTAAACTTAAATACATGCTCGGATAGGCTGGTATCGGCCAGTATCGGTATCGGATCGGAAGTCCAAAAACAATATCGGTATCGGATCGGAAGTGCAAAAACCTGGATCGGGACATCTCTAATAAATAGACAAAATATATTAATAGTGTATAGACTGTTTTTCTTCATATACAGAAAATTTTATGCAAATATGCTTATTTGGGTTCACAGCAGAGTAGCCAAACTACCCCGGCTGTAATTTGCTCATTGGAGACGGTCTAGGAATAAAAGAGCCTCTGAGGAGGCTGGTTTAAAGGGCCGAGTCTCAGAGAATCAAGGCACTCTGACAGAGAGATTATTTTCTCTGAACAAAGAAGTGGAAAATGCTTATATTTCCTCAGGAATGCATCCATAATTAGAGAAACAAGCCAAAAGTCTATGCAGCTCCACTCTGCCTGCCACCCTCTGGTCTGCCCCGGCATGTTCTGACTACACAGTATTCATCTTTTCACCAAAAGGTGGTTTTGTTGGACTGCAGCCTGCGTGGCTTTCTAAATCAGCAGTTTCTATTTTTCCTCTTTAATTAGGAACTCTTTTTTGCTATTGAATAGTGAGGAAAATAAAGCAAAAAAAACAAAGAGGACAATAATAGTAATAGCAGACAAAAACAGAAGCCTTCTCTGTCCCCAAAGTAGCCCATAGAGGGCAGAAGAGCTCCATTTTAATTTCATTGACAGACATTTTAATAAATGGGAAAAAGGGTTTTTCTGCACAATATCTCCAAATTATGTCCAAAATATCTGTGCATTATTCCACTATGGAAAAAAAAAAACGCCTAACAGGTACAACACAAAAAACAATATTGCATGTATTTAGAGATGCCCAACGACACTTTACCAAAGGCATATTTAGAAGTCCAATTGTTGTTTAGAAATAAGAACAGTTATTTTTTTAAACTACAGAAACAAAGTTAGGGAATAAACCCTCAAAAAAATATAGAAAATGCTGATTAGGATGAGCTGTGCGTGCCTATGTGCTTAAGTCTTCATTTCACCTTAAAAGAAAGTCAGTTTCTGCCTACCTGCCTACCTGTCTTGCAGGGTTTCTATAGCATAAGGCAAGTTAAATTCAAGACTTTTTATGCCACTTGAAATAAAAAGTTAAGACCAACTTCTCAACAAACACAGGAAAGACCTTGTTGCAAAAAATTTACCCAAATGTTTACTTTAACATAAACCATTACTTTCTGGCCCAGTAGAAATGTTTCAATTATTGAAAAACTTTCAATAGACGAAGAAAGCTAAAAACACAAATAACAGATATATTTTTAACATCTACTGAACTAAATACACAAGCCTTGTTTTGTTCCCTGCTCAAAGTCCACAACACCTCTGCTTTCATTGTAGGCGTACCGCCAAACATTATCTGAAGATTTGGTGCTACTAGCGCTGTTGTTGATATCGGAGATAAGGGAGATGGCTGTGGAGGTATTGCAGAGACAAGGGTGGACCAGAACTGAGAAATATCCGACGCTTCTCAGTAACTTGATTTTGACGCTTTGCGTTTCATGCCTCATGTGCGTCTCCACTGCCTTGACTCCCATCTTGCCGTGCTTAAATGACTTATTGCACAAAATACAAAGTGCCTCATATGCGCTCCCTGATACTTTTTCTAGCCATGCAGAAAACTCTTCTCTGGATAGCCAATTTTCATGAATTTACACTTCCCTATGTTGTCCAGATAAAAAGCTAGTGGCACATTACACAAAGGTCCGGCTGCAAAATCGTTTGTATTGGTTCCACTATTGGGACCAATAATGGTTACAGTGCGCCTTTGGGTAAATGAAAAAAGAATTATGTCAGTTATTTTAATGTTTGATATGGCTTAAAAAATAAAATCCTATTTAGTAACAATTTTAAGACATATGAAAGGCTGATTTAAGACATTTTAATTCCAATTAAGGCCTTAGTTTTATTGGAAGAATTCAATTACCTTTAAGACCTTTTAAGGATCTGCAGGAACCCTGTGTTGCATCTTTCAAAACTAGAAGATTTTACCTTTACTGGTTTCTACAAAGAAACATGTTTAAAGAACTAGGTACTTTGTTAAAACCTACTTGGACTGAACAGCAATTAAAAAGAGTTAAAGCAATTCAACTGAGATTAAATGTACATAAGAATAAGACATGTCAACATTTTAGTTTAGCTAAAACACTGAGGCTACACCCACTGTGTTCACACGGAAGAGTTTGAGTATAAAGATGAAACCATAGCAGCCTCAATAGACCTTGTAATAACTACACCAGCTAATGTGTGGCATAGTCTCACTGCAGCAATTAAAGCTAACAGGAAGAATAGCAGGGTGTAAACAAAACTTTAGAGACAGAAGTGCTTATGTGGACTGATAAGCAAAATGCATTGGCTAAAAATGCCCATTCTGCACTGGTGCAAACCTGCCAGGTTTCAGCAGGATGAAGCAGTTGGGAGTATTAAAAGCTACCACAGGCAGGTGGACAACTTCCCCACTCAAGAAGCAGGTTTCAAATCAATTAGACCGAGTTTTTTTCTGCCAGTGAAATAAGAGATGCCCAAAAAACTAGGCTCATCTTTGCTTCATTAAACAGCCAGAAACTCAAAAGCCTTTTCTCAAGCCAGACGCTGAAATGAACACTCTTCCATGTCGTCGACCAATGGGAAGAAACCCAGTTACTCCTTTGATAAACTACTACCCTACTTTCTATGACATGTAGAGACTTTTACTCAAACTGTAAGAGGAAGACTGACGGGATAAGAGAAGGCTGAGCATATTACAGCAAGGTTGCCTTTATCATTTTAAGCTTTCAGTCTGTGTCATGGAACATTCTGCATTTAGACATTGGCAGCCTTTGAGAAATCTGACATAAGATAAGGATCAACATGATCTAAGCAGGATGCACTGAGACCGCTAACAATATCAAGTGGCAAACACTAGACAGATAAATACTGTAATATTTGTTCCTTTTTAAATAAGCATTTACCCGTTTTACAGCAAATGCTTTTAACATGGCTTAGTGACCAAAGGTTTATAAAAGCTGAAGATCAGAAAACTGACCAATGACAACACACAGCTGTCAAAAGAACATGAATTAATTCTCCTCTTTAACATAGGAAAGCAGAGTAGTCCAATTAAACAGTTGATCCTTACTCTAAGCTAAGGTAGGTTTATTAGTACATGTGGGGGTTCTGGCTGTTTGGAGTGTTTTGATGTGCTCCACCCACTGAGGAGGAGCCTGGGGGGGGGGAACAGGCATAGTGAAAGCTGCAGAGGGATGATAAAGCTACCTCCTGGAGTTTACAAGTACCATGTTGAAAATATTTCCAGGCCAATCTAGCACGTGTCAAAGATCCTTAAACTCACCCTTATGGCCTAATAAACAAGTTCACTTTTCATTGCATATATGGAGGGAATGGCTTTCTTCATTTGGAGTTGTACCTTGTTCTTTGTAAGGTTTCTCCACAGCTTCCTCGATGACTTCGTCAGCATCGTTCCTCTTCTTCACTGTGCTACTCTCCTCAGCCTGTTCTTCCGCCACAGGAGGACTACTACAGGCTCTTTCTGGTTGTTTCCCTTTGTTCCTCTCACGATCTTTGTCTTTGTGCTTCTTGGATTTCTTCTTGAATTTCTTACTTGTACTGCTAGGCAAAGGGGAGCTGGTGATGACAGTGGAGGTAACTGTGAGAGAGGTGCGGGGGGGCGGGCTGGGAGAGGCGGCTGCTCTGGGGACAGGGTGCTTACAGCGGTCCTGCAAGGAGCGAGGAAGGGGGCTGGGTGAGGGGTCTCTGCAGGAGGAACTCTGGTCCATGGGCAGGTCCTGAGTGCCGCAGCCTTCTGGGGTGCTGGGGGAGTTGGAGTTGGAGGCTGGGCTGAGATGCTGATGTGAAGGTGCTGGCGGGTGGGACGAAACGGGGAGATGGCTGGGAGGCCCTGAGGTTACGTTGGGGGGCAGGGACGAGTGTTTGGAGGTGGGGCTGCTCTCGTCCTCACGGCGGTCAGAGGAAGAGGCTGCTGGCCCTCGACTGCTGAGGTGAGAGATGCGGGCTTTCTTGGGAGCCAAAGGATCGATGAAGTCAAAGTCAGGCTGGCGCTTCTGCAAAAGCACACCAAAAATAAACCAAAACTTGTTTCCCTTTTTGGGTTTTTTCCCCTCCCTCTGTGTGCGTCTTTATTCATTACCTGTGGGGATGAAGGGAAACCGTCTTTAGGTGAATTGTTTGAGGAGACTTTCTCAGTAGGAAGACCTAATTTACTAAAAAGAAAAAAAAGAAAGTTATCGGTGAAAAGCAGAGTTTAGAAAACACAATCAGGAAAAAACACACTTACATAACAAACCAAACACATTTAAAGGATTAAACCTTCAGCTTTAATTTAACAATTAACTCGATATAGAAATAAATTTTAAAAAATCCAGAAAATCTCAAATTATTTGAAACTGGACAAAAATTGTATAATAGCTGTGATAATGTTTTTAGAGTGTAGACTAGTGATCTTCCTAGTGACTGGTTGCACTGACACGCATTTTTCTAATATGATGTAATAATGCATAAGTTTAGTACAACACGGAAAAGGTAAGTCTCCTGTGCTGCTCTGGTATTTTCTAACAAAATATTTATTACCTGGTAAAAATATTTTAACAGATCAAGTTTTTCACTTGAATAACACCAAGCATAAAGTTTGTTACTTTGAGGAAAATTGTTTCTGTTTTTAAATGACATTTAAAAAAAAGAAAATAAACAAAAAAACAGGGATGCATACAGTTTGGTCTGACAAGGTTCTGCAGTCAGGCCCAGAATCCAGACACTGATCAAGGGCAACCTTGCTGAAAATCAGCTGACTCTAATCAGTGTATAATTTTAATATGTTAAATATCACAGCAAGTAAACTGCAGGGATCATATGTAAAGTGAAGTTCATTCCCACTGTATTTACTACATTGGATGTTCCTTAGAAGCCCATGTAGGACTACTAAGTCACACTATGCACAGACTGCAGTATCCATGCTTTACTGACGGAGGCCTCAGTTGAAGCCTTGCGTTTCTCTTCGGCGGCCCATACCATACCGAGCTAGCATCCGGTCAACTTGGATCTTCTCATCCTCAGAATATCCGGGCCAGTCTCGCTGAACATCGCGGTATATAAACTCCTTCAACGAGTATGTGTTGTCTTTGGGATTCAGGTTTGCCACCTGTTGAACAAAGACACATTGTAATAGTTTCAAAGCTAAACTTCAGCAGCATGAGAAATTTTCTGACTTGTACTGAAACCTGACATTTCCTGCAAAGGCCATCTGTGCATGCAAATTATTAGCAACAATTTAGTGATTAGTTTCTCGTCAATGGAGACTTTCTACAGAGGACTGAGCTGCCCAAGGCAAATATGTTAGCAGATGATGAACAGAAGTAAAATGGATCTCTTGGATTTGGCTGGACTCAAAGTGCTCTTATGAATCAGAAGGGCTCTGATCAGCCAAAAGTTGAACTAGATTTTCTGTGTACCAGGGAAGTGACTGGTTGAATCCAACTTTAATAGCAAAAACAAAGAAAAAAAAAAAAAAAGTGTGATTACTTGTTGCAATGTGGTCCCCAGTGAGTTCCGGTCCTTCTGGTTAATTCCGTCCCGCTGTAAACGGCCGAGCACTTCCAGCTTCTTGTACGACTTCAGCGCCAGCAGGTGAATGATGCGGTCCCGCAGGGGCTTCTGGGATACAGGGTTGTTGGAAAGGCACTTGCGTATAGTGTTGGCTGGGTTTATAGGGGTGGAGCGTTTGCGCTCTGGGACTACATCTAGGGCTGATAACGCTGGCTTACGAGTGTGAACCTGCTTTCCTAAACACAGACAGTAAAGAAAGCATTAAACCCTTAACAGGAAGATTAATCTGCATATTTAATTCTACAAAATGGCTTATAAATGTATGTAAAAAAGCCCATTCCAAACAAATTTACAAAAATCTAGATGGACAACGTGGTGTTTAACTAGTTGCCATTTCTTATACTAAAGTTATTTTATTAATGGCAAAAGCAAAAGACCATTACAACCTAAAATGCTGCTCTGTGTTTCTGGGCTGTGTTTTACAATCAAGACAGCACATTGCTACGCTTCCTGATGCTTGTTATGAAATTCTAAAGCTCTTTTAAGAGATTAAGGTTAGTGAGGTTGAAGAGAAAGGAAACCCTCTTCCCAGGGAAGATGAGATTTGAAATGAACCTTTCATTATCTAAAAAGTTTAAAATTATTTTTTGTCATACATGCTAAGCATTTAGAATCGAAATAATTACTGATAATAAATTCCATTATGAATATATCATACTTTATAAAAACCCTCTGTCATTCATTAAGGTGGTGATAATCAGCAACAACACCAAGCCAGCTGCTGGGAGTTTCAGACCCACCACTTTTCAGTGCAGCTCCTCTCGTTTCCCAGTTTCTGTCTAAATCGGTTTCTGTCTAAACTTGTTTATGCAAATTGTTCCCTAGATTTCTGAAACAGAATACATCATTCACCTTAAAAAAAAGTGTCAAGAGTTCACATTAGCAAAGCAATTCTTTATCCAACACCTGTGTAACCCCTGGATCTATATCTGCTATATTAGGCGCAAAAAGAACGATTATTTTAACTTTAACGTCTTTTTTATTTTTTTGTTCTATTTTAGTATATTGTCCTCCTAATTATGAACCATTAAAGCCATCTTTCACTGAGCCAAGTAAAGCCTGCAGTGTTTAAAATGTGTTTAGGGTTATTCAGGGCCATTCTGAACAAATCTTTACAAAACTCAAGTTATTTAGTCAGATGAGCCCCTCCTTTTTTTTTTTTTTTTCTGGATAATGGTTCCAACTGTGGTTTGCTGGAGATTCAAACCTTGAACAAAGCTTTGAAGCCTTTCCAGACTTTTTTTTACCTGCTACCGAGTCTCTTAGACCGTGTTATGATATTTGGCTTTCTGATCTATAGGCTTTATATCAGTTGACTTGCCTCCTGACTTTAACCTTATAGAAGACCTTCAGGATGAATCCGACCAGATGCTTCAATTCTGTTTTTTAAAAATCAAACTATAAACTCATCCCCAAATGTTTTGGAAGAGGTTTACAATATAGAAAAAGTTTCTAATTAATTCATTCAAATGTGTTTGCCGATAAAATTCTTAACTTTGAGAATAACTACATTGGAAACAAGTTATTAACAAAGGTAAAAAGTGGAAATATTTACTGGATTGAAGTAACACAATTTGTAAAGATGTAAAAAAAAAAATAAATCAATTAAAAAAAGATTCTAGATATAACTTTTCCAAAACAAATAAACTGAAAAATTGTTTACAGACTCAAAAAAAACAAAAAAAAAGTAAGAGTTGGCAGAGGGTCTTACCTCGATACTGCCCCCCGGGCTTAATGACTTTGGTCCCCCGTTCACGTGTGTCCTCCGCGGCCTGGGTCATACGTTCCCGTGTCACCTGGTAAGAGTCACTGGTGGCGCACACTGTGACCTTGTCCTGAACGGTCGCCAACAATGCCAGGTGTGAGGCCCCTGAGCTGGAGACAGAGATGCAGCGTTGGAGAGAAATGCAAGGCAGGGAGGGATTACCTTCCAGCAAGGTGTAGTAAGACAGCAGCAGTTGATTCAGCTGAACAGTGATTACCATTACCTGGACACATACTGGTGGATGCACTCAAAGCTTCCCTGAGGGTTGTCCTTTCCCACATTAGACAGATAGAAATCAAAATTGTGGAACGTGTCAGAGGAGTCGGTCTTGGGAATTTTAATGTGCTGTAAAATAATTAGCACAAGACTATTTAGCATTTCTTTAATCAATCTAAAAGCCACGAGTTATTAGGTTTATACACAAAATGGGGAAAAAAAAATCTACATGAAATGGGAATAAATTTTGTTTCATTAGTAAAAATAATCATGACTTCATATTTAGAAGTCAATGTAATAGGTTGTAAAGAAGAGAGATTTTCACTGCAATCACAGAAACTATGGAGGAGTATGTGAGCTCCATTATTTAAGAGTGGGATAAGTCTATGGTTTTCAAGCCATTCATATTTAAGTAGTTCTCTGTTAACAAAACCTAGACCTTGTGTCCCTCCTTGTTTTATAATTCACCATACCAATGCACACTGGTCTCCAAACACAAGACAGTCTTGGATAACATCTTTAAAACACATTGAGGAAAAGTGATGCGCTTTTACAAAGGCATGACTAATCTTAAATAGTCAAGTGTCACTTACTTAAGCCTCACAATGATAAAAATAATAAACAGATATAGAATTTAAAAAAATGAAGAGAAACAGAAGGGAGGAATTACCCCTTGGAGTCCCTTGAATTGTACCGTTGGCCGTAACGATGGTATATTCTGAAAAGGAAGGGAAGAATAAAGTTAACTCTGTTCATACTTACTGAAATGGAGGGAAGAAAGAATAAAGGCAACATCAAACCAAACCAAATTCAATTGCATCGGTCAAATACATGCAAGAATCCAGCCTGTGATCAATATCAGGCCAATTCTCTTTGGGTTGCTTCCGATTGGTGATCAGCAGGTCTAACACAGAAAAACCTTTTTATTCATGGTATCAAAAATCAACTTTGGTTTTCAAAGAAACCAAGCAAAAACATTTTCTACTGGATTCACTACTTCTTCAAGGAGTGAGTGCTGTGCATTTTTGGCATTTTCAAATAGCAAAAAAATAAAGGTCAGACCATAATGAAATCTGAAAATTCTCAATAAAAGGACTGAGTGCACCTCCAATTAGAAAATAGATCTAAACAATTTATCAAAATTTAAAAGTGCTTGAAGGAAATATTCCGAATATATAATACTTTATCAAGAGCACATAACTTTATAGTGTCAAATTAGTATAAATCCATATTAGTCCTTCCATCTAAAGTTAAAGGCTAGCCTGACAGAAGCCAAGGCAAAGCAAACCTCTAGACCAAAGGTCTTCAACAGGGGGTCCGTGACCCCTAGGGGGTCCGCAGAGGTACTGCATGGGGGTCGCGAAAGTTTTGGTTGATTACTTTTTTATTATATTCCCTCCTGCAATTTTTTGCAGTAATTAAAATGTCTTTAAATACACATTAACATGAATTCAATACACTGTAGTAAACAGATAAATGGAGGCAGAAGATGTCTTTCAGTCATCAATGCGCACATTCAGCAACACACAGGAGCTCTTTCAAACCAAGGCACCATTTCATTCACAACACCTGTCCCATCAACCAGGAATCAGAATCAGAAATACTTTAATAATCCCAGGGAGAAATAACTTTCGTTACATGACTCCATCTGTAATAGAGCGACTGTAAGACCAGTTTGATATAACACAATTTCATACAATAAATATATTTAGGGGGTCCCGCTCCATCTCGCAATCAGTTTGGGGGTCCTTGGCTTTGAAAACATTGAAGACCCCTGCTCTAGACCCTTAAAACGATTCAAAGATTCATCATCTCATATCATCTCCTCCAGCTAAACTCTTGTTGATGGCTTAAATGTAATCAAACATGTGAAGACAGGTGTGTGCTGTAAGTATGAGATAGGATAATCATCTCGACATAGCTAAGCTAGCATTTTAATATAGCAAAATTACTAAAAGGAAATAAAGCCTGCACATCTTTTCTTTATAGCACATAGTTCTAGACAACTTTCAAGAAGTCTTTTTGAAATCATTTAGTATTTTTGTTGGATAGTTTGCCTTTAAATAGCACACAGAAAAAAACCAATGAGAGGGTAAATTAACAGTTTTCTGTTAGCTCAGAATACATCTACTTCCTGTACTTGCATATGGTTTTCCAGCCCCATAGAACCATGAACAGTTAAGGCCAGGGTTTGAAGTGCTGTCAGAAACCTAAGGAGACTATTTGAAGAAACTTAAATATGACAGAAAAACATGGAGTTCTGGTGTAAACACCCTAAATGAAGATAACAACAACCAGCTGGAGTTAAGTTATTAACTGGCTGTAGTCAGTGTTGTGCCTGAACGCGTTCATTGAACGAAAGTTCATGAACTCGTTCATATTTTGGGCGAACGTGAACTGAACGTACTGCATTATTGCCTGATGAACGTTTTTGTGAACTCGGTCATTTTGGTGTCTGTGAACGGCACGCTCTCTCAGTTCAACTCCGTTCAATAGGTTGCCAGATTTCTATAGAGTCCTCCAGGCGAAACTCCGGCTAAATCACACCGTAAACAGGCCTTAATTTGTAGCGGGAAAAACACCCAATCTGGCAACACCAGCTACCAGCGTCGTAGCCTACAGCCGCGTGCGTCATCAAAACAAAATGCAGCGTGGAAGCCACAGCAGCATGGAGGCGACTTAAAACAGGTTTATGACCAGGTGGTCGGTGAGGATGATGGCAACAAGTTTGCCCGCCGGCTTTCAGTAAAAAAATCCGCACTTCAGTAACCTTAAATTCCTACCTCAGCCTGGTCCCTCAGTTTGTGTTAGTAAAATCTTCTTGAGCGGAGGTCTTCAACAGGGGATCCGCGACCCCTAGGGGGTCTACGGAGGTACTGCATGAGGGTCTGCATGGTTAGTTGATATTTTTATATTCCCCCCCCCGCATTTTTTCCCCCACTAATTGAAATGTCTTTAAATACTCATTAACATGAAATCAACACACTGTAGTAAACAGATAAATGGAGACAAAAGATGTCTTTCAGTCATCAATGCTCACATTCAGAGACACACAGGAGCTCTTTCAAGCTGGGCACCGTTTCCTTCACAACAACCAGGAATCAGAATCAGAAAAACTTTAATAATCCCAAGGAGAAATTAATTTCTTTACATTACTCCATCTGTAATAGAGTGACTATAGGACACAATTTCATACAATATATATAAATAGGGGGTCCCCGCTCCATCTCGCCATCAGTTTGGGGGTCCTTGGTCTGGAAAACATAGAAGACCCCTGTTCTTGAGGGTTTTACTATCCATGTAACTTGTTTGTTAAACCTGCCTGGTATAATTTTCCAGGATTCCTTTTTAGTATGTATTGAAATGGAATTTCAAATGGAAAAAATTATAAAAAAAAAAAAAAAAAAAAAACATTTGCACCTTAAAGACTACTTTCCTATTTTTCTTTTAATAATTACTCATAAAAAGACCATTCAAGTAGCACATTTTTCCTGATGTTTTTGAGAATATACTGTAGGGGTGAAAGCTGCAGCTGCTACTAGTGTGAAGTGAATGGACAGCAACAAAGCATTAAAGCAACAATGGGGAAATGCTGTCCCCTCAATGCTAATGTAAACCCTGGTTGGATAAGGATTCAAAACTGGATATGAAGATGAAATCTGACGCACAGTTTCAGAGTTATAACTGATAAAATAATTGCTGTCTGTGGTTCTACAGTAGGCTATGGTGTAATTGAGCAATATATGAAAAAAAAAAAGAACTGTGAACTAGTTCGTTTTTTGGAATTGTGAACTATGAACTGAACTAGTTCATTTTAAAATGTGTGAACTGAACTTTGAACTAGTTCACGTAGAAAGAGAACTTTCCCAACACTGGCTGTAGTAACTTAACAGGAACTTGGTCCAGAAATCCTGTACCATTTCCTGTAATACAGAAACTGAAGCATTTTTTTAGTGTGAAGTGATGCAGGAGGAATGTTTTCATGAAGCAGCAGTCTAACAGCATGGAACCAGTTCCTGCAGAACCAGCTATACTCCAAGAAATTTAAAAACAAATAAACAATTTATTCCAAAGCAGAAATAAAAGTATAGAAAGAAGCAAGATCTTAATAAACTGCGTTTCCATCACTGTTTCTGTATGTGCATTTTTTATTTAGGAAAGGTTGATGAAAGAAAACATAATAATAAAAAAAAAAATCTTGACAAAAATTTAGTTTTTTGTTTATTTTTTAGGGTCGGCTGAATTCTTTTGGTTTTTCCACAGAGAAAAAACAACAACAACAAAAAAGTTAATGCCCAAAAAGAGAGCTGAAAACATTTGCCGAATATGCTCCGACTCAGCGAACATTTACCTCACATGACCAATTAGCTGTTTCCACTGTCAGCGTCTAGATTCACGCATGAAAAGGTTAGCCTACCCAGCCAGACTGATATAAAATATACACGGCGTAAAGAGCTGGTAGAGGTCGATTTCAAAGAGAGACTAACAGGGGCAGCCTCATCAGGTCAGAACCAAACAAATAATTAAGGATGTCATGAAAAAACCTCAAGCAACACGCTCTTTTGTTGTAATTTTGTAGTACATGAAACATATCAAGTCCTGAAAGAATCAGCGGTGATCGATTCCTGCGGCTTTTGCTGAAAAAAAAATAATAAAATCTGAGGATATAAGGTGGACTCTCTAGTACTCATTTGATTTTCATTGAAAACTGATCAATTGCAGTTGCAAGTTTGTTGTTATGCTAGCAGAAATGTGCTGTTGCATTATAGATAAGCAAAGTGGCATGCATTGTAAAGTCCCGCCTCCCAATCTGCGGTTGTGCAGGCCAGTCTACGGCGGTTTACCAATATGAATTATTCTCTGTGTAATTCAGTCTGTTTGGCCAGGCTATGAAAACATGGCTGGAAGCAGCAGAAAGGTGTGGACCCCAGAAGAGACCAAATAGTTTGTAACGTCCACCAAAACTGGTTAACATGACAAAATAGCTACAACTTTACAAGTCTGAAAACCTACCTCCGATTTTTCTAGGATGTGTGCTCCATGCTAGCTTGCAAACTTAACTTGCTGTTCATTAAATTCCTGTTTAACGTCAATTTCTGACAAAATTAAGCTGACGGCCTGGTAAACATGCCAATTTTGTAATATTTTTTAAGTACGTTTAAAATTTGCCTGACGACTGAATGGCAACATAAAGACTGACTATGCAGATAAGGGTGACTTTATCCCTTCATTTGTTCTACAAAAGCAGGATGATTAAAGTTAAAGGTGGTGTTTGATGGTTTTACTTGGATTTCTACTTAGTAAATAAAACCTGCATTGTTTATGCCAGAGGTGCAAAATATGACAGGTATGAATGAGTGTAAGTGTCTACTTGAAATAAGGCTGACAGCCACAAATCTGCAACGCCTACAGAAGATAGTAGGTTAGAACAGGAAAGCACAAAACTGTTTCTTCAGAAGGCCTTAGCACACACTAGAAAAACTGGCTAGACTCCCAAAACATTGCATTAAACTAGCTGAAGTGAGTGAAAAAAAAATGTGTCTTTCTAATCATCAACAACAATAACTTCCTCCCTCTACTTGTAAACATGAGACATGATTTTAAACTTACACAGTTAAAGGAGTGATTGTAGTTTTGATAAGACACTTTTAAAAGACAGAATTGTGTCAGAGTTAGTGAAGGCTAAGCTAGTCCAAGCCACAGCCTCCCTCCCCCACCGGCTCACAGAGTTCTGATCACATTTCACATCGCCACAGAATGACAAAGATAGCCAGCTTCCATAGTTCGATGACTGGTTCAGCAACAGCACACATTACTGGGAGTGAGAGAAACAAAAAGCAGGCAGTTTTTTGGCTGCCCAGTCAGCAAGAGATGGCAGGCTTCACTTCAGCAGACTGAACGCACTGACCCAACCAGTGGGCCATCACAAAATAATGTTTTACTTTTCAGTTGTTTAAATGTTGAAAACTGTGTAAATAATAAAAAAAAATAAAGATATTGAGTTTTATATAGTTGCGTTAAAGACGCATACTGTTTCTGCGTAATGTATTTGTTGTTTTGATTTGTCAGATGGCAATCAAACAATCTGCAACAGAAACCAGCAGATCAATGCTGATTTGTTCATTTTTAAGACAAACCTCTGAAAAAATTTGATCTTAAAACTATTTGAAGTTTATCCAACTTCATTAATACTAAAGTGTAAAGTATTTTTTAAAAAAAATTTAAAATACACAGCAAGTAAACTTTATAGAACAGAAACTTTGATAATCTAGAAATTGGCTTCAGGAAACTGCAATTCAAGTCTGCAGGGGTTTCTTCAGGTTAGTTTACCTTTAGTAATCTCTACAAGCTTACATCACCATAATGTTTAGATTACTAAAATATGAATAATCCAGTTGCTTTAAACCAGGATGCAGTGTAAATAACTTATTCACATTTCTGGTGGTGAAACTGTAAATGTGATGAAGTCAGATTGCAATTAAAAGGTATACATTTATTTATCAAGATAAAAAGACTGATTAAGTAATTATGTAATTTCTGTCTAATAAAAAATGACTGCCATCACTCATTTAGAGTTTTGCCAGGTGTGACTGAGGATGTTAAAATAAAACAGAATAGTAACACACACACACACATATATATATATATATATATATATATATATATATATATATATATATATATATATATATAAATGTATTTATAAAAACTTGTTTGATTAAGTGAAACAGCTATAAAAAGGATGAGCCTAGTGTAGGAGGATCTCCATATCCCAACCAGGCAGCGGTGTTGGGTTTTCCAGCTAGCTGAAACCATATGGTAACCTGACCAACCACGGACATGCTTAAAAGGCCAGCAAATCTAAATAAAGTATAATTGGGGGGTTTTGGTGTATACACAATTACACATTACTTCTGCACTGTGTACTCCTGTAATCACAACTGAAAGGAATTAAATACCAAGTTGGTTAAATTATTTATTTTGTAATTTAACCAAACCAGAAACTCGTAAACTTTAGTTACGATATCTAAACTCTTCGTTTCCTAATTTTGTAACTAAGTTAGGTCGAATGAGTAGAGAGGAAAAGAGCTAGGTTAACTAGTCAAGGGGGATTCTAGCTAACGCTAATTAAGAGTGTCAATAACTTAACTAAGATCATTTATAGAGTTTTAAATAATTGTCAGCTCTGAAAACCTGACTAGATCGTAAGATATGATCTTCGTCTATTAAAACCAGCTGATAAATCGAACGAAACAAACCTAGTTTAATGAAAAAAAGAAGCAGAAAGTCGCCCTGTCAACAGTTTAGCTAACCTCCTAGCTTTAGCTGTGCGTGGCAGTCGGGAGAAGCGGTGTCAGCCAGAGACAACCAGCTGCCATATTTACAGAAATTAATGTCTTATTTAACTCACCGTACTACTTTGGTAGTTTTCTATGGCTCTCAGCGCCGTTTCGGTCAACTTGACGTGCAGTACGGAGACTCTCTCGACGCCCTGTTGGCCACAATTCAATCCGTACCTCCCATCCTCGGAGAGAGCCGCCATCTTTACCAGCCCTCCACCATCGTCCCTCTGAAGCCGGAGCATTTAGCAGCCCGCTTGGCTCCCTCCCTGTGCTCACTCTGCTCCTGGGAGGGATTACATTGCTGTCCAAAGGGCTGAATTTGGATTGGGCTGCATTTTTCTCTCTTTCTAAACTGACCCAGACTTAAAAGTTTCATGTTGTAGTGAGAATAAAGAGGGAAGTGTATTTATTAAATGTTTTAGTACACATGGGCTTATTTGGGGTGGAGGATTTGGTATTTGTTTTGTTTTAGCCATTATTTAAGGAAGAGGATTAGGGCCACTGAAAAAATAAAAAAGTTAACTGATTTTTTAAATATTTCAGTTTAATATGGGAAAAAAGTCTCAGAATTCTGCCTTTTTTTCTCAAAATTCTGACTTTTTTTCTCAAAATTCTGACTTTTTTCTCAGAATTCTGACTTTTTTTTTCTCAGAATTCTGATTTTAAACTCAGAATTGTGACTTTTTTTCTCAGAATAAGGAAGAGGATTAGGGCCACTGAAAAAATAAAAAAGTTAACTGATTTTTTAAATATTTCCGTTTAATATGGGAAAAAAGTCTCAGAATTCTGACTTTTTTCTCAGAATTCTGACTTTTTTTCTCAAAATTCTCATTTTAAACTCAGAATTCTGACTTTAATCTCAGAATTCAGACTTTTTTTTCTCAGAATAAGAAAGAGGATTAGGGCCACTGAAAAAATAAAAAAGTTAACACATTTTTTAAATATTTCAGTTTAATATAGGAAAAAGTCTCAGAATTCTGACTTTAATCTCAGAATTCAAACTTTTTTCTCAGAATTCTGACTTTATTCTCAGAATTCAAACCTTTTTCTCAGAATTCTGACTTTATTCTCAGAATTCTGACAGCTATCAAACATGTTAGCATCAAGCTGTAGTCATGTCTGTTGTAGAGACTAAACTAGCTTTCTTATTTTGGTGACCTTCTCCTCCGTTAATGAAAAAGCATCACCAGGGACCCCTCTGGCACGTAAAATTTGCCTAATTTTGTCATTTTTCACCAATGTGTTACTGGCCCTCCCAAACAACTCACACTTTTGTCAGTGAAGCTGAGTGCTCCCACATCTCTTCCTTCATGGTGCCCATCAACATTAAGATCCAAAATTCTGAGATTAAAGTCAGTTTTTCTCATATTATACTGAAATAAAATTTAAAAATCAGTTAACGTTTTTGTTTTTTCAGTGGCCCTAATCCTTTTCCGTACTTTTTGGAACACTTCAAACTTCTAGTTCCCCTTTTTCGTTAGGCCCTATACACACAGTCCCACTGCGGGAGCCGCAAAATTATAATAACTGATCAATTCTGCCTCTGGTTTGGCAAATTGTTATGATGGTAATCGGTGTGTACTGTAGGGTAGTGGTTCAGAAAAGATGTTTAATCCAAGTACCACAACACTGACAGATCTTTGAACTAAGTTATAAGCATGAGCAAACTTTAATTTTCTAAGATTTGTAAATTTTTTGGGTGGGTCTTGAAAAGTAGGAATACTCAGTCATTACAGTGAAGGTCTTCCAGCGACCTCAAATATCAAAATGCCTGCTTTAAACAGAAGACAAACAGTAATAATTGCTTCCCCAAAAAATCGGTTATCAACACTTTTCCCTCTTTGGTCTTATAACAGCTATTAGATAAACAGTACTATACATTATTGGATATTTTATACATTATACTATAGTGTCTAAATACCAAAAGCTAGTGGTGGGTTAATCTATCAAAAATATATAATAATAAATACATAATTTTTCGATAATAGGTTGGGATCATATCGGTTGGATACCATCATTAGGATATCAATACTTTAGTTTTAGATACATTGTTTTATGCACTACTGCTGTTTTGACAAGAAGGCAACAGGCAGGTTTCTCAGTGTAACTGTGAGAAGGCCCAAATAGTGGTTAGGATGTGGACACAGTATATAAAGTAAGCAAAATTAAGTTTGATGTCATCCCAAGAGACTAGTTTTTAATTGGGAAACAGATTTCAGAATATTCACCTCTGATCTTTGAAGATTTTAAGATCTTTGACGTTGGAGTTTGAATTCTTGCTGAACCCTTTATTATGATCCAGTTTAGTGGAATGGTTTGAACAACTTGTAAATAGGGTAACTATAGGTTCTTTTAAAAGTTTGAAGAAGTCACCAAATGAGGCAATTTTCTAATTTACATAACTGACAATGTCTGTTATTATAATGAGGACAAGAGAAACAAGGCCAGAGGGAAGACAAAAACAAAAAAGGTAACTACAGATAAAAAAAAAGAAAAAAAGAATTACATTTTTTCTTTAGAGTCATTTCCCAACCTTGTCATGTGACTTTGGGGACACCAATTAAAATAAAACAGTGGTGGAGTAATGGAGATGGATTTTTTTATTGTAACAGTTGATTTATTGTGCTGTAGTTTGATTTTGTTAGGTCTGCTTTGGTGTTACACCTCTCCATCTATTTAGCAGCCTAGAACAACAGCCAACAAGTAGTAGTTTCATGCATTCTTGATTCATTTATGCTGTGGGGCAGACATCTCCTGTGTTATCTGAGGCTGGAAGAGGCTGAGGATTAGGACACCTATAAGAGCTGTGAGACAGGGGAGGTGCCCATGGCAGCTTTGAGAAAACAAAGAAATGTTTGTACCTTATACCAGAGTCTTAACACCAAAAAAAGTCATTATATTTATAGCCAGAGCTTTTTTTTTTAGAAATAGCCATAAGAGAGCTGACTGTTTGATACATTTGGACAGCATGTCTGCAGCTAAGGGAATCTCTAATTCCCATTGTTCTGTTCTGGTGTTGCTGGAGAGTTTCAGTTTTTAATCTCATACAATTTCAGTCTCCTTTCTTTCATATATCTGCAGGGAAATATGTATGCATGCATGTGCACCACACATATGCAAACATGTATAGTTTGAAAGAGGCGCAAACACATTAGCACACCACGACACAGGAAAACATTACAATAAACAACCTCAGAATTAAATTAGCTTTCTTTAGAGTATATATAGCAAGAAATATATGTAGACATGTGGGTATGTTTGTGTATTTTAGCACAGCTCAAAAAAGGTTAATATGTGGGCAAAGTTTAACATTTTTATCATTCATTTAATAAAGTAAATCAAATTATCTATCTATCATCTATCTATCTATCTATCTATCTATCTATCTATCTATCTATCTATCTATCTATCTATCTATCTATCTATCTATCTATCTATCTATCTATCTATCTATCTATCTATCTATCTATCTATCTATCTATATATCTATATATCTATATATCTATATATCTATATATATATAGATATATAGATAGATAGATAGATAGATAGATAGATAGATAGATAGATAGATAGATAGATAGATAGATAGATAGATAGATAGATAGATAGATAGATAGATATAAGGTACAGTAGTAGTAAAACAAAGTATAATATTGTGGCAGAGATTAAAACTGTATAGAAAAGTTGAGTGGAAGAAAAGTATAGTGGGATAAGAGGCCTTGGCAAGAGATAAAAGCACAGTACCCTAGATCTAACATGGCACCTTAGACCGTTGCCTCAGTGTATTGGTGCATTCTCTTTTGTTTTGTTTTATTGTATATAGCTACAGATTTGGTATTCTATATATATATCTAATTTGTCTGCACCATCAACACCAAGTCAAATTCCTTGTACCGTAAGTGCAAACCTACTTGGCAGTATATTCTGATTCAGAGTCTTAATGGGATTATCAAACATAATTCATTTGAGAATTTTTTAGAGCTTCACAATGAGTGGACAGAGGCTGGATAGTGATAATTAATGATAATTATCCTAGCAATAGAGAAAATGAAGAACCACGTCCCACAAAGGAATGTTACATTTTTTATGACAAGCAGCTTCTGAGATAGAATGAAAAAGAAGGATCTTCACACTAGTTAGAGCCCCCAAATGGGTTTATCCACAAAGCAGTAATGTTTTGGCCTTTCTTCAGACTCATGTGGCCCAAAACTGTTCGGATCAAACTTTTTCGTTTGTTATCTGCAATGTCTTTGTAGTCTAACCCCTTTTCTCAACTTTCTCAGGATGTGTGTGATTTTGCAGCTTTATCATGCTGCTTCTAAACCATAGACAGCTTTAGAAGCATGTTTTCTTTTCTGAAGAGGAAAAAAAGGAGTGCTGATCAGTTGTCCAAAATCCTGTCCTGTCAAGGTCTAGCCTTGAGGTAGAGTGAAGGAGCCGCCATCCATGTTACTTAAAACCATGTGTGCAGTTTCTACATCAAGTGAAGATTTCTGGAGTCCTGTTGTCTGCTGTTGTTGCTCCACTTTATATTCTTAAGTTCACAATCAAATCAACCTTCTACCATCAAAGCAGGGCTTGGGACCTGTCCACATTACCAAAGGTATTAAAAGCTGATCTGTGACCATGTTGTGAGCAAGCCCATCTGACAAGAGACTCATAGAGGATCAATGGAGGAAATTTGAGACACCAGACCCAACAATACAGATGGCCTGAAAGTTTCTATTAAAGCAAAAACAATGGAACTTTAATGATCTCACATTCGAGAAATTTAACCCATCCCCTTGGGGAGCAGTGGGCTGCCATCATAAGACATATGGGGAGCAGTCAGGGGTTAAGGGTCTTGCTCAGAGACCCAGAGTGGCAGTGGGGTTCAAACTCAGAACCTCAGGGTTCCAACCTCTATGCTCTAACCACTTGACCGCCACTCGCCTGTGCCATCAAAGTACCTGAGCTTGCACAGCACTTCAGCAGGGCACATGCTGATCGCCTCCATGCCATGCTGGGCTGATGTAGCATTTCATGCATATAAAGGCTCAGCCAATTATTGATGGTATTTATATTAACACACTTTTGAAAAGCTTAATTTTTCTAGTAAAATAATCTTTTTTATGCAAAATTCATTTCCCTGTATAGTACAAAATGTACCTTAAAATTATACCTTTTCAGCTAACCATTTGCATATTTAAAGAAATACACAAATTTCCTCCATAAAATCGCTGTTTTCTTGGTTCTTTTGTAAATGTGGCATACCAGATGACTTCAACATTGGCACAT